AGGCCGAGGAACTAAAGAAGGGGATGATACCATCAAATCGGGAGGAGGCGTTGAACGCCCTTCGGCTGTCTACAACCCAACCCTTTTCTCGCCCTATGGGCGGAAGGATGGCAAAATCCTAGCCGGGACCAGGTGTAACTCCCGCAAGTCGCGGGTATCAAGATTGATGTTCTTTCTTAGTCGACCTTAGGTGAAAGTTATAGGTCATTTTCACAGAGGATAGATAGATACTGTTGTGGCATCATTATTTCGTCACGTGATTTGTCGCAGCCAAATCACCATTTCGGTCTCACGACTGCAAGTTTCGGAGTTTTGTTACTCGGACTGCATGCTGTATCCTCTGTCCATTACCATGGAAGCAGATGGAAAAGTTTTTACATACATCTATCTATCTTTGTTTATATCTTTTATTACACACTTATTTCCCCCAAGCGCTAGCTTACCAACCCCCATCAACTGTACTACACCTACAGCATGACTCCCAAGTCCTCTGACCGCAAGTCGGAGAACCAATTCGATAACCTTTCGGGTTATTCCGAGGATCCTGGCAATGCCGATTCTCATCATGGTGCGAATTCTGATTCCGAATACTTGAAAAAGATTGAAGACCGTTTAGACCGTTTGGACTCTCGAGATGCTGAATTGACGGAAATCAAGGAAATGATGAAAACCCTCCTTCAAGTCCATGGTTTGTCTGCCGTTAAGTCTTCCACCCCTGTTATCTCGACTGTGAATGAAACTCTGACTGTGACTCCAAAGCAAAGAGTCATCAAGCCTGACTCGTACAGTGAAGCCCACCGCAACACTGAAATTGACTTGGACACCGACTCAGGTATTTCTATGCTGACTGCTAAGGCTCCTCCGGCCACTGTGTTAAACGACCATCAAGTTGATGTTAAACTCATGGCGACAACTATTTTGAAGTTCCGCCCTGAGCCTGAGGAAACCAATGCTGGTGTTTTGACGCTCTTCATCGATTACGTGCTTGAAGAAATGGGGAAATACAACTTGTCGGACTCTCAGCGTGATCAATGGTGGGAATATGCTAGAGGTAGTTTGCCTCAACATGTGAAGTTTGCTTACGACCAGGGACGCACTACCACGGAAGATCAGGAAAACATCAAGAGATACTTGAAGGAACTTGACGCTCACCAGAAACAAGCCCCTGCGTACATGATCGTCCGTAACCGTTTGACTGATGACTTGTACGTGCACAAGATTAAGGATGAAGTTGATAGAATTCTTGACCAATCTACTGTTAATTCGTGGGACAAGACAGTTGATTTGTTGGAGGATCTATTCCCTACGCAGTACGTCATCAGAGGTGAACTCGTTGCTGAAAAAATCAATTTTGCCGTCAACTTATACCGCAGAAGGGACCACCGCGGCTCTATTAACAATGTCAAGCAGGCCTACTTCCGCATTATCGACGAAGCTGTTGCGGAGCAAAAGCAAGTTGTGAGACAGTCGTACCGAAACAATGATCGGAGCTCATGAACCAATACTCGTTATTCACGAAGCTATCCCTAGATTCGACCAAGATCTCGATTAAATCGATACTTGTCAATACCGACGATGGTAAAATCTTTTTCTAAAATACGAGGAAGCGTATTGGCGTCCACCGCTACCGTAGCTCGATGACCCCCGCCACTCTTGGATCTCTTTGACAGCAGACTGGGTGACCTTTTAAGTAGTTTGGCTGTTTTGTACAATAACCCTTTGGCCGTTCCCAGTGTTCGCAACATCACTTTTTCCATCGCCAGCTCCATTGTATCATTCGGGTCGATCATCTCCTCCAATTCTGCTGCTGACAACCTAATTCCCCGTGCTTGGATCATGTCTTTTATCCGATTAACCATGACGGACTTACGAGCGGCGTCACTCACTCCTGGAGACACATTGACGATGAACGCCTTGCGAGAATCAGGCGTAATTTTCTGCTGGAAAGCTGAGAGAAACCGGTCACGAGTAGCGTTTTCCATCACCAACTGATTCCAGCTGTGAAACTGATAGTCATGGTTATATATCTGCTCCCAATTGTTCCAATGGGCCACTGCCACCGAGGAAGCAGTGTGATCCACCTGCCCCGCCGACGGTTTACGGAAGAAAAGCGAGCTGTTCCGAGGCGTCGACCCGGAGAACAGGTCGACAATCTCTTCGGCAAATTGTGCTTCCAGCATAGCGGCAAGGTTGCGTTCTAAGCCCAAAAGAAAGTCATTAATGCCATCGACCACTCTTGGGGTGTCTTCACTTATGGGACTAGAAACCACGATCATCACTCCGACGGTGGTTCTGGCCATGACAAACACCAGCATCACGTGGTAGCCAAGCTGTCTTTTTAATCGTAACTCGGTAACTGCGTGTTGGTCAATGTAGAAGTTTATAAGTTCCGCCCAAAGCCGACTCTGCTGGTCATGGCGGGGGCCAAGATGGATATAGTACAGCACCGTGTTCATGAGATCCTCGGGATTCATACTGGGCTGGGAAATCTGATACGTTGAAGGGTTCAGTACTTGGTACGACTGAGGCCAACATCGATCACTCCAGGAAAGGGAGGCGGTGGACGAAAGTACGGTCTGCGCCAATTGACTGGTGAACGCTTCTCCTTCTTCAGTCAGCACCAACATCCTTAAATATCCCAAATGCTGACTAAACTGGGTGAGGCATTGTTTAAACTCGGCCAACCCCAATTGCTCTAGTCGACGGATGCGAGTAGCGTGGTCAGGTACCTTAGTTTCAGTATACAATAGCCGTCCGATCAACGCTTGTTCCACGCCCAGCTTCGTCTTCATCAGCTCCAAAAAGTGAAGGTACTTCGACTTGATCCCCCGGAACATCTTGTTGGTCAATTGTAAGTTGTCGAGGGACTGAAATATCTGGTTTAATTCAGTGACGATGGTGTCCACCACCCCTAGGATACCAAGAGTAAGCCCCAGTACGTGGAATCCAATCAGCGGCGTCTCGTTCCAGTTAGAGTATATCCCCCATTGGTACCCAATCATCTCGGCAGCGTATAACTTTGGCAGAAGTAGCTCGCCCAACCAGTGGGCTAAGAGCACGGTGGCCAGATCCATCAACGATTCACCACCAAGACATACGGAGGAGGCTTCGAGACCGACCAGAAGATGAGTACAGTGTTGCCATAAACACGGCTGGCACCATACTTCGTGTTGGTCCAGCGCTTCCACTAAGAATGGGGCTTGTATATCGGCCGCCGCCGAAGCTGCCCCAAACGTATTATCATAGGTTGATGTATGGTTCTGTAAGTTAAACCCGTCCAAATCATCAATGTACGGGTTGGGTTCAGGGATGTGGAAGCCAGCGGTGGCGGGGATGGTGCATGTTGGGACACTTAGAAGGCGACAACGGCTATAATCAATATGGTAGTAAGGGTCGTGGGCCAGTTCCTCTACGCCGAGATAGGACGACATGCGTTGGATCTCGTCTCCCAAGTAGATAAAGCAGCAATTATCAGGTGAAAGAAACTCTCGCAGATCACTGGTTACGCCCTCAGCGAGTTCATGAGCCAACTCGGGGGTCAAGCGAATATCGTCAGACACGGCGGTAAACCCCTTGATTAGGTTTTCCGCCGGTAGTGGTTGGTGTAGCGTGCGAGCCAACGAAGACACCTCATCGGCAATGTCGGTACTATTGCGGAAATAGAACCCCAACTGAAGCACGAAGAATACGTCACTAACGTATCTGGCGAGTGCGGGCGTCACTTGACCTAAGAACTGAGCAATATAGGCATTAGTGGTGGCAATCACTTCATCTAAATGGTACACGCCTTTCGCCAATAAGTCAATATCTATCAACAATACCTTTTCTCCATCGGCGATGGACATGCTGTGAACGTAGATGGCCAGAATAAAGTGTTTTTCGTGCCGGAGATAGTTGCCAAGCGACCCTGCACTCTCATCACCCAAAAGATTACACCAGCACTGAAGATAGAACTCGCGTTGAGAAGAGTCTGTTTTCACTGGGAACACCAACCGAAGCTTTTCCTTGACCGATGACTTTATATGAAGGAACTGGCCAGGCAAAAATGTGGTGGTAGTTGTTGAATTTGACTGGGATGATAATGGAGGCTCATTGGATGATATTCTGGCAAATGAAGAAAATACCACTTTCTGTAAATGATTTAGCAGTTGGGGCCCTTTTACTACCACCGTGGTATTTTTAGCCACATAGTGGTCACGATAAAATTGGACCACCATATCTTTTAAAATCAGCGTCAGTGGCTTCGATAGCGTAGTTTTATCTCCAGTACCAAATTGGTGAAACGGATGCGATTCATCGGCAAGAAGCCGCATTCCATGATACAAAATGCGGTCAATGTCACTAGTATTCCGCGTGTGTTCGCCGTGGATGGCAGCAATCTCCTTTGCAAGCATTTTCGTCGGCACCAGCGGGGCGGTGACAAATGAGGCGAACATGGCCAAAGTGTGCTCGAACACCGGCGTATGTTTAGCGTAGCCTTTAGTATCGATATCGTAGTGGAACGTAGTGTGTTGGCCCACGGTATAGGCGTTTACGTGGCCCTGGTGGTCACTAACTAATTTGTGGAACTCGGCAGCTTTAGGGAACTGTTTCAGTCCAGCAAACACCATATGCTCACAAAGATGAGCTAGACCGGGTAATTTGCCATCGTTAAAAGAACCGGCACCCACACACACCGCCACCGCCGCCTGGGCCAGTTGGGGCGACGAGATAAGAAGCGCCCGTACTCCAGAAGGGAGCACCACAAGCCGGTACAGGTTCCCCAGACAACTGAGCGGGATGGCAAAGTCCACGGGGACGGTTTTTATCCCCTGGACTGACATAGGGAGGGGAGGAGAACGGCAGCGGAGACCATTGTGTTTGGTGATTTCATGCGTTCCCCACCGGGGTTGATTGTCACCGACTAATCGAGTAAGTGTGGGGCAACTTCAAAACATCGGCAATTTCTCGTCAAGATAGCGTCATATACGCCATCTTGACACCATCAATTGATTTTGGGAGTAATAAGGTAAGGTTTGGAGTTAGGCCTAAAAGTATTAGGGTTGAAATTTACACTACCTGCATATACTACCACTGACCAGTATAAAAGCGATGCGATAATTTAATGAGAAGAAAAAAAAAACTTATCACAACCCCCATCGAGCGGGCTCCCCTCAATCCAGCCGGTCTCCGTGAGGACCATGGTTTCGCGGTTAATTAGGGGATCCCGCTGGAAAACGGGACACCGGCGATGATTATTTGCATTTTTACCAATTGTTCCGACTGAAGCCCCATGTCGACAAATGCATTCGTTAAGTTTCAGCCTTGTATGAGCCAGTGTCCTTTGGGGTCCACCTGAATTGTGGTACGTATGCTTTTTATGATGATTACCCGACCGGGCGGACATATCCGGTGGCGTCTCCCACTTGTGGAGTCGCATCCCATGTGTACAAATTTTTTTGGGGTGTTGAGGCGTCGCCGTTGATGAAAGGTCGTTTCTCTGACTATACTAACTTTCCAGTGCAAAGTTTACTCTAATTTTCCATAAACTGCCGGAGACACTCGTCAACGCGATGGGTGGCTTTCGCGGTTGGTGGGGATGTGGCCCCTGGTCTTTACATGATGAGCAACTTATATTCACACTGTACGAGAGCAATCTGTGACTACTTTCCAAAATACTGATTTAATGACTCTGACGACCACGCCACCCCCCACCAAGTACTTGTAACGTAGACCGTAAACTAGACCATCAATTGCTACTTTCACCGTCACTAATGAAGGTGATGAGGAAGTGATGGATGCTAGTAACCACTCAAACACCGTCTTTAGATGACAGTATTGTCATCTTAGAACATACTAACACTGATGTTACTTCATCAAAGTTTTCTAAGTGACTGTCTTCACTGATTTTTCAGTAGGTGACTATTCTCAACTCATCTCCCCACACGAGCAATCATTGTAATTATCGACGCCAAAGTACAGTGAAAAATCGTGGGAATTATCAACTTACTACTCCGACAACGTAAAACAAAGACATCGTTTTAAATTATTTGGTAGGCATTGAATATATCAGCCCAACTACTACTAGGCTACTATACGCCGGGAATGAGCTCATCTCACAGCGGTCGCGCGGAGGCCAGGGATTTGCTTTTCAGTCGCCGTGATCGTGCGACCCAGGACTTTACCACCCCTCTCCTTCCAATAGCCAGGCCCCTCCCGCGAGCCCCCGATGGCGATTCTACGAACCACCCCTGCGTCGTGGCGACGATGGAGCCGGGTCGGGTCGATTTGCCCCGTGCATTGGCGACGAATGTACACCCCCCGCGCCCTGGCGTTCGTCCCCCGCCAGTGGCACGACGCCATCGCCACCACCCCCAGGCTCTGGCACCAGGAGATCTACTCCCAGGAACAGATCAAACAGGCAGCCTCCTCACTAAGAATGATGGTCGCCATCGCCTATCTCCATCGTGACGCCCTGGTGCTCGAGGCAGCAGTATCGGCATGGCAGGCCGTCCATCGCCGCCACCATAAGCTGCCGCTGTGCCACGAGCTTTGTAAGCGTCTAAGCAAGCTGGCAGCCGACTTGGAAGCGGTGCTTTTGGACCAGGGACAGCTAGAAACGGCAGCATCGCTATTTGGCGATGACCTCACTCAAAAATACGGTACCGCGAAGCTCGAGCCGTGGAACATTGCCAAAATCGTTAAAGATGCCTCGGTGGACATTGATCAGCGCCGCCGGCTCATAAATATGGCGGTGTTACTGAAAAAAGTCGGCACTAACCGCATCTTGCCTCACCAGTACTTGCTGTGGGTGGAAGCCGCCGAAGACGATAACTGGAGCCTCCCATACACTTACCACCACTCGCTCCGCATTATTGCCATGCCGCCACCGGCGCTGACTCGGTTTCTCGAGTACGCTGACCTCTTGACCAGCTATTTCGGTCCTCATCGTGACACCCAGTGTGGCGCGTTTATCACGCTGTGCATGCAAGCGTTGGCTCCGATTCAGAGCCACGCCGTCCTTAACTACTGGCAGTATAAGCTCCGCCGGCTCCCCGACCACGTGACCCCGGAAGACTTGAGACTCGCCATGGAAGCGCTCGCCGACCTCAAACTGGACGAAAAAGTGCTCCAGCTCTACGACCACCACCCCGAGCTCCACGACGACTGTCAGATCGACGTGCTCTTGCAAATCACCGCCGATAACCGCGACTGGCTGCGGCTTCAGGCCCAGTTTGAAGACATGTACGGGCGCAAAAACTTGCCCCATGTTGTCCATTATACCATGGTGATGCGAGCGCTTGCCCTGATGGGAGCAGTAGCCGAAGTGGAGCAGTTATACCAGCAGTTAGGCGAGCGTCAATTGAAGCCGACGCCGGAAATCTTCGCTGCCCGTATCTCTGCGGCGTTAAACGATGGCGACTGGTCTCGAGCACTCGCGGTGTTTGACGAGTACGTGGCCTGCGACCACTCTTCCCCTTACGCTCAGGCGTACTTGTATCATAAGCTCATGGCCTATCAATTCAAGATGGCCGAACCGGAGAAGGGGTGGCGGTTTTTCCAAGATGCATTGACCCGACAACAGCTGGACGAGAATATCCGCTTGGTCAACACCCACACGTTGAAGCTTGCCATCCGCTACTTTGCTACTAACTTCCGCGCCGACTATATCGAGGTGATTGCCCAGTTGGTAAACAGTCATCCTGAATTTGCCGTGGAAACGGTGCGGCTCGCCATGGTCGATGCCTACATCCAGCTAGGCCAGTTCCAGCTTGCTAAGCAGTGGGTTGACGACGCCCACATGCTGCTGAGTCCGCCGTGGTCACGTCCACCGGTATACGCCGCCCAGGTGAAAGTGATGCGAATGGACCCTACCGAATATACCCACCGTCAGCTCCGTCAGATCACCGCTGCCTTCACTCGCATCAAGACCAAAGAGCCCGTAACAATCAATTTGCGGGCACTTTCACCGGTGAAACGGCTGAAGCTCTATATGGAGCTCATCAAGTGGCTCATCAGTCGCCGCGAGATCGACAACGCCCTCAGCGTGCTCAAATTGGCCCAGCGCCACGAGGTGGTGAGCGAGTCCCACTACATCCCCTTTCTTAAGCACTTCTCGATGTCTAACGACTACGCCCAGCAACAACGGGTGATTCACATGTACCGTGAGATGAACGCCGCCCGCATCACCATGACCACCACCGCCTACGTCCCATTGATGCGGGCCGTGGCCTACCTCGATCATCGTGAGGGTAACTTCGCCAATCTGTTTAAGCTCTTTGCCCTGATCTTCGAGATGAAAGGAATCAAAGTTGAAGGGACGCTGTACACTAAGATCAACCCGACCAAGCCGTTGATCTTGCTGACGCTGGATATGCTCCATTTGTGTCAGTTGATTCTGATCTACGTGACGGCACTGGGCAAAGTGAACTCGCTCAAGTTGTTGGTGAACTTCCTCGATTTGATCAAGCGCGAACCCCACGCCCAACCACTCCACGATATTCGCATCAAGATGGCGGTGTATAAAGAGATGATGAAGGTGTTGGAGCCGGGAGACGGCAAGGAGAAAGTCAACGCCAACGCCTGGCGCGACTTAGACAAACAAATCAGCCGCTACGCAGACACCTACCCGTTCCCCGGTACGATCATAGTACCCAAAGTTCTCAGTGACTACGCTCGTTGGCTTGTGGGGATCACTAAGGATACCGTCACCGTGGAAACGGTATACCGTTTATACCAACAAGGGGTCCACTTGGGTGGGGTGTTATACAATATTCTCTTCACCCGGTTCCTCAATGGCCTGACGCTGCCGGCTCAATTGGACTATATCCTCGAAATGGTGGAGCTGGATATGGCCCCCGCCTCACAGACCCAGCATCGCCTCCGCAAGATGTACCACTACTTGTACCACAAAGCGGTGGTGGTGCTCGCGGCTCGTGGGGCTGATTTCTCCAAGTTTGGTCCTCTTAACGACTATTATGGTGTTGACGCCGAGCTGCTTCCTCGCGGTCCTCGCGCTAACGCCAAAGTGGCTCTCCGCCAGTTTGTGGAGGCGTTCAACCAGGTGAAAGCCCACGTATCCCCCACGCGAGACGACCCCGAGTGGGTCCTCCGCAACCCCGGGCGCTACTTCAACCCGGAAAAGATCGTCCCCACCCCGCATCGACTCAGCGACCTGCTTAACCAGGCGCTCTGGCACGCTCTCCACACCCACATGCCCACCACCACCCACTGGTTTGCCGCCATGGACCGGTACCCGGAAACCATCGACCACATGCTCCAGTGGCACGACCTGCGGTCGCGGGTGAAGCGGTACCGCGCCGCCACCGACGACATCCGGCCCCCGGCGGGCCCGGAACTGTATCGCCAACGGTTGCTGCGGAACAAACAGGTGCTTCGGTTCGTCAAGGGCAAGAAGAGTTGAGAGACGTTTGTACATAGTATTTATTAGCATTAACTCATATCCACTTACTCGACCTGTTCCTTCTTCGCCAGTTCCTTCTTCACTCGTTTCGTCTTCTTCTCCGTCTTCTTCTCCCGCTTTTCCTTGGTCGCTTTAGGGGCCAGCTTATCCTTGGGTTGAGCAAACTCAAACGTGGCGGTAGTGGTGGTTTCCCCGTAGATCAACGGCCCGATCCAAGGCTGGATGTTCCACTCCAACTTCACCACCGCCGGCGTGCCGTCAAAGCTGTCTTGCACGTCCCACACCGAGTACTTGGACTTGGCATTCTTCAACTTCAACGTGGCATCCTCTTTCGTCCGCAAAATCTTGTCCCAGTACGTCACCTTCAGCTCGCCGCCATCAGTGCTGTTATACGAGGCAGTCAAGTAGATGAACACTTGCTTAGTGTTCCAATTGAATAATGGGGTCAAGTCCAGCTCCAAGTCGAACGAGATCTTGTTATTTTCCTTGGGCCGGCCGCCGGTGGACCCGTATTGGAACAGCTTTTTGAGGGTGGTCGTCAGCTTGATATTGGCAATCTCCACAGCATCGATCAGCCACACGGCGTCACGCCACAATTGCAACAACAGAAGCATCACAACAATGCCCGCAAGCACTGCTGACAGCGTGAGCGCCTGGTTGCCCGCGGTCTGGATCCGGGTACTCAAATTGAACATGGTCTCTCTATAACGACACGTCGCGCGCGCTTTGGTAGAAATCAACAGTAAACGCGAGAAGCACGAGACAGTATAAAATTGGGTAATGGAGAAGTCGAAGTAAGAAAAATTGTGCTGCTTCTAGGGAGGAAACGTCATAGAGAGTAACTTCTGGCATGCGGCAAAAAGGTAAGCCCGATGCGGGGCTCGAACCCGCAGCCTTGAGATTAAGAGTCTCACGCTCTACCGATTGAGCTAACCAGGCTTGCTACAGCGCATTAATAAAACTTGTTTTCCAGATGATGCTAATAAAGACTTCACTTTGCCCAAATTCCCCCAGATACGAGAGTATACGTGTACTCAGATCTACGTTTTGATCACATTAGATGGGTGTACGTTACGTGTGATCCTCAAATCAACTTTATTGTCGGTTTACAATCAGTTATTGCGGTTGCAAAATAACATTTCATTACTATCTAGTCGAATTCCTTAGACAAAGTGTCTCCCTTCCACCAGCGGAAGCCAAGACCCTGACCAAAGTCAGGGTTGATGTACCGCTTAGGGTTTTCTTCACCCACCTTGTACAACGTCTTCAACTCGTCGTCAGTAAGCGGCGGCAATCTGATATTGGTCTTGATCCGGTCAAGGTTAGACAGCCGCGAAATCAGCCCCCGCCCTTGCAAAATGTTATAAGCGTTAGCCACTTCCGCACCACTCACATTATACTTAGTTGCAAGATCCTGTACTTCCTTAAGTTGAAGTACTGGAGCACCCGTAGATCCGAGGGGTGAGTAGGCAAAGAGGACGATGCCGTGCTGCTTAGCAAAGTCGGTGAGGTCCTGTTGCGGCAACTGCGGGTGGTACTCCACTTGGTTGACCACAGGAACAACCTTAGCCACCTTTAACAACGCTCTGAGTCGGGGGATAGAGTAATTGGACACCCCGATCAGCTTCACTTTCGACGTCGTTTGCAAGATCTGCTCAAGTTGTCCGTAGACGTCCAAGTACTTGGTGCCAGTGACGGGGTCATCAGCAAGCTTAGTGCGCCCGTTATCGTCCTTAGGCACGGCTGGCTTATCGTTATCGTCAGTGTCAAACGCCACCGGCCAGTGCTGAAGCAACAAATCGACGTAGTCCAATTGCAAAAGCGCTAACGACTCGTCCAACCCTCTCTCCACGTGCTTCCAGTGCAGCGGCCACACCTTAGTGGTGATGAACAAGTCCTCGCGCTTATAGCCTTCTTTAAACAATTGTTGAAGGGCCTCGCCAATATACTTTTCCGAGCCGTAGAACCAGGCGGTGTCGATGTGGCGGTAGCCTGCTTTCACCGCGGTGATCACCTGGTCCTTGATCTGGGACGCATCGGGAGGAGGCACCGTTCCAAGCCCGAGGGCGGGGATCTTCTTGCCGTTGTTGAGGTCAAAGTCGACGTCGGTGGCGAGCTTCAGCATAGTGATTAGTAAATTAGAGCAATTGACTGGTTATTGGTACGTTTGGGGCCGCAAGCGGTCTACTTATAGGGGATGGGGGACCCCGCCACACTCATGCGTGATTTCTAATCACGAGCCCATCCCCCAACCCAAAATTGTGGCGACAATGTCAGACCATAGATAAGCGTGTAGAGGAGGCCTGTTTTTCGGTTTGAATTTAATTGTATTAGTTTAACATCAACTTGGTTGGAGAAATCAGTATAATAAATGTAATTGACCACCATTTCACCAAAAAGAGAAAATCACTGGAGAATTAATAGTATGGAATATTAATTAGAAATTCACCTATAATACATTTATGGTGGCATCTACAGATAAGCAGTGAGTTTACCAAGGATGATCCACAGTGGCAACGAATGGTGTGGCTCAAAAGTGTCAATTGAGGGGGCTATGTAATTTTGAGTATCCCGTACTTATCGCGTTCCTGCTGTTGAAGCTCGCTCCACGCATCTTGCGACACTTCTTCGATGGTATCAATTACCCGCTGAGCTTGTTCTCGCGCGAGTAAATCGTCGTCGGTGGTGGCAGTATACTTGAGGGCATCGTACACTTTTTGCATATACTCTCGAGGAAACGGGACCGCAGCAGAGCTGGTGGTGCCCATAATGAGGTCATGGATCATCACGCAGGCGGCTCGTCTGACAATGGCAAGGTCTTTGCCCTTATCCACTTGAAGCACCTGGAGAGCAGCGTCGAGAGCATCGCCCACAAGACCCAAAAACCCAATCGGGTTGGTGTAGCAGCATATGCCGAGTATTGACATTGCCGACATGCGAAGACGAGAGTCTTCCTGGGGCGTTTCCACCACCCGTAATGCGGTACTCACCACGAGCTTACTGGCATCGTTAGCAAACATTTCGCCCGCCAGTTGGACGTAGCGAAGGAGGACTTCGCCGATGCGGAGTCGCTGGTCGACATCGTTCTCTTCAGCAGACGTGACCTTAGCGGTAGGAGCGTATAGTTGGCAGAGCTCCAGTAACACTGGCTGAGGGTCAAGGTCAATGAGGGCTTCGAGACCCTTGATGGTATTGAGGTAGACAAACGGTTCCGGATCACTTAATTGGATCAAGTGGAGATTAACGGTGAAGGAGATGTCGATGACACTGCTTTTCTTCTCAATAAGTTGGCGTAACAAGTAGAGACCATGGGCCCGAATCGGGACCAATGGATCGTTTAAGCTGGAAATGGCTTTCTTTAACACTTTTTCCTGGTCCAGAAGGGGGCTGTCCTGGACTGAACCCCCACTTATAATCTCATCGATGCGATCAACAAGCGATTGCGCCGCTGGGAGGGACTTATACTCTTCGGTTTCAAGGGTAGACTTAATCTGTTTGAGGAGGTCAAGTGATTGAGAATCAAAAGTGTTGTTTTCCGATAGTATCGCCGAGAGAAGCTGAAGCACCATCACCACGGTATCGGGCGACACCAGGGTTTCGTCGCCATCGTCTTCGTCGTCAGAGTCACCTTCATCAACATCCATAGCTTCTGAGGCAGCCGTGATTGAGTGAGTAGCCTGAGGTTTCTCCAAAAGAGTTTGCACCACCGTCAACATTTCCTGGGGCTTCTCACACAATGCAGAGCCAAACTTCTCCCCAATGGCTTCAAGCAACTTCAAGTCGATAAGGGCAAGGAATGGGTCAGTATCGCTGGCTCCCAGGAGCTTAATCCACCGTTTCAAAATGACCAAAAATTCGGACGTGATTAGGGCTTCATCTCCAATCGCATCTAATAAGGTGATGAACTCGCTGCACCCACGATCCACCGCGTTGACAAATGACTGGATCTTCTTATGCGGGTCTTGTTCAAGCGGTTCCACGCGTTTTCTGATCTGAGTAAGACCATTAGGCCCCCACAGGAAGTACCAGTTATCGGTACCATCAAAGGTCAAATGCTGGGCGATGGCGTCGAGATTGGTCGTGGACGTTTCACTAGCGGTAGTGAAGTAACTCACCAACAAGTCAGTCACCACCCCGACCGGTTTCAGCCGTTGTTTGAGGGTCATTAAGTAACCCCAAAGCGGCACGATCATGGGAGCAAACCCTGCCTGAAGAAACTCAGGGTCAGCACCTTGTTTAGAAAGACTTATAAGAACGTTGAGGTTGTTGTTGAGGTCAGCTTCATCGACTATCACCAGGGTATCGGGGGTATTAGGATTGAGATCAGGGTTGAATCGGTACCAGATCTTTTTGAACAAGAAATCGGTGATGATGCGAGAGTTGCGTTGCCATAGCTTGTCAAGGACGTAGACAATGCAACTGGTAATCGTCGGCCGGTTGATATTGACGAGGAGGTCATAGCACTGGCGGGTAATGATATTGGTATAGTAGTCTACCGAGGAGATATCCTGGGGCTTGGACATGATCGCCTGGACGACATGGTCAAACTTGTCCACCTTGACCTCGGTACTTTCTCGGAGGCCCAACACAAACTCCACTAAAGTCTTGACGCCGTTGGCAAAGTCGTATGGTAGACGCTGGAGCTTTTTGAAGACAAACTGTTTGAAGTAAGGTGGCAGCGGGGTACTGACTAATAACGTAAACGTTTGGTATAGTTCGTAGGTCTCACCAATGTGCACCACTCTATCGTAGTCCACTTGAGGTGCGTATTGTTCAAGGGCAGGGGTGGTGATTAACGCGATGGTGACCACTAGCAAATCGGAGAAACCCGTGCCCCGTAAAAGAAGATCACGCACATCCCCGTCGACTTCGAGGATCGCCGCTAGCTTGGTGTATATGAGCATGAGCATCGCCCCCGCCTCGGCGTCAGTGGGGAGCGGCTCAATGTCCTTGATCTTAGAAAACCTCAGAAGGTTCCGCTTGGCAAACGGGATCCCGATGCGGTACCTCAGCAACGCCGGGTACACGCCGTAGATGATAATGGCGTTGACCACCTTCGAGAACGTCTTGAGGTCGTGCATGGCGATGGCGATGAGGTGCTGGTTGCCGTCGGGGGCCCGAGGCTTTTCTTCAATGGCAAACGTCTGGATCTGTTTAAGGGTGTCGAGTAACGTCGACACCAATTGGTACTGAGTATCGACGGCAAACGCCCGGCAGGTGGCGGCGACATCGGCTTGCGGCGCCAACTTCCGCTCGAGATCGACAAAGAGCTTATCCAACGGGGTCGTCGGCGTATAGTCGGGGACATTGAGTCCCTTGTACACCTCCTTGCCATCACGACGGATGGTTGTCGCCTTTGGCTTGGCGAACGGGTTCTTCGGCGGCATACGTCTAGGGAGTAGCGGTGCGGATCACTTGCTTTGGTGAACATGAAAGTTGACTGGTAGAGCAAACAAGAAGTAAATATAACTGTGATGTTTTCAATTCGTATTGTATCAAGAGAGGAAGATGTGAATAGACTGTAAACGATGGATTGTTAGAACGAAGGACGACTGGTATTAGGGCATTGATCTATGAAGCTGACATACGGGCGCGCGAAGCTGCGTACGGCTGGTACCTCGCTATGATCAATGAACTATTGGTTGGTGGTCTACAATGATGAACAAAACAGATATTGAATTTCAGCTGAAGTCATGAGTTGTGCTGGAGTCACGACAAGTCCAAAGCCACCATCGCAAACTAAGGTAAAACACCGACAAGACCGTGGAGTACTTCATCGACAAGCGAGAGCTCGCTTGAATTGGTGGGTAAATGCCTTCAAATGGAGTCCCACATCTCTTAGGACTTCAACGTTGATTATTGATTGGATATGAAGAACTTCACCATACCACTGAAAAAGCTCAGGTTGCTGCTCCCATGGTTCCCAAGGTTCCTGGACGATCGACTTAAGGCGGAGATGAAGGGCTTCCCCAAGTGACATCGTCAGCAATTTCTGACTTCAATTGTGGACTGGTTGACGTGAGTTTGTTTCCACGCCCGGATCATTCCTATGATTTTGTCGGCATCAAAGGTTTGAGGTGGGCACTTCAATTTCAATTCGCTGGTAATCGTATCGACCCAAGTGACACCCAATTGGGATATGAACAAGGAAACATGCTGGTGTACTTGTTCTGCGGGAAGCGACTGCAAAAAGCTGCGTACATGGGGCAAGTCGTCGTTGGCCGAAGAGGGGATTATACGTCATCCCCCCTAAATTCTAAACTGGCCAAAGCGTATTGTATCAGACCGTTGAACTCCATTCCTAAATGATTGAAGCGACAAGGGGTAAATGATTGTGCTCATATGTTCTTGTTCCTAGAGACTTACAGTGACAAATAAGTCAATATTTGCGTTGATTCATACATGCTACGTAAACTTAGTGGATGAGTTTGCCAGTGGATCCGCTAGAACTCCAATATCACCCATTTCACATTGCCATTATCAGTACGCACCGTGAATATGATCATATTTGCCAGAGCGAGGATCGGGACAATACGGCGATCGGGAAAAAACTCATGCTCAAGTAGCTTAAGCGCCGCGTTTCTTCCGTCGTGCGATTGGTGCTGACGATTATCGTTGTCCAAAAGCGCCGCTTCAAACTTCTTTTGGTCCTCAACGCTAAGCTTCGACTGATATTGGAAAATATCACGGTACCATTGGATGCATTCAGCTCTAGTTGGCCATGGTTGTGAGTCAATTGTATCCAATCTCTGCTTCATCGAATCCCAGTCTGCAGCACTGCCATGTTTGGCTTCCTCCTTGAGGACGAGTTTTTCTCTACGCTTGGCAGTGTAGTTTTGATTCAATGCCTCAATCTTGTGGTTGAACTCTTCAAGGGTGAACCAAGGGTGAAAGGTATCGTGTAAGAGCTGAGTGAGTTCTCGTTCAAAAGCCTTCATGATAGAGCCATGGTTGATGTAAACTTGTTGCGCTCCCAAAATGTAGTCGCTGACACACTGGCGATCGTGGTCACTGGGAAGCGACTGCAAAAAGTTGTACACCTGGGGCGTGTCAAGCCGATTGGGGCGCATGGTGGGTTTACCAGCAGTAAATTGGGCTTCGCGGGAGGGTGTCGACATGAGAATGATAGCCAGTGAAGCAAGCTATGGGACTTATATAACCCCCCGATGGCGCCACTCTCCCCCCTGCACCGAACAAGTACTCCACTTACCTATAGTTTGGTATGCTCTTCTGAAAAAGCAATTCTCCATCCCAACAAGCTACTCTCAGATGCAACCATCGATATGAAAATTAACAACTTTTATTAAAGCAAACCTATATAATTCTACAAAACTTTTTAATCACTCGTCGTCATCGTCTTCGTATTTCTCTAAGCGGTCTTCGGCAGCCTTTTCCGCCAACTTGACCCCGCCAGAAATGGCAAATTGCCCGCCACCATCGACCTTGACGATATCTTCATCCTTGGTGGCGGTGTTGTGAATGCGAGTGGGCACTTCGATATCGTCATCTAAGTTACCCAAGCCGAGAGCGTAGGTGTCGGCAAACCCCCACGCGTAGACCATACCGTCTTCAGTAACGGCGTACGACTGGTGAGATCCGGCACCGATGGCCTTGCACTTGAACGACGTCTGCTTGCCCACCTGGACCTTAGTGGGCATGGGGATGGCCCGCACGCGGCCGTGGTCGTCTTTGTAAGCGTATTCAGGGTACTTGTCTTCGGCAATGCCCACTTCCTTCATGTCGACACGGCCACTGGTGTAGACGTCGCCCAGTTCCGTCAAGAAGATGGTGTGGTGTTCGCCGCCGGCAATTTGGGACACGCCCTTGTTGGTGAGGCGGTTGATTAACGTGGGGTGGGGGAGCATGTCGCCGTCTCTGAGCCCGCCTTCGGCGACGTCGACGCCGCACTGGCCGTACTGGTTGAGCCCCCACGCGTAAACGTGGTCGTCGTGGTCGACGGCAAAGCAGTGGAAGTCGCCCAGAGCAATGTACTTGATGTTGTAGAGGCCAAACGGCTGCGGTTCAAGCGTTCTCAACACGTGGCGCGGCATCACCTTGCGGCCAAGCTGGTTCTGCTGGCCGTTACCCCAGGCAAACACCACCCCCTTGGTGTCGACGGCCAACAAGTGATCTTTACCGGCAGCCAATTGGCAGATGTTCGTCAATTCGTTGATTTTGCGCGGGGTCCGCTCCAACTTGTCCAGGCGTAAAAAGCCAAGCACCCCTTCGTTGTTGCGGAAGCCGCCCCACGCCCACACGTCGCCATTGTCGAGGATGACGGCACTGAGGTTATCGGTGGCCGCCAACCCGACAATGGCGATCCCTTTAGGGAGCCCTTCAACTTTCCCCGGGGTCGATTCCTTAGGGTTTAATGAGGCGTCTTCGTCGTCAGAGTCGTCGCCATCAATAGTTTTAAGCACTTCAGCACCACTAGTGTCCCGACCAAGCACGCCGTAGTCGTTGGTGCCCCATGACCACAAGTTATTGTTGGAATCAAGCACCAAAGTGTGCATACCCCCGGCGGCAAAGTCGACGACGTGAACCCCCTCACCGAGGGCGCCGTCGTTCAAAAGCGGGTTTCTTCTTGGTCGTTTCACTTCCTTGGTCTTGGCTTCGGGGCCCAAACCCAACTCACACATCGCCCCGGACCCCCACACGAAGATATCGAGCGGCTCAGTTTTCGGCTTGGGGATGGTGTTGACGTCGGGCAAACGGCCTTTCAGGTGAAGCAACGCCAGCGCCGAGACGTGGACTTGTCTCGCTCGCTTGGGAGCAGGGGAGGCGCCTCTCAGGGCGCCCCGCTTACTGGTTTTGGTGGGAGCCATCTCGTCGTTCAAGCAACAAATGGCGCTGGCTAAGAAAATGCGAGCAGAGGAGGGGAGACACGGGGTGGATTCGGCTGGCGGCGGCGTGCCTGAGAGAATTGCTGGGTGAATCAGAGGTTAGAGCAGCAAAAGAAGGCAAACGATCGGATGGAAGTAATTATACCGATGGCGGCAGAAGGCGATGGATGGCGATGGATGGCGATGAAGTAAGGGGCCAATTGAGGCAAACGTCGACGGGTTGTAAATAATAGTACTAAAATATTGGTTAACTCAGTAAAAGGATCAAATACTCCAATCCTTTTATCGATCAGTGTATTATTCATCGAGAACTGGCAAACGGCGTGGCTGTTGTTATTTCGGATCGAATGATCTTTGGTGGCTGGTACGATGTGCGGATCATTGATTTCAGTCAGTGGCCGCCGCGCTCACGTGACCTTACTACTCCTAGAAATAACGAGGGAGGCGTCATAATCTCCACACATATTATATACCTTTATCTTTCCAAAACTCCCCAAATCTGATGGACGAGATTAAGACGCCGCTTGCCCCCGAGGAATTACGCGTGCTCCGCAACCAGCTCGAGCTGGAACTGCCGCCGCTGGCCCAGTCCCAATTCAACTACGCCTGGGGTCTCCTCCGGCTGGCGAGCCCCCGCCAGGTGCTGGACGGGGTGACGATGCTTGAAGAACTTTACCGCAACGAGCCGGGGATGCGCCGCGAAGTGTTATACTACTTGGCGTTGGGCCTGTTCAAACAGGGCGACTACGGTAATGCCCGGCGGTACACGGAACAGTTGCTTAAGATCGAGCCCGACAACGGCCAGGCGAAGCATTTGCTCGAAGAGATCGAGGCTAAAGTGACTAAAGACGGGTTAATTGGTTTGAGTATGGGCGTGGGTGCCTTAGCCGTGGGGGTGGGTATCTTGGCCGGAGTCCTCGGTGGTCGCCGCAAACGGTAATTAGGCAACTAAGTAACCACTACTTGGTTACCAATGACCTCAATCATATATACAGATCTAGGAGTGTACGGAATAGGGAATACCAGGCAATCGAATCAATGTAGATATGTGATATTATGAGTACTAGCAACGTAGTACGGGAAAGTGTTTTCTGAGTGCATCACTTAGCCGAATGCTTTTCCACCAGGTTCTTCAACACTTGGACAGTGGTGGCGACGTCAGGCGACTTGAACACCAGGGTCCCGGCGACGATAACGTTGGCGCCAGCTTCAGCGGCAACGTCGACGTTACCTTCGCCCAAACCACCGTCAACTTCGAGATTAAGCTCGGGGTACTTTTGTCTCAACACTCTCACCTTGGGCATCATGTCGGGCATGAATTTCTGGCCGCCAAACCCGGGTTCGACCGTCATCACGAGGATCATGTCCGCCTGGTTAGCCCAGGGGATGACGTCTTCCACGGGGGTACCGGGCTTGATGGCAATGCCCACCTTCATCCCGTGCTGCTTGACCTTGTCAATCACCGCCTGGGGGTCCTTAGCCGCCTCGAGGTGGAAGGTATACTGCGAGCCACCCGCTTCGGCCATCGGCTCCACCCACTGCAACGGGTTCAGCACCATCATGTGGCAGTCGTAGAACAACTTGCGGTCGGCCAATTTCTTGGTTAAGCACGAAAGCACGGGAGGCCCAAACGAGATGTTGGGGACGAAATGGCCGTCCATGATATCGATGTGGAGCCACTTGACGTCGCCATTGCCGGCGTCGAGAATGCGCTGGCAGTCGCAGGCCAAGTCGGCAAAGTCGGCCGAGAGGATACTGGGGTTGACGATCAGACACACCATAATGGAGGAGATACGGGGAAGATGCTGGGGGGAGAGCTTTAAGCAACGAGGAGCGATGGCTTCCGAGATTTCGCGGGGCAAAATCGATTTCGAGAAATGAGTAATGATTATATGCAGGTGGGCGACGTCCAAATTTGGCAGGCGGCGCGGAGTATATCGGAAGTGTATGTAGGAAGGTGCCTAGAGCTTACCGGGAGGCTCCGGGACCGGGCGAGGGAGTAATAGTGAATGTAGAGTTGCCTCGAGCGAACGGCGGCATCGGCGACGGGTCTCTCAGGCGTAAATTGAGTTGCGACAGCGCTTGTTTGGCAAGCAGAGGCAAATCGGTGTGTGACGGGTTCGCTGGGGGGAACGCGACGTTATCGCGATGAGCCACGTATTCAGAGTCGGCAAAGCCTAAGATGCGCTCGATGTCGCGTGATTTACACCCTTTGATCATCGATATCTCCGTCAGCGAGTAGTTTACCCGACAATGGCCGACTTTCTTCGCCTCGGAAAGCGGCGATGTTTTTGTCGGGATCACCTTAATCAGCACACACTCCAGCTCGTGGAAGTGGCCCTCGACGGCGGTGACGCCTGCTGGTAAGAGCCCCGCCCGGTTCTTACGGGTGAGAGCGTCATAACACCCTTGGTCGATGATCAACAGCCCCTTGGGCTTATTGCCGTGGAGCAACCAGATGCTGCGGTCTTTCGTCATCATATTATCCCGCGATAAACCCAAGAAGCGGGTGTGTAATGGCATCCTCCCAGCAGCAATCTCGCCCGTAAGTTTGGTGGTTTGCTCGGTGACGGTCAAGTTCTCGTAGTCCTGGATATTCAGCACGATATCCAAGATTAAGTGGGGTTGCGAGGAAAGGGTAATCACGGTAGTTACGCCGACGTTGGTGGCAAGCTCAGCGGCGATGAGTTTGGTGGTCATCCCCCCAGTGCCCACTTTAGAGCCGGCGCCGGTCTCGGTATCGGTGGCCACTTGTAAGTCGTCGATATTATCAACAATAAGCACCGGGGCCGCCTCGGGATTGGTGCGAGGGTTATCGGTATAAAGACAGGGGACGTCCGTCATCAAAAACAAGTAGTCGGCGTGGATCATCCCCGCGGTGATCGCGCTCAAGGTGTCGTTGTCGCCGAACTTGATTTCCGCCACCGAAAGGGTGTCGTTTTCGTTGACGATGGGCACGGTGCCCATTTCCAATAACGCGTTGATGGTATTGGTGGCGTTGCGGTACTGAGTAAAGTCCATAATGTCGTTTCTCGTGATCAAAATCTGGGCCACCGTGGTGTCCAACAGGGTGAATAGCCGGTCAAACGACCCGAATAAACCCCCCTGGCCCACGGCAGCAAGCGCCTGTACTTTAGCAAGCTCCAGCGGTTTTTCGGTAAGGCCCATCCGCTTCATCCCCACGGCAATCGCCCCCAGCGACACGATGACGATGCGGTGGCCGAGTCGTTTAAGGCGGACGACGGTCTCGACGATGTGGGACATGTTGGCCAACCGGGGCTCGCGGGTCACCTCGTCGACAAGCGACAGCGTGCCGAGCTTGATGACGATGGTATACGTTTTGTGGGCCATTTGTAGGTTTAGGATACGTATGACTCAGGCAGGAAAATTGATTGGCAAGCGCATTTGATCGCCGGCGCGGGCTCGTAATTTATTACTGGTAACTAAGTTGCGAACGTTTCGTCGTAGATGGCGTCGAGGCGGAGGCGGGTCGGTTTCAGCGTGTGTTTGGGGAGCCGGAGCATCATCTGCTGAAACAACTGCTGGATCAATGCTAGTTCACTAATCGGTAACCGGGGTCGCCACGCGGCTACCGCCATCGTCGCGTAGAATAGCCGGTCGCCGATATCGCTGGCTCCACTAAAGGCCATGTGGTAAAATACGAGCGCCAGCGGCATCGCCAACAGGTACACGAGGGTGCGGGTGTGGCTCACCATCTCCCGAAACCATTTGCGGGTGGATTTGACCTCGTCAAGGGCAATAATCACGCGCACAGTGGTGGTGCCCTCAACCTCGACGCCGATACCGGCGGCGATCTGGTAGGTGAGTTCCAACGCCTGAGTAGCTAAATAGGCGACCTCCTGCTGATGCAACCAGCGGAGACAATGGATAATGATGGTGTTGACTCGCGAGGGAGTGAAACTGAGGCGGATCGGGGTGGGGTCTTCCCCAAATATGGCAAGTGCTATCTGGGAGAGGAGGTAGTGGAGATGGGCGAGCTCGGGCTCATCAAGTACCAGCTCCAACGCCAAAAGATGGACATATACCGAGCTCATTGATATTATGGTGATGGACAAACCTTACATCGGTATCTATCTGTTGAAATACTTTCACAGACTACCCCAGATCAATCTAAAAGTCGACTAAACTAAGAACTTTTGATGAATCAGTAGTCAATTGATGCACATTGAACCGTAATATCTCATCTAAGAGTAAAAGTCAAGGCTTTGTAGCCCGAAAATGCGTTACTTGGATTAGGGCACACTAACATATGGCTGTCCCAAAATAGCGCGATTTTCAAACGCGACCGCGTGGCCTAATGGTAAGGTATCACTTTCCGGCGGTGGGGATTGCGGGTTCGAGTCCCGTCGTGGTCTCTTGTTTTTGCTGCTCTCATCATCTACAACATATTAAACTCTTTATGGATATTGTATTGAGTATTCAGTTTGAGTTATTTAGATCTTAAATAATTATTCAGGTCGTTTCAGTTCTTGGTAAATGTAGCAGTCAGCTCCCCAGTGTGAGAACTTCCATCGAAAAGGTGACCCATCATTACTATCACCTTTAAGATGCCTAGACAGCCGATGGTAACTAATCGTAGAAAACTGTCTGTTACGGGTCGATCAGATATTGGAAACCGCCTATGATGAACGCCGCCGTGCAGAGGGCCGCAAAATGGTGTGTCAACCCTCCGACTACGATGATGGTCTGGGGACCTGGCTGCAACATGACAATCGCTTGAACATGAAACAAACCGTGGTGTAACAGCAACAAACCCATGGCCCGGTAGTTTGTAATTTGTTGGACCATGGTGTAACAGCAAATTCATGGCCCAGTAGTTTGAATTTCCGGGGTCCATGGTATTCAGCAGTTGCGGGCCCCCATCATATAGTGGGGTATTTTGCCTCGCCAAAGCCAATGAGCGTCTGAGTGTCGTCGTCAAGCCATGCCAGGTGGATGTTGTTGATCGTGCTGTCGGCTGGTGGTAGTCTTCGTTAGAGGAGCTCGAATGTAATCGAGTAGTTGCTCAACTCATAAGTGAGAAGTTTCCAAGTATGTTTTTGATGATGCAAACTAAGAGAAAATAGTTGCCCTTTTATAGACCAAAATGAAGGGGTGAGCTCCCTAAATGCACACCTGTCGACAATGAGACGAGAAATTAATAAATGCACGCCGTCGTCAATGAGACGACGGATACAATGACGAGCACTTTCCCCTCACCCAGCGTCTACCACATTCCGCATAGGTAGAACGTTGTGGCCAACAAGTAACACCAGCCATAGCGGTGATCTTGAAGCCTTCTAATCTGGCTGACCCTGCTTCGATCAGTGCCAAACGTTTTCGACCACTTTTACAGTCTTCGTCAAAGCGGAGATAATGAAGGGATGACCAACAATACTGGTGGGGGGAAATGGCTCATTGTTAAAGAATTTCTTGGAGGATTAATTGTCTCCGTTGACGAGGCAATGCACGTAACAATCGTCTAATCCCTCACCTCCAAGATGCAACGCACGCGTCGCTCATCTGGTCACACAGATGATAGAAGCAATGGCATTGTGTCAATTCAGACAATTAGCCCAGCAATTTTAGGCAACCATTTGTGTCCCACTTTGTTGTAAGTTTCTCAATTTAGTTCCTCAGAAGTTTGTCGGTCTTATCGAACTCTCACTCCATACTATCTTCCAGATGTCACGTGACACAGCCATCAAAGGCCAGCTTGAATCAGCCGTTCCCTGATCACCCAAGTACCCATTGAACGATAGCTGTCAAATCAGACTGTTTATAAGTCCAATCGACCTTTCCCTTCAGAGTTGACTCCCGCCCCGAAGCCTTATTTTTCAATTGCCTTTCGCTTTCAATTATCAACATTAGCGGTAGCGACTGCTACTTAGTGCGCGGTGCGAAATTCGATAGCCAGACCCATAGAAGATGACAGTGAACCTCGACCAGCTCCTCCTGCCCAGCCAGGAGTTGTCGTGGGATTTGCTTGATCTTATCCAGGAAGATCCCGTGATACCCAAGTCGCAGGTGTGTGAGCAATTGCTCACCCAGCCCGAAGCCATCAATCGCACTACTTTCCGGTTCAAGCGCAAGGGCATCAACGGCGCCATCCTGGGCTACCTGGAGGAAATCAAGAAAGATGCCGTGGGCCAAGCCAACTCGATGAACTCGCTTTCGGTGACGAGAAAGTTCTCTCTGAAAAGCGAATCCCTCCGCGGTAAGACGTCGTTCTTGCCGTTTCAACCCGGGGGGCTCGTGCTGCTGTCAACCCAGCCGCCTCGGGACGACCTGGAGTTTTTGCATCGTAACGACCAGGGGTTGTTTGACATTCCCCAAGGGTTCGAACGCGGGTTACGTCTCGCTACCGTCGTCGACACCGACCACTCGACACAAACCTTAGATCTTGAAGCCGAGGCTGCCAATGGCAATAACGACGATAAAGACGAAGACTACTCCCTTAAGTTCACTGAGACTGACGGTGACGATGTGGAGGAAGTGAAAGATTCTTCATCTTCAGCATTGGACGTGCCGGCGTCGGAGATCGATGGCCTCGTGCCGTTTGACCACGCCGCCATGCTCATGGACCAGCTCATGATTAAGAAGCCGGTGAAGAAGGATTGGGCCCACGTGGTTGATTTAAACCATAAGATCGAAAACTTCTCCGAGTTGGTGCCCAACCCGGCGAGAACGTGGCCGTTTGAACTCGATACCTTCCAAAAGGAAGCCGTATACCATTTGGAACAGGGCGACTCGGTGTTTGTTGCCGCCCATACATCTGCGGGTAAGACGGTGGTGGCAGAATACGCCATCGCCATGGCTGCTCGCAACATGACCAAAGCCATCTACACTTCCCCCATCAAGGCCCTTTCTAATCAGAAGTTCCGCGACTTCAAGGAAACGTTCCCCGATATGGATATTGGTCTCATCACCGGTGACGTCCAGATCAACCCGGAGGCCAACTGCTTGATCATGACCACCGAGATCTTGCGGCTGATGTTGTACCGCGGCGCCGACCTCATCCGGGACGTCGAGTTCGTCATCTTTGACGAAGTGCACTACGTCAACGATATTGAGCGAGGTGTGGTGTGGGAGGAAGTGATCATCATGCTTCCTGACCACGTCAAATATATTCTTTTGTCGGCTACCGTCCCCAATACGTTTGAGTTTGCTAACTGGGTCGGTCGTACTAAGCATAAGGATATCTACGTGATTCTGACGCCCAAGAGACCGGTGCCGTTGGAAATGTTCATCTACGCCAAACAAAAGATGTTTAAGGTGGTCGATGCCAACCGTAAGTTCGTGGAGAGCGAATTCACTGCCCATCGGGATTTACTCGATAAGCCTAAGCCTGGTGCAGGTACGCTTGGCCACAGTGGCACCGCGCTTCGGGGCGGCCGTGGTGGCACTGCTCGAGGCGGTAACCGTGGTGGTGGACGTGGTGGTGGTGGTGGTGGTGGCCGTGGCGGTCGTGGTGGAGCACCGATGAACAACCGGGGCAATTTTGCCGCCAAAACGTCGCTGGGACGAGGGTTTGCCCGTGATGGCCCGTCAAAGAATACTTGGCAACAATTGGTGCAGTACTTGAAGGGCAATAACTTACTCCCCGCAGTAATCTTTGTGTTCTCGAAGAAAAAATGTGAAGAGTGGGCCGACCTGTTGCTGACGATTGACTTCTGCAACGCTCGAGAAAAGCTGGAAATCCACATGTTCATCGACCGAGCCGTGCTGAGACTTAAGAAGGAAGACCGTGAACTCCCTCAGATTTTGAAGGTTAGAGATATGCTCAGTCGCGGGGTGGCAGTGCACCACGGGGGGCTTTTGCCCATTGTCAAAGAGTGTATTGAAATTCTCTTTGCCAAGCTGCTTATCAAAGTGTTGTTTGCCACCGAAACCTTTGCTATGGGGCTTAATTTGCCCACTCGTACGGTGGTGTTTTCCCAACTCAGAAAGAACGATGGCCGCAGTTTCCGTAACTTACTCCCCGGTGAGTTCACGCAAATGGCGGGTCGTGCCGGGCGGCGTGGGTTGGATCTGACGGGTACGGTGATTCTTATGGCGTACACCGAGCCGTTAGCACAACTGGATTTCAAGGAAATCACCCTTGGTCTCCCGACGAAATTGCTGTCTCAGTTCCGCCTTACCTATAACATGATTTTAAACTTGCTCCGTATCGAAGCGTTGCGGGTGGAAGAGATGATCAAACACTCGTTCCTGGAAAACCTGACCCAGGTGCTTTTACCGGAAAACAAAACGAAGTTGGAGAAACTTCAAAAGCTGTTGTTGGAAGTTAAAGTCACCCCCTGCGACGAGTGTCAACTTGTGGGCACCGAGGAAACGTTTGAACTCATGCAACAATACCAGAAAGTATACTCTGAGATCTGCTCGATCATTGGGAAACTGCCCGTGGTTAGGTCTCAATTGCTTAATCCTGGGAGAATGGTGATATTCCGCCACGAGGGCCAAGGTATACGGGTGGGGTTTGTCGTACGCCTGCTTATGGCCAATTCCGATATACTTGTGCTTACGTTCAATCATGGCAAGTTTGCTGCCAATGCTGATAAGTACCAGTTACCCTATGTGCCGGTGCGTGATTATCTCAAACGCCACATGAGCAAGCCAACGTTTAAGAATGGCCTCAACGTGGTGGCCACCCCTGTGGAGTCGATCCAATTGATCAGTCGGTACACGCTCAGGGCGTCAATCAACGCGATTATCAAAAATGATCCGGCGGCGGTGGCGCAAGCCGGTGAAGAGATTACAAAAGTGCTTGTATATTTCCCCAAATTGCAGGAGCTCACGTTGGCTCGCGCCACTCAGTTATCGCTCCATGATCTCTTGGTGAAGAAAGCCCCCTTGATCGAAGCGATCGCAGCGCAACCCGCCCTCCACTGTTCTCAATTCAAAGAACACTACCGCGAGTTACGGGAAAAGCAACAATTGTTGGGTCAAATTGAGGACATCCAGAAAATGATCTCGGACGAAAACCTTGAACTTTTGCCTGACTACGAGCAAAGACTTGAGGTGTTGCAAGAATTAGGCTTTATCAACGAACACCACAACGTGGTGCTTAAAGGGCGGGTGGCGTGTGAAGTGAACCTGGGGTGGGAGTTGGTGATCACCGAGCTCATCTTGGACAACTTCCTCGGCGACTTCGAGCCCGAGGAGATCGTGGCGTTGCTTTCTTGCTTTGTTTACGAAGGCCGCACCAACGAAGAGGAACCCCCCTGTATGACCCCTCGACTCGAAAAGGGCAAGAAACGCATCCTTGAGATTACCGGTAAGCTCATCAAGGTGTTCAGTGACCATCAAGTAGTCTTAACTACCGACGAGGAGGAGTTCTTGGACCGCAAACGGTTCGCGTTGGTCAATGTCGTCTACGAATGGGCGCGGGGGCTTTCGTTCAACGAAATCATGCAGATGCTGGTGGAAGCGGAAGGGACGATTGTCCGGGTGATCACTCGTCTCGACGAAGTGTGCCGTGAGGTGAAGAACGCGGCGTTGATCGTGGGTGATCTGCAGCTCCACTCGAAGATGAGCGAGGCCCAGGAGAGAATCAAGCGCGACATTGTGTTCTGTGCCTCGTTATATTTGTGAAATGTATATATCAGTTGAATATATCATTGACTATACCATGTTTCAATTGTAAAATTTGTATTTGCTTTGTAATAGTTCTTTTTACTTCTTCAGAGCGTCGGCGGCGGGCACTTGCACGGCAATTTCGGTGCCGGTCTTCAGCGGCTCGGCGATGGTGGTGGTGGCCTGGACGGGCTTGGCTCCCGGCGCCGTCTTCCCTTCGAAAAGGTAGTACGCCACCTGCTTGGCGGAGTCGCCCTCCGACTTTCTCCAGTTGACGATCCGGGTCAATTGGTAGCCGGCGACGGCGCCCAAAAAGAAGTTGACGGACGCCAACAACGGGTTTCTCGGCTTGATGACGAAGCCGGCCCACCGGGTCCAGATGGCGCCGGTGGCCATCAACGCCATCTGCTGGGTCCCCGAAAGCTTTTCGACGGGCCGTTGGGTGTCCTTAAGCCCGGCAATGACGAGCAACCACTTGCACACGGGGGCGGCAATGTGCACCAGGGGCATCTTCGCCCACAATCTTTGGCCAAACAGTCCAGCAGCAGCACTCATGATCGATGGAGAATGGGTATGGATTGTTATCAACCCTGGTTGATTTGATTTCAGAGTGCGGGTGCGGGGTGTCGCGACCCAGCGAGAGGGGGAACCCCACGCGCCAGCGGGTGGTAGAGGGCGTACCCGGGGATGTCGGTGGAGACCTGGAGAGGGCGGAGAGTGGGTAAATTGGTGGGCAGTGGTGGTCGCTAGCGATTGCCTCGTAGGCGGTAACTATGGTAATAGTGGTGGTGTACACCGGAGGTATTTGGCCGACCGGTACACATCGAACCGGGTGCGGAACCGCCAACCACCAGCAGTGAATAATGATGAGAGGAATAGATATGGGGACTGTGTAGGTACCAATCATTGAACTGAAAGATTCAAATAGTTTCTTGGAAATACTCTAAAGATGTTGAATTTGGACTCATTTTATCAGTGATCAAAGAAAGACAATTGAGTTAAAGATTGACGAAATAGATATACTCGTGGTTTACTCGTGGACAGTCAAAAAAAAACTCATCCCATTCTTCCTAAAATTTACGATTGTTCCTGAGGTGGTGATGCTGCGTTTGCATTGTGCACCACCCTCTGAACGCATTGACTCAGGTCCACCCCGATCTACCTCACAGCGTCAGCAAGATCACTGCCACTTCTCAAGTTTCGCTAAAAGATGAAACCAGTGACTGTCTCCATGCATAACTGCATCACCAGCTAGCCCGGATGGACACTTTCCTGACCCTTTTTTCCCAGTTTATGTTCCAAATAAATGCATGCAACATCATGACTACGCTGCATCGAGGTGGACGCGGTGGGTCTAATTGAGGTGGTTCTGGAAGTTGTGCCACCGTGAATAATGGTCTTATACCACCCATGTGTGAAGATGTTAGACATCACATGAAACCGAGAGTATTCTCGTCATTTACCTACACGTTTGACGAGTACGTCGACCGTCACCACGTCTGGTGTAATGAGGTTCCCCCACCACGGGATCTAAGACATCACCCACCAGAGCCGCCGTTCCCAGAACCACAGAGTTTGAGCGCTTATGGTGCAAATGATGATATACGCTTCGAGCAATACCAAATTACGGCGTCACCGATGTTGAACCCAATTGGATATCTCCCTTCACCGAGTGTGCTCCCTATGGCTTTTGAGAACGTTCCATTGATTCCTCGACCACCGCATGAAATTCGACGAGAGCAAATTGACTCTTCAGATCCGATTTTTTCTGAAATTGTTGCTCCTCTCCAACACAATGAACTGCTGGTTCCACCTCACGAACTAGACTCATCAATGATTGTCAAAACTCCAAACATCGCCAACAGACTCTACCAGCAAGACCCACTATCTTTTGGACAAAAACTTCAGGATCTTTTAGTTTGTCAGGAAAATCAATCGTTCACCTGTGTATTTCAAAGCCTCGACAAGTGTCGAATTGAATATGCTGATTCTACCACTTGCTTGAGACATATGCTTCTCAATCATTTCACGTTTGACAACACTAAAGTTCCCTTCAAGCTCAGTGACATGCTCACGCTTACTGGGAAATGCAAATGTGGGCATGAGGATACAGCGGGAACTTGGTTGTATAATCATGTCCTCACCACGAAAGACCCGTGTCCATTGATCAAACAGGAGCTCAACGAGGTCGCAAACGCCGACTAATGGCGAACATTCTGAACATTTTCACTTGTGTTTGTCCAGATGATTGTCGCTGCACTAAAGAACACTTATAACAACTATATAAACGACTTAAATTGGCTGACCCATAAGATTCTAGTTAAAGTTAGATTGTTAGTACATATCTCTGGCGTTGGGTGCATCCGCGGTGGGTGAAGACGTGAGGTGAAACCAATAGGTTTCGATATACCACACCAAAACTTATCGTAGGCACTGAGGGTAATGGATGTCGGTGGTGCCACTAGTTGAGAGTTGAAGACAATTAACCCCTTGATTTTGGCGATGTCTGAATGAAAGGATAGTTAACGACAAAAACTACACACCAAGCTCTTTATGTATTGGTCGATCCTTAAACTTCTCGTCCGAATGATTAGATAGAACGAGTTGATTAAATTCGGAAACTATCAATCTCATTTACAAATAGATATTCAAACTGATGACTAATGGTACAAAGGTTTTCGTTTCCATTCCCAATCTCATCAATCTTGTGTTATGTGACTTCCATTTGCGCTTGGGCGTTTAATAAGTTCTTGAGCAGTGTTACCAAAGCTCGCATTCTCAAATTATTAAAATATGGATCTCTTTGTGTGAAATAACCCCCGTGGGGCGAGACAAAAAAGCTAGTTGCATTTAGACTATTTCTGAGGTGAGCCAGCGCCTCGACGTTGCTTCCTACCACTATCAATCAATCTGAGCAATATGGTCTTCAAAAGTGATTGCATAAAGCTCTAAATTAATGCAATCTTCCTTAACGGCAGCTTTTTGCCATTAGTAAAAGACATTTTGCTCTATAAAAAGCGTTAAGCCTCGACGCACTCCCTCGCCAAAAAAATGGCATTTTTATACGGAGTCAGCCGCGTGCCTCGCTACCGGTGCCTCGATACGAATCGCGGTGCGTTTCGCCACGCTAGCGCCGTTTATAAGGTATACTGACCCTCTGGGGCTCAGGAACTCTTGAAATGATCGCCAATATCTATTTGGTAACACCATATATCAGGCCTGAACAAGCTTTAATTATTCCGGTCGGGGCTGCACGTGGGCGTCTGTAAGCGGCAAGCCAAGACCAGCCAAGACCAGTCAAACCTCTCTCGCTTCTGAGGGCAATTACTCTGTACATGTGTCATTTCCCTATGCAACGGCTGCCCCTGCCGGTCAACCGACTATATATACCCTACCTGCTACCCTATACGACTAAACACCGCAAGCGATGGCAACTAGAGACCTCCCCAAGCTGTTGGGCCAGTTACTCTTTGGATGGAAGAACTCGGTACCAAATGAAATAACCATCCACAAGTCACGAGCCCAATTGGTCGAGGAGGACTACCAGCCCGACGGCGACAAAGTACGCAAATTCACCTGGCTGAGCTGCTGGCCGGCGTTCGCTGCTGGGTTCGGGTTGTTTTCCGATGGCTACGTCAATGCCCTGATCGGGTCGGTGCTGACGATTCTCGGGATCATGTACCCCACCGAATACAAAGGGTCCAACGCCGTCAATAACGTGTCGTCGATTGCCTTTGTCGGGATCGTGGTGGGGCAGTTGTCGTTTGGCTACATTGCCGACCGTATCGATCGGAAAAAGGGGATGCTTGCCGCCAATGTTATCTTGATCGTGTTTACGATTTTGTGTTCGGCAGCGACGTGGGGGGCTAACGGGTCGGTGTACGGGATGTTTGCCGCGTTGACGACATTTAGATTCTTTTTAGGGGTGGGTATCGGCGCTGAGTACCCTACCGCCTCAGTGATCTCTTCCGAATTTGCCAACCAGTTGCCGCTGGGTATCCGTAACCGAGTGTTTGCCATGTCCACTAATTGCGCAATTAATCTCGGGTTTGTCACCGCTGCGTTCGTGCCATTAATTTTGTTATGGATCTTCTCGCCTGACCATTTGACGGCAGTATGGCGATTGACTTTAGGCTTAGGCGCCATCCCCCCCATCGCCTTATTCTTCCTCCGGTTGAAGATGGTCGATCTGAAGGTGTTCAAAAAGTATAACATGAAGCACGCTAAGTACCCCGTGTGGTTGTGTCTCAAGTTCTACTGGTATCGGTTAGCCGTGATCTCGGCGTTGTGGTTTATTTACAACTTCTCGGCGTTTTCGTTCGGGATCTACTCGTCGGCGATCATCAATAATATCGTCCCCGATGGTGACCTATACAAGACGTTTGGCTGGAATACATTGTTGAATGTGTTTTACTTGCCTGGCTGCTTCTTAGGAGCATTCTTCGCCGACTGGTTCGGCGTGAGAATTACCCTTACCACCGGGTTGATCTGTCAGGCGGTGTTTGGTTTTGCTATGGCCGGTGCCTACCCCACCCTCAAACAACACGTGGCCAGCTTTGTGGTGGTGTTTGGCTTTTTCACAGCTTTCGGTGAGTTTGGTCCCGGTAACTCTATGGGGCTTATTTCGTCGAAATTGTCGGCCACTGCCGTCAGAGGTGTATTTTATGGCATTGCTGCGGCTATGGGCAAAATTGGCGCCTTCGTCGGCACCTGGGTGTTCCCAGTGATCATTAAAAACGCCGGTGGCTCCGACACTGATCTGGGCAACCAGGCGCCATTTTACGTGTCGCTGTCCCTCTGCTTATTTGCCGCCCTTCTCGCCTGGTTCTTTTTACCTTACGTCGGTCAAGACTCCATCAACAGAGAAGACGATGCCTTCCTCGAGTACTTACACGCCAACGGCTACGATATCAGTCAATTGGGTGACCGCGACTCGGCCGATTCCTACAGTGAAGATATTGAGAACCAGTCTGCTGGTTATGACAACGGGATGATGAAACAGGCTGACTCCTACGACGAAGATTCGGGCAAGCAACCCAGCTATAACGATGAGGTGATCGAGATTGATCACACCGTGTTGTCAGAGCAAAAAGCCTTTTCTAGTCCAAAATAAAGTTTTTCGTAATCTAATTATGTTTATGTGGTAATGAGTCGCACTTAATCGTCCTTAGTGTGTACCCCTTGCGAGGGGGCAACCGTTTCGCAGCAACATCAGTGCTGCAAAGATTTGGATGAGATCAACCCCTTTCCCAATAGAATCATAAGCGAACCACCAGGCAGCAAACTACAAGTTTAACTAACACCAGCAATCGTAACCGGTCATCTATTTCGACTACCTAATTCATTAATCGTTCTAACAAGCACACTCGTTGGCGGCACGGGGTTCGGACCCCGACAAGTCGATGCGGCCTTCACGCTGGGTGACGGCGGGCTCGTCGGGGGACTCTTCGGGTATCTTTTTGCCGATGGCGACAAACACGTCGGTGACGTTCTTCCCCGTCTTCGCCAGCGTCTCAAACCACAACAAGCCTTCTTCCTCAGCTAAGCGCTTGCCTTCTTCTTCGGTCACTTTGCGCATGTCGGCGTCGTCCTCGACCAAGTCGAGCTTGTTGCCGACGAGGGCAATGACAATGTCCTTCAGCGCCTGTTCGTGCAACTCCTTGACCCAATGGCGGGCTTTTATGAGCGAGGCGGGCTTGGTGACGTCGTACACCACCAACGCCGCCTGGGCCTTGCGGTAGTACATCGGCGCCAACGAGGCGAACCGCTCCTGGCCGGCGGTGTCCCAGATCTCGTACTTGATCGTCCGGGAGTCGATGGTGCACTTTTGGGTGAGGAACGCCGCGCCGATGGTGGGTTCCTTGTTTTCCTGGAAGTCGTTCAGGACAAACCGGAGCACAAGACTCGATTTGCCCACGGCAGCTTCGCCAAGAAGCACTAGTTTCACGGAGTTCATCCTCGGGTGGGGGCGCGTCGGCGAACGGGTGGCAACTATAGCTTGTACCGGGCCCTTATCACGAATGGTCACTTATTACCCGCGCCCCGAAAAACACACGTGACCACAAACCACCCCAAGCTTATGGCCATTACTGGAAATCCGGGCCCACCACTCGAGTTGGTAATGTTAACGATTTGATCCATTACTAAAACCTACGGGTCGTGATGGTTAGCGTTTAGATCACTTGTCATACTGAATGAATTAATCGCACTGGATCAAAGTTGACGGTGGCAATGGTAGTGTTTCTCAGGTGGAAGTAAAGCGTACGAGTAGTTGCCTTCTACCTCTGGTCTTCAAATCATTTTATTTGTACTAACTTTTTTGAATTGAGTAGCGTATAATGGTAACAGACTTCCTTCTCGAATCTGTGGTATTAGCATCGACCGTTATAGAACCAAAGTGAGGAATGAAACCCTCTTGCACGATTCCTGTCATTGATTACAATAAGTTTCGGCGTAAATGTGAGGTGCCGGTATTTAACCACCCTATTCACAGAAGAATTCCATGCAGAAGTCTCTGTTGCTGGTGGCATCTACAAAAATTTGGTGAGACGGTATAATTATGGATCAATCTAGACCACTCTCGACTCAACTATATTCACCAAAACCTTCACTAACACTACGGACTATCCATCAGATCATTTGGAGTACCTTTTGGATGGCAAATTTTAGATGCCCATGATTTAGCAGCGCAGTTTATGACCCGATCGATTACCCAAAGCGAACTGATTGAGACTCCCCCACACGGGTGACAATTCCCCACCGATATACGAGCAAGTTGTATCTCCGAACAGATTACCCGTTCGACGCAGGTTCTAGCCTGGAACCCCACTTCGCATGCTCTGGAAACGACACCTTCGAGGTACCGGACCTTGCCGTTGGCACTGCAAAACTTACCCCTAAAGATGCTCTAACCGAAGAGGTCAAACGGAAGGAATCTTGCTGATGGCAGTAACAGTTTGAAAGGTTAGCACGAGTCGTCTGATTACATAATTTTGGTATTGATTACGGCACTTTTCTATTCGCTCTGACGATATAGGCGCCAAGTGCTAGTGGGATTGAGCACACTAAGTTACCACTGCCATAAACAATGAATTTAAGGAATACCAAAAGGCCAATGAACATCTTGGAATAGATTTTACACCATGCTGATGCAATCATGAGAGCACGTTGGCTTACTTGAACCAACACGTTCATTTGAGGGCAAGCATGACCAAAATGAGTTTATTCCACACCGTTCAGTTACAAACACCTTTCCAACTTTAGGGTTGGGTTGACACTGGTTTGCATTAAGGTTTCTTACGTTTCTTCTTTGCAAACCATGTCGTACATTGTGAAACAAACAGAAACAAACAGAAACAAACAGAATGCTTTGGCGATCCGTGAATAAACCAGATCGAGGATGACGTCGCTGTGTGTGGTAAAAGCCGAGATCCAATTCTCCTGTTTTTCATTTGAGGCATCAACTCAATCAAGAGAGCTTTATCCATTACATCAGGGGTGTGATCAGGTCGGGATTGAGTCAATGGTTCGCCTCCGAAGGTCCATCATCTCTGAAAAAGAACCCGATTGGTAGCAACTTCACCCTTCGTCATCATCAAATGCTCTCGCAACTATCGCAGTAAGTTTACCATAAGGTGTTGGCGAAATTTATCATCGCCCCGCACCAGTGAGATCTTGGTATGGTATATCGAGTGTCCATTCAATGATGAGCAGCCAATGTATTCAACAGTTGAACAAGAATAACCCAAAGAAGCACCATTGACCTCGAAAGCAATGCGATAACTTCATTATGGTGACTGGGATTAGGGTGAGATAACGCGCTACAGTGTGCGGCTATTCTCCTGGAACTTGACACGCCTATTCGACACGATCACTATGCTCCTTTAAATTATACGATCAATGCGTCAACTGGCCTAACATTTCGGTGGCAATCAGAGCCTGGATCGATGCAATTCCGGCGATATTGTCTGACATGGCGAACACCATACGAAAATCGGGCTGCGCATCTTTATCAAGTGAACTAACCTCCTCACGGCTGGCTATACCCTTTGGCTAATTGATCTGTTATGATATCACTTGTGTTTGGTTTTGATTAGAGAGTTTTGTCGTCTATTCCTTCAAGCGTTCAAAAATGGTGATTGCAGTCAATGGCATAAGCTACAAGCTTTCAACTTTAAATGCAAAACTACTACCCACAGGGTTTAGTGTCCGCATACGCTGGTATTAAAAGGATCAGGTCACACCAGGCCTGTTATCCTGATTTCTACCGTGAGTGGTTGAGGCCATGGACCAGGTGCCCTTCCGCCCGTCACGAGTGGACGCGCCCATCGTCCACCGTATTAAAGACTCCTTACCGACTGAGCATGACCGTCGATGCTTCATGAAGTTTGTCATGGACAGTGACGAGTACGACCTCATTAATCAAGCTGGGATCGAGAGAAATCACCAACAGTTTGATCAGCGCATGCTTGCGCTTATCGAAACGCTTCCAGAACTGGAGGAATACATGAAAGATATGGGGCCGTATGTGGTGGTGGACAACCGCAAAACATACACCACACGTATGGCTGACATCGAGCGGGCATTGAATGATGCGGTGGCCGAGGATTTCTTGCCTGAGAACCGGGCGCTGTTGGAAAATGATGCCGAAACAGCCCGCCAAGCGGCTCTCAAAGAGCTCATTCGGGGGTACAGAAGTTTCTTTCGTGCCCATATTCCCTTGACTGAGGAAAATAAGGAGAGATTTGATGACATTTTGGATGCTTACGAGTTCTTCGTGTCTGTTTCGGCGTATCGCTTCCGGGTGGAGTTGACGGAACTTCTTCGGCAGGCATTCAACTGCGACGCCACGTTGGGGCTCTATTATGGGCAGAACTACTGGTTTTACGTCCACGCTGATGACGGTACGAAAACAGTGTTCATTTCCCTTTAGGTGTATTGTGAATCAAGCTGTTGTTTGCTCAGTAAACGTTGAATGTGAATGGTAGCTTCATAGGTGTGAATTAATATACGAAAATTACAATTGAAATAAATAGGACTTGTTCAAGCGGCCTATCTTCTGTAACACCAATTCTGATCTCGCAATTGTTTTGTAACAAAATTTCGAAAGATAAGGTAGAATGAAATACAAGTGAATTTTCATTATCTACATAAGCGTAGTGTGAGGGTTCGCGGTTCTTTAGATTTGGTGGCTAGTGCGGTTAAACGCAGGCTAATTTCCCTTACCCCGCTAATCGGTGTGAGTGGCTTTAGCTCACGGTGTTCTCTCTACCAAATCAGCGGTGATCCATTCTAATAACTTTGAAGTGCCGATGACTATCCTATGATTTATTGAAACCATCGTTAACTACGATTGATATAGCAAGCTCATGTTTGCTTTGAGTACTTTCCGTCGTTGGGGTAATTGATGATATCCTCGGATATTATCTCGGCGATAGGTGATGTGAAACATATTGAGAATATCTGTGGAGCAGTGACGGGCTTATTTTTACGAGGCGCAGTTAAACTAACGGGACGTTTCCAAGAGCCAACTTTAGTGGTACTCAGTGGAGTAAACCTATGTTGCGATGGCAAGCAGGGCTCTCTTTCCAATGACTTGAAATCCTCGATATACAACACTCTTGAGTATTTATATCCGGCTTATACAATTGTTCGTCTGATGCTTCCATGCTAGTTTATAAACCCCGCCCTTTCTAGGGTCAGCCGTTCATGAAGCTCGGTCTATCTACAACACACATACGCTGGCGTCACTGCAACCGTTTCAAAACTTGATCAACATTTTTTGCTCCTGTTTACTGGAATTATGCTGTCGTTGATCTCCCACCCTTCACTGAGCTCCCTAACCAAGACCACGGCCAAGGACCAGGAGGAGACCCGCCCTAACTCCGATGTTGATAGTCTCAAGGAAAATGACAACGACCACGGCTTACACCAGGCGCGGACCAAGACGTCAGCGCTGGCAGTCCATGATCAAGTCCAATCCAAATGGCCGTTTTTCCATGGGCATTTGAGACAAACTCGTCGTCTCATCTTCACTCAACACGCGATTGTCTGTGCGTTGATGGCGGCGTTGATGTTGGGGATCTTTTCCATTTATTGGGGGTCAATGTTCCACAAGACTGACCACCAAAGATATCTCAAAATGTTGGTGCTTATTGAGGATTATGAGACAATTGATCTGATTCCTCCTGTATTTGGTAATAAGCTTGTAGAGGTGTTGAGCACCGCTGAGGCTAAGCGAATTGGAGAGTGGCACATCTATACCCCGGGAAACTTTCTGGCAATCCAACCAAAAGATACCAATTCGACATCACAAACAGTGGAGACGTTGATTCACGAGCAAAAGTTTTGGGCAGCAATTCACGTCCAAGCTAATGCTACCCACAATTTCTACCAAGCTATGATGGCGGGGAACAGCAGCTATGTTGCTGGTAACGAAACCTGGCACTTGGTGTATGAAACCGGTCGTGATTTTGTCAATATTCCCTCATACGTGGTGAAGAATTGTCAAGCTATCCAGGGGATGATGTTAGCTGACCAACAATCAATTACTGAATCTCTTCTCGACGCTGTCCAGGACAAAGGGGACGACATTGACACGATAGTACAGCGGGGGTGGAAGCTTCTATCTCAGCCACTTACATTCACTGTTCGTGATCTCCGCCCGGTGACTGACGGCACGTTGCTTGCTCCTGCTCAGGTGGGATTGATTTATATGATTCTTGTGACGTTCTTTCTGTTTGCCATGTTCCAAGACCTACACGTGACGGTGAGTAAGTCTGCCCTTATGCCTAAGCATTATGTGTTGTACCGAATTATGTCATCAATCTTATCGTATTTTTGGCTATCACTCATGTACTCGTTGGTGTCGCTAGCCTTTCAAATTGATTTTGGTCGAGCATTTGGCCGCGCTGGTTTTGTTGTCTACTGGATGACCAACTGGATGGCGATGACGGCGCTAGGCACGATAAATGAAGTGTTAGCTCACTTTATAGTTTTGGTATACCCTTCCGTGCTTGGGTTTTGGTTGGTGTTTTGGGTGATGGCTAATGTATCACCGACATTCACCCCTATGGCGTTGACTGCCAATTTCTACCGATACGGGTACGCTATGCCCTTATACAACACCGTGGAAATTACCAAGTGCATCTTTTTCGATACTTATCGAGGCCATATGGGACGGTGTTTCGGTATTCTTGCTGCCTGGATCGTGGTATCGAACATTGCATTGGCGTTGGTGATTCCATTTTTCGGTAAGACGATGGCAAAGCGAGCGGCTAAAGCAGCTCAAGCTGCCGCCGACAAACAAACACGAGACGCCTAGACCAATATTTCTCATTGTGCAGACATGGGTGGGGCCGTCTAGTCTCAGAAAAGGCCTATGTAATTGAATGTTCGAAGAGTGCCACTCGATCCATGTGGATCATGATAATACAATCAAGATCAAATTAGGAAACTCGAATTATTCAGGTGATATCATGACTGCTTTCGTTTATATATTAGTCTATAATTGTCTTTAGATGCTTAGTTTGAGTCAGAGGCGCCACACACGAACCGAATGGTCGGCACTGCCGGCAGCCACCACCATTGCCGCCGGCGTCGGGGCAAACGCCACCAGGTTCACTCTCCCCGCGGGGGTATCACTATCGGCGATCTCGGTGGTCACCTGGAGAGCGCTGTCGTTAACAGTACCGACACTGATGTCCCCCAGTTCGAGCCCAGCGACGAAATGGGTCAGTTGCCAGGTGTCGATAGCAGTGACGGGGGCAGCGAATGACTGCGATGAAACCGCAGTCTCCGGCAGGTTTACCGACCACATTTTCACCAGCTTATCTCTCAGACAGGTGAGGAAACGGGTGTCGTCGATCCAGGCGCCATCCCAGATAATTCTGGTGTGAGCTTTTTGGTTGTGGAGCACAAGCTCAAACTGGGCGGTGGCAGCGTCGATGAGCTTCCAAAGCGAGAACAGCCGGTCTCTCAGCGTTGCAAGCAAGTGGGTGCCCAGTGGGTTCCAGGCCAACGACGTCACCGTTAACGTATGGCCACTAAGCGGAGTGGGCACCAACTGGTAGTCAGGGGCGCCCAGGAACAACCGGATGGCGGCATGTTTGAGCAGGTTGCTCTTACAGGCGCTGGCAATGAGCAGGTAGCTGGGGTGGACGGCAACGCACGAGATCTCGTACCCATGCCCGTAAAGCTTTTCAAGCTCGGGAAATAACGTATACTTTTGAAGGATATCTTCGAGCGGCGGGTGTTCGAGTGTTGCCAACACGTCTTCCTGGGTTTCATTGGTGTCATCAGCTTCAGCTTCAGCGGAGGGAGCTTTGGTCTCGGCTTTATTAGATAAACCAAGCACGGGGACCGCGGCAGTGGTGGGTAAGTCGGCGCTAAGTCCGTCAATACCGCACTGGTTGTGGAGCATTTTCGCCATCAGCAGGGTCATTTTGAACACCCGGAGCACTTTTTCGTCGCCACCACTGACGAAAGTGGCGCCGTCGGCCAGTAAGTTATCGAGGCAGACCATGTCGTAGCCGTGGATTTGCGGGCGGCCAAACTCACGGTAGCGCCCGTTACTGGAGGCGTATAACCGGGTGGTTTGGTCTAAAGAAGTGGCGTAAACAAAGTCGCCCTGAGGAGACCACTTGACGCTGGTGACTTCGCGAATGGCTCCCGATACTCCCGGCGCCGGCACAAACGTATCGGAGTCCCCCAACATTTGGTACATGCGGAGCGACCCCGTCTTACCACTGGTCAATACTCGTTCTCCTTGAGCGTCATTAAGCCAAAGACATCCCCAAAAACCCCCTGACAGCCCCGTCGCCGTCAGGGCTCCTTTAATCGAAAGTTCGCCCATACGGTGGCGCGGCACCCAGATGCCCAGCTCGGCGTCCAGCGCCCACACCATGAGCGCAGTATCAGCCGAAGCCGATAAAAGCTCGGGACGCGTCGGGTGCCACTGCAACCCCGAGATCCAGTCGTCGTGTCCCACTAAGAGGGCGTCAAAGGTAAACGCGGCGTCGAGGCCAGAACCAAGGGTGAACTTGTGTTGCTTATTCAGCAAAAGCACCAACTGGGAGTCGTCATCAGCAGCGACGGCGTTGCCCACCTGGAGGCGCCACAACCGGATGTAACGGTCCTGGGACCCCAGTGCCAATACCCATTCTTCAGGGCCACTGGAGCGGAAACTGAGACACTTGACCCAGTCTTCGTGTCCTGGTAACTGCTGCAATTGGGCGAATGAACCCACGGCGCCCCCATAGATGTAGATGTTGTGCTTAGTGCCGCCGACAGCAATGACGTAGTTATCGGCGGAGACTTTGGTGATGGCGATGGCCAACGGGTAAAACGGAAGCTCAATCACCTGGAGCACGTCGCCTTGTGGAGAGATCACTGCCATTTGCTTGTCGGTGGCCCCCAGGATGAAAAACAGGTGGTCTTCGGCCACCGCGAGCACCGTCACCGATTTGCGGTGGATGTCAACAATTTTGGCCACTTTGTGGTCTTGCCAAAGCACCACTTGGTTGTCTTCGCCCGCCGACACCATGGTGTTGCCGATAAAGGCGACGGCGGTGACAGGGGCGGTGTGGCGCTTCAAGGTCGTGGTGACTCCCTGCGACGATAGCGGATCCCAGAGAGCCACGGTGGTGCCCGCGGCGTAGGCAAGCGTCCCCTGGCCGTACGCAAACACCTGGGTCTGGCGGTTCAGCCCGATAAACACCCCGAGACTGGTGGCCATTGAATGATAGATGCCGTTAGTGGTGGTCGCGCGCGATGAGCACTAAGTCAGGGAGAGTGGTCACCAAGGACGATTGGATACACCTTGGAAAAATAGTAGAGTTTAAGTTGATTATCGAGTTAACAGATGGAATGAATTACGTCGGAGATGAAGAGTTTCAAATTAAAGATTTAGACATTTGGTTTTAGGTAATTATATGAGCTCATGAGGATTATCTATCCCATCAGCAATAACGACCCGGACATCTGATTAGCTTCACAAATCGGAATCAATATCAACATTTACCAGTCGTCAATAGATGGATACTCTTGCCGTCATTGTGTTCGCTGGTGGGGTCAAATTTGAAGATTTAGAGGCTCGCCGTTTGGTTCCGAGGATGAGAAACAGAATAACGTGGTGTAGCTGGTATACAGCATGAAGGAAGCGGTCATGGTTAGTTACGGTGGATTGAATCGTTCTGGGAGTATTGACTACGGTTACCGATTCGTAAATTAAGCAGAAAAAATTAATTTCAATTCCCTTTTTGTACAAGAGGGTACGTTAAGGAGCACCTTGGCCAGCGAAAATCGTGTCAAGCGCCATTTCATAGCGCACCATAAATGCCCGCTGCTCGGTGGCAATGGTCATGGCAACCGCACCATACCACGTCGTAGCGCCCTGCCGCATAGCGTTCTGGAAACGCTGGGAAAAGTTGTGGCTATCAACGGGCATTTTCGGTAAACGCGTTTGGACGACCAACTCCTCGGCGGCATCCTGGAGCCGGGTCGCGAGTCTGTCAATCGCTGCAGCAGCGAGCCGTTGGCAAGTGCCGCGACTGAACTGACGGATACGGGCCATGCTAGCCTCATCATCAGGAGGGCGAGCTTGCGGCGCTAATGCCAACATGAGAGAGCAATTGTTCGCGTATTCCCGGTCTTCTCCTCGAGGAGAATCCCAAATATCATCAACGATTCCCTGATAAACATCAGTGAGAGGGAACCCATCGTTGCACAATATTTAGGAATGGCCTGCACGAGACGGCGACCTGAACCGTGGCAGGAAATTTCGTAGTCGATAGCGGCGAGAGGGGGAATTTCAAACGCCTCATTGTAGTCACGGCTGATGTTTTCAAGCTCAATGACTCTGGTGGCACGATCGACTAAGGTGTGGAAACGACTGGTAGTTGATTCAAACTGGTGAATAACGTCTCTGGCAAGATCTTCGTAGCCATCAGTAAGGAAGTAGGGGTTGGCACAGTAGTTAGTCGGAGTGGTTCCGCGAAGAAAGGGGAAAGCCCCAATCTGGGGAGTCATCGACATCCTGTGCTTATTGCTAAGCATACTCGGACATTCGCCAGCCATATACCCCCCCCTCCTTCGTGACGGGCACCGACACAACTCACCGGGATTGTAGTGACCGAATGCCGTCAGTGAAAGCTTAACGATAATGCTTAACTTTATCCTCGCACCCCTTTCATATTGAATGAATTCAAGGCAAGCTCTCATTCTGTTCAACTGGCGAACCTGTAAAGGGCATGCTTTAGTGAATACACTTTCAAGGCGAACAATTTTCATAATGGCAGTCCACTCTGATCACTTGTCAACACTTTCACGGGGTGGCAGGAATAAGGGCATGCAGACAGTAAACCACTAAGGATGAAAGTTTGAACGGGAAGTAGTGCTTGCATTTCAATTTGGTTTAGGCCTGATCAGCTCATTAGCCGTGGCATCACAACCATCCAAACAATAACGCGAGACACCATTGAACTCAAGAATTCGCAGCAACAAACCAAAAGTTGGGTGTAAACACTGACAATTCCCTAAGCTAGTTCTCAAAATTTGTCGATACCGATTGTCAGTTTAAAAGTATGTTCACATCATTTCCCCACAATTTCGATATCCAGTCGCGTTTTCGTGTACGTTTTATTTGATAACGAATTTCACGCGCCGTCCCTAATTCAAGTTACCAGAACGAGAACCCATTGAGTTCAGACACGACAATGTGTCTGTCGAAGGAGTGATTGCTTTTCTTACTTGTCCTGCTTTGGAACGGGCACCTACTTCCCGGGACTGATGCCTTGACAATTTGGTTTGTTAGTTCCTACGAGCCAAAGGGGTGATTGATGACTACAACGGTGGATCGATTTACATTAATTGAGATACACATATCTCGATATCCTCGATACTTCTTCGAAATTACACCACGCAAGCCAACATCGCGGCAACGGCGACGGCCAACGTCACTCTGGGGACAGTGAGGCCAGCGGCGGCACCCTTGCGGTCCTTGTTGCCCTTGCCCGACTTCTTGTTCAAGTCCTTCACCCGCTTCTTCTTGATGTCGTCGGCGGCGGCGTTGACCTTGGCCGAGGTCATGTCGTCGTTGGTGACGAGCTGGTCCAGGTTGCCGTTGGAAAACACCACCACGGTACCGTCAGCGGCGAAGAGAATCGCCCCGGAGACGTCACCGTCGCCGATGTTGGTGTAGCCGTCAATGGTGTTGCCGCCGTCGATGTCGTCGGTGTGCTGGCGGTCGTACAACGTGGGGCGGAAGCGGCGGCGGTAGTCCTTGTGCATGGGTTCGAACACGGCGAACTCACCGCAGCCCAGGCGCCAGCACAGGCAGTCGGCGTTGTCCTTGTCGCGGTAGTTGTTCAGGGTCCGGGGGATCTGGGCGTTCAACACGCGGATGGCGGTCTTGTCCAAGTTGTCGGCGTTACCGAGACGTTGCCACTTGAACACGAAGAGCTTGGCCTTACCGCTGAACCCGTGGTAGGCGGGGATGCCGTCACGGTAGACACCGCAGTCGCCGTTGACCCCCAGGTCGCCGCAGGTGTCGTTGGAGTAGATGATGATCTGTTGGTCCAGAGTGAGCTCAGTGTTGGTCAGTAAGGTTTCGGGCTGGTCGGAGGCACCGCCGTCCGAACCGGCGTACACCAACGCCTTACCCAAGCACTTGGAGTCCTGACCCTGAGGGGTCAAGAAGGTGATGTTTTCGGCAGTGTTGCCGTCCCACTTACCGATGGTGGTCCACTGGCTGTCGCCGCTGTTGAGCTTGTAGTCCTCAGACGAGTAGGCGTAGAAGCTCAACAACTTGAGGGGGCCCTGGAATTGGACGGCAACCTCACCGTCCAAGGGAGAGTTGGCACCCGAGAACTTGACAGGGTCGCCCACCTGGCACGAGCATTGGTCCAGGTCGGGGTTGTTAAGTTGCAGCACGGGGGTGTAGTCGCCGTCGAAGCCAAAGTTGTTGAATTGGAGCACGTCACGGTTTTTGATGGCCACGGCCACCGAGGCCAACGCTAACACCAACAAGTTCTTCATTGTCAGGGGGGGGAAATTTGATTTGTGAATTGATTACGGCACTAGCCACCGGGTTTATATATCGCTGAGCCGCGGCCTCGCCAGGGCGGCAGGTTGCGTTCGGCATCACAAGCATGACCTCTAAAATTACCCACCTCCCGGGAAAGGGTATTGTCAAGGTTCAGATGACGCTACGGGGACGGGGAATTGCTTTCATCCGAGAAATCTTGTTTTAAAGGACGGCTACGGGCGCGTTGTCGACTAATTGGTTACGTCTCTAATACCCTATGTTGAGTTGAATTGGCATTACCAATGAGATTGACCCCAGTGGCTCGCCTCGGAGGAATCGCAGCCGCTTCCTCATCTACGACGGCCCCGGCGTACGGTGATGTCACGCCGGAAACGATGGTTTGCCTTCTCATTGATGGTCCACATCCAACCGACAGGCGAACGTGGGTATGGCCGCGGCATTAACCGGATAGAGGAAGATGCCGTCGTTACATTTTAAGGAGAATTATTGGTGCTACCTTGTCGTAGATGGTGATCGTAGGTTCTCTCCGCTATCCTCTCACCACCGTTCTGCCCCAATTCAGAATTTATTCTTGTCAATCGTAGTGGTTGTGCTGACCTCGTATCAAAGCAACTAAACGAGGGTGCCTTTTGTGTTTTGGGTGCAAAAACTAAATTACGTGCATGGGGCGTCACGTGCGTCATAGGGTGAGTGGGCAGATTCGGCGTTTACTCAGGGGACAATGGCGGCACCGACGAGCAAGTAGACACGGGAACTCCGTCGCCTCCCGTTGCAGCCGAGGGTACCCCTATACCTAAGCAAACATTTGTGACTAATCGCTCAAAGACACCAGGATTGTGGAGGGTTGCCGACGCCAGCCGAGGGTAGCTATGAGGGGGGACCTGCTGGCGAGCTAGCCTCTCGTCAAAGGGGCTTGAATAAATAGTCAGCGTCAAGATAGCCTGAATCTGATCGGCAGGCTAAGGTACGAGGATCGATCGGGACGGACGTACCCGAGAGTCAGGCGCCCGTTGTCGCTCGTGCGATTTCTTACCCCGGAGTTTATGCACAGAAGGAGCGTTCGGATCACGGGCTCCGCTCATGGCGAACAATAGCCGTCACGGCTCTGGACGTGCTTTTTCGGCATCACCCCATCGAGGATAGGGGCACCCCGGCACCCGTCGGCGCCGTGGTCTAGAAATTCACGCAAACGGATTTTGTGTGTGGGCATGACAAATGAGCGGGTAATGCCGTAGCAACTTAGGCGTTTCGTGGTGGCAGCGGTGGAGATGGTCTGCTTGCACATGGAAACGTCGGCTTCTTATTTCGTTAGGGATCACGGTTACGACGATGGGTGATAGGGGATGAATCAAAAGGAACTAGTCCACGCACCATCCCTGAATAAAGCCCCTGGACACAATGATGACGCCGTGATCGTGGTGGTGGCAGTCACTACACTCGCTCCCTCCCCTCTCGAAGCCTTGCTTGTGACTTTAGTTGTGGCTAATTACATGGCAAATGCAATTTTCTCGGAGGGCACACGACCATTTGTGACACTTTGAGATCGGGCAACTGGTGGCACAATTTGTCTCATGTTAGGCGTAACTTGCCACTACCTGTCTCACGTACCCATTAGGAATTCAAATATTAGGGTTAATTGTCAAACTAACCGCTCAATTTGCCATGAATCCATTCCGGTTGGCTTACGAGGTATTTCCGAGGGTAACTTGCGCGTGTATTACTGCGCGAACCCCATCCATATCCGGGACTCTCACTGGAGTAAACCCGGGGTAGTCACCACTTACACCACCTCCCTCACTAACGCCATACAACCACGCCAATGCTCGAGTTTACCGTGCCCGTGGTCGCCGACCGCAACATGGTCCGCGAAGCCATCAAAGGTAAGTATAACTACCCTCAATGGTCGATTCAATTGTCTACTAACTTCAACTTAGGCGTGATTCTGACGATCTTTTTCCACCGGCTACTTGGCCCCATAACGCCTACTCCTGCCAGCTTCCTCGGCATCAGCTACCCCACGGCTGACCTCCCCCTGCTTGACGACGACATCGACAACAAAATCAGCCAGTTGCTCGACAAATTGGACGTCGACAGCCACCACCGGGCCACGGCGGAGATCCACTTCCAGACGAGGGAAAAGAAGCCCCGCGGCTGGTTTAAACTGGACGCCGACGAGGTAAAGCTGTGGGAGGTGTGGACGGTCGATGTCACCTGTACTCCCGGAGTGGCCGGGGTGGCTAATACTGATGCCATCCGCACCTCATTTGAAGAGGCAGTGGTGCTGGTGGTGACGACGTGCGACGCCCATAAGGACCACATCCCCGCCCTTAGCACCATGGACCCGCTGCCGTTTCCCTATGCGATTGTCGTGTGATATTCAAGAGTTCTATAAAACGCTTTTACAAGTTGGCGCTGTACATCCCTTCCTCGCCCCGGACCAAGATGCACTCGTCCTCGTACACCACAATGTCGTAAAGCCCCAACAGCTCGGCCTTGTCGACGACCTCTTGGTTGTACGACCCCGGCTGGAACCAGAGACCCCTGACCAAGTCGCGGTAGCCGTCGACCTTGGCAATTTCGTCCAACGTCGCCACCGTGATCTTGGGCGGGGTCAAAAACGAGATCGACACCCCGTCGCTGGCCGACAACGGGTACCCCGCCAAGTCCTGGTGCTGCTTAAGCGCCTTCAACACCTCGGTGATCAGGGGGACCACTTTCTGGTCGAGAATCACCTCCTCCCGCGGGTTAATGGGGATGGCGTTGAGGTCGTGGGCAAGGTACCAGTTGAGGATCTTGTAGCCAAACTTGGTGGGGTTGTTGGAGGCGCCGGCGACCAAGTACTGGCGCGTGGGGCCGAAAAACAGCTTGATCTTCGTCTTCATCGACATGTTGTGTATGGTAAAGCTGTGGATATGGGTAATTAGGTGGCAGGTTTAGTGTGGGGCGCGCGGGGCGCACCGACTTGCCCCACGGTTATCAGTGCGCACGTGATGGCTGCTTTCGGCTCCCCGCGGGTGAGGGTAAACCTCAATGCTGCAAATTGATAATTATGCCTTAGGATTCCATAGTCAATTTATGTAGAGTTTTTTTGGTAAACCCTGAACGTGATTTATTGATCTAGAATTTCCTATATATTCATTACCAGATTATTTGAATTAGTATCGGCAGATTTCGTTGAGAGGGTAGGGCGAAAACTGCCTGCCAAAAGCCTGTGTCCTGTCATACATCAAGCCATGTACAACAAACACTTTTAGCTTTGAAAAGACTTCCTGTGGACGCTGTAAATCACCGCAGCATGCCGACGCGGCCAGTTCTCATACTGAGCGAAAGCCCCTATCTCAGGATACACAAGCAGCTCCCGAAAGTGCAATGCCTTATAACTCTGAGCGGTGTGCCACCCAATTACTAATCGTATACTGGGGAAAGCTTTCAAGCTCAGGAGATTGAATACCTTTGTGGGCAAAACACAGATCTCTCAACCTGGTAAACTGATGGGCCATAATAAAAATATTACCATTCTTCAATCGCTAAGCGAGTATGAGAGACAACCATTTCACGCCGACAATATCACCAATTATCAGTAGGTTGTACGCTTTGGTTTTGATTGCGTCGACGGTAAATGGTTCACTCAATCGAATTCAATCAAAGCGAAGTTCAATGTTCCCACTCATGCTTGGAAATGGCCAGTTGTAGTCAATCTGCCTTGTGTGCTTGTATGTGCCTCTTCAGGGCCGTATAAACTTCTTCTTCCCATTGAGCATCTTCGAGGATAACTTTACGTCCCGGCCAGCACGATAGGAGATGTTCCAATGGCAGTGCCCTTGAACAATTGGGTCTGGCTAATAATTTTTATGATGATGAGCTGATTCTTACGATATTGACTGATAAATGTCTACAAGAGTGTCATCTGATGTATAGACCAGGTATTTGAAACTTCACAAGCATTTATTCGCGCCGTGGTGCTTGTGGGTGGCGCATCATTGTTATGAACGGTGGAGAACATCTGGACCCGCCCTGCGCGACAATCGCCATATACAGAATTAGACGATGGCTGCAAAAGTTTATTATCATCACACGACATTTCGCGAGCATCGAGTAAACTTACGAAGACAATAAGAGTGATGAAATGTTTGAAAGAAAGCCAAGCTACTAAAGTTTAACAGGTCTTTTTTTGATTAATTATATGACTAACTAAATTCTCTCGCAAATTAAACCATGTTTTTGATGATATTCAAACGTCTCCAACCAGTGTAGGACTGGCTTCGTCCGCTGTCTCTCGCGCTTGGTCCGCAGTCTCTGATGCTTCATCTGCAGCCGCTGATGCTTCTTCCACAGCCTCTGGCCCTTGGTCAGCGGCATCTGATTCTTGATGCGTGGCCTCTAATGCTTGGTCTTCGATCGATGTACGACCGGCTTCTTCCCCAGCCTCTGGTGCTTCTTCCCCAGCCTCTGGTGTTTCGTCCACAGCTTCTGGTGCTTCGTCCACAGCCTCTGGTGCTTCTTCCGCGGCCTCTGATGCTTCTTCCGCGGCCTCTGATGCTTGGACCGTGGCCTCTGATTCTTCGTCCGCAGCCTCTGGTTCTTCGTCCGCGTTATCTGATGCTAGGTAGGTCTCTGGGTCCCAATCGTCATTTTTCTTAGGATATGTGAGGACACAATTATTATGCTTAGGCCGGGTGCAGGGGCAGTACTTGTTGAGGGGGGTGTGGGTGATGGTCCCGTCTTCGGCACGATCGACTCGGAACATGAGGCCGTGGTTGACGTAGAACTTGAGTTTTGGGAAGGTCCGTTCGTACATGTAGCGGCACTTGACGGGGACGTGGGCCTCCTCGACGAATCGCCGCGGCCAGTTTTGGTGGCCAGCACCAAGTCCAATTTCGAGGTACTCAAGATGCTCTGCGAACCGGACCGCGGCAAAGTCGGTGACTCTGGACCAAGATAACACTAAGCGTTTGATGGTACGGGGGAACTTCTTGAACTTGGGGATGTGGGTGCCATTATCAGCCACAAACAAGTCCTGCAAGTTTGTGAGCTGCCTCGCCGCGTAGTAGATGTTGTCGGGTTCCGGTCTGTAGGCACACACAAGCGACAATTGTTTCACCGACGACAAGTCGACCCACTGGTCAATATTAATCACCTCGCCCTCGATCAGAAGATTGTCCACTCTGATTTTCTTGGCCAAGGGCTCCACCTCGATCCCTTCCGTTACCGTGAGACGGGAAAGATAAGGGAGGGTGGTAGGGACGCTCTCGACGACAAATTTGAGGAGAGTGGTGGCCTTGATTTCGTGGTAGGTGAAGTAGGTGCGTTCGGGGCCAGCATACTGATCCATGGTATCATTGGCACGAAAATGCCGTTTATGCACGTCAATGATGGTCACCAGTGCCGGCCACGGACGGCCGGTGCTTTGGATGTGGAGGAATTGAGCTTCGGAAAAGTACAGCCACTCTAACAAGTCGTCGATGTCATCCACAAGAAGCGGGGCGTACCCTTTCTTGAGGACAAACACTTTACGGAGCAATCTGTGGTATACAAGGTTGTTGATGCTTCTGGAAAGCGACAAAAATGGATATACCCGGTGTTGCGGGAGTAAGTTGAAGATGTCGGCCATGATCTCAATGGGCAAGTTTAAGGTGGTATCAATTGAAGGCTTTCTCCGCTTAGCCTCAGGCAAGCTGGCCTGGAGATCGCCTCCCGTGGAGTGACGACGTTTTGCCCCCTCAACGGTCGCAGACNGTGGTGGTTTTTGTTTTTTTTTTTTTTTTTTTTTTTCGAGACGACTGGGGCAGCTTTATATTAGGCAGGGGCAGAAGATCTCATCCCAATGCGTGCCAAACCTTATATACAGAATTAGACGACGACGTGGTGGCGACAATGGATTGTTCGCCTGGTATGATTACTGACGTACTTCACATGACCCTACAACAGCTTTTTCGAGAGGATGATAAGTTATCTAAGTTTTATTAGTGCTACAGTGAATACTGGTGTATTTACGAGACTAGACGATGGTTCGCCCCTCCTTCCCCTCCTTAGCTGTCTCATCTGCAGTCGGCATTACCAGAGGCGGGGCGCAGTGTGCGGCTGATCGTCCATGTCAGTGCAGCACTGACGTTTTTATCTGCAGGAGTTGCTCACCTCACGTGTGTGCTACATCAGCCACGGGATGAAGAGAATGACATTAGCCAAACGAGATTAGCTATTTGAACAATCATTTAGTGAAGAGCTTTGATTTATAAAGGTGCTACAATTGTCTAAGTCAAAGACCCATCCTGTTTGAGGTAGATCAAGATCGTTTGCTCGCCGATTCGCCTACTTGCTCGACTTGATACCCGTGGTCGTGATTAATCGACAAACTAAGCTAATGCTATTCTTCAGAATATATAAATACGTAAATATCCTTCGGCAATTAACATATCGCTCGATTGGTTCTTGTTTATCGACTTTTTGATCCACCTTTAGACACAAGAGACGACTCAGTCATTGGTAGTAGGTCAATCTGGTAGTCAATACCCAGAAAATTGCCAAAATCATCAGTAGGATGCCCCTTTTCACCCACAAGAATCCATCAGAGGCGTTCGGGTAGTTGAAAACCATGTCAATAAAGGGAGAAACTGGTGGCGGCAGCAGAACTTCCACGACCAAAATTCATTCACCATATCATTCAAAAGAAGTTATTTCAGATGGTGAAGAAGGTAGACTCACCAAAATTGTATATGCTCTAGAATAGGGAAAGGCACGAGTATACTCGGTGGTGGGACCCGAGGAAGTCGAAAATGATCTCCAATAGTGATCGCATCCATCTCCTTGAAACCTGGAGATTTGATCATGACAAAGGATCGGCTTACAGCACCGTAGTTTCAGCGGTACTTCAGCCCAGGGTTGGTGGTGGATGATAGGGTGCCTAAGTTATCCCCTAGTCTCTTGAAATGAGCTGAACTTCCAATGGGAGAGACTTAGTGATCTCAATCTTCATTTGGGTGGGACCTCATGGTATTGATTAAACGGTACTGGCAAGGACGTAGGCGTCGACGTGGTTTGAGTTAGGTTGTCGTCATGACCATGGTGACGATTCGAAGGTAACGGGGTATCCCGAGAGGCTACAAATCTAAGATAAGATCGATTGTGATTGTGAAACCAGGCAAAGTAGAGTTACTCGAATTGAAGTTGACGCCGGGTATTCGTAGGACTAATGACAAGGGGATTAGCGCGACTTGTGATGTCATCACGCGCGCCGACTCTCAACGGCGAGTCTGGAAGCCATCAGCTTAGTGTTAATGCAGCAGTAGTTGAAATAGTATTCCGAGTAGTATTTCACCTACAAGTGGTGGTGGTGGTGTCATCTAGCAGTGCAATAATATAATTGCCACGTCAGTTACCTCTAATTGCGTGTCGAAGCTACTCGCTCCAAAACCTCCACCACTCTACTCAAGGCCACGCCATCTTCAATTTAATATTGTCATTTCTTTATCAACTACTGCGTCACTCTCTATATCCGAGTTTTCGAAACCCATTGCTTTGCTTACTACCTCAGATCATTCAACGTTGTTCGCACCCTTCCCCACAAAGGGACATTCGATATCGATGTCTGTCACCGCCATTTCTATCAATCAAATTCTTCATCTACACCCCTGATACCGTTTATTTTTCACCGATTCACCCATTCTTCACCCAATTGCCTCTTATTTCTCTCAGCTTCCGCCGCTTACTCCACCACTTGATTCCTCCGGTCGCGGCGCTCCAAGGCCTCACTCGATGAGTAAACGGAACCGCAACAGTTTACTCGCCACCGTGACGCCGCTGGCGGCCAGCCACCACCCTTTGGGGGCTACTCTGAGTCCCGGTGCCCCGCTGAATGCCCAAGATCATCCACAGGTGTCCCAGGAGGCCCCTCATCGCCCGGCAAACCCCGCGGTATACCCGTTCAACGACGGCGCCCCCCATCCAACCTACCCTGACTATAACCCGTGGAAAGACGACTATGCCCACGACCACCACATGAACTTGTACCTTCTGAAGGGGTACTTCGAGGCGCCGGTGGTGCTGAACGAGTACTGCCTGGCCCGCCACATGATCCAGCACACGTTGTTTATCAACGTCGACAACTGCAACCACGTGCTTGAGGAGCTCTCCCAGCACTTGGCCAATGCCTATAAGACGAGGAACCAGGTGATCAACAAGATCAAACACGACCTGAACCACTTCCTGTTGCCACCACGCGTGACGTTGACCCTGGCGAAGCGGGAGGCGTGGCTCCGCGACTTGGCCAACCCGGAGGTGCTGTTTGCCAAGTTGGGGGAGAAGCTACCCCATGGCATTCGTAATAAGGTGCTTATCGACGCGGTGTGCTCGCGCCACGTCCCGTTAAACCGCGCGTTATGGTACACTAAGTGTACTCTCTACGGCGAGTACTTGGTGTTGGAAAAACGCCGCAAAGTGAAACTGCTGCCGCTGAAACTGACACCGCTGAGTCTTGGTGGCCAGGCCCACCCGCTCGATTGCCACTGGCTCCAAGAATGGACACAACAGGTGGCGGACTACATCGTCAAGTTCTCGCGGGAAATGGTCCACATCGCCACTCCTGAACGCAAAGCCCAGTACTTGGCCAAATTCAGCTACATGGTGCGCTACGTGTCGTTGCTTTACATCGAAAACTTGCTTGATAAAACCTACTTTCTCACATTAATCCTCAAATCGTTCCGGGAAGGGATCGCCACCACCAATTCTGGCTCCGGCAGTGACGATGACGACGATGACGATGACCACCAGGTGGACCACACCCCTGATAGTCACTACGGGCAGCGGTTAGTCGCCCTTGAGCTTATCACCGTGTTCTGGCATGATCTTTTGAAATCCGACTATATGCTCAAGGAGCTCTGCCTGGGGCTTTTGCTCAACCACCATCATCTCTCAAAGCACGTGGGACCGACGCTGGCGATGCTCCCCGTGGTCACCGACAAGGTGGTATACTTATTCCACCGCAACACCAATTTGTTCATTTTGCCCACCCACTGGAGCGTGGTCCAGAAACTGCTCTGGCAAATCCTTGAGGGCAGTGTACGTACTGCTAGTGATGACGACAAGCACGAACTACGCCGTCAGCTTGAATTGATCCGCTACCGCAATGAGCTGTTGATGCTTAATTACCGCGCCACTAGTCGTGCCCCCGGCGATTTACTCAGCCAGCGGGCAAGCGATGACCTCATCCGCGTGGTGCACAGTTTGGACCACCGGAGACTCACGCTGAGCCTTGCTAAGCTCTTTGATGGGCCTCAGTGGCGGGTATACTTACGGGCGGCCCTCTGGTGGCTGGTGACGCTGCGAGTCAATTCTCTGGCAGAAGGCGCTTTGATTGTGTGTCTGTTTTTGAAGAAATCAGTGGTGAGTCCCGGGCTCCGTCTAGAGATGGAGAACGAGATTGTCGACGCCACCTACGCCATGGCGGAGCTGATCGGCGCCGACGACCACCAGCGGCTCCACAACTTGTACGTGTTGATCAACGAGTTGTACCAGCTTAAGTTATTGACGATATCTGCCTATTTGCGCAAACTCATCGCGCTGGGCCTCTTTTATGGTGATGGTATCAATCCTGAGGCCATCCAGGTCCACATTAATGTCCTCCACCATTTGCCGACCATCAACAATAAGCAGTGTAACAACTTGTTGCGCAAAGCGAGACAGCCCAATGACGATTTTACCACCAAATTCGATCAGGGCAAACAGATATTGGACCGGGAAATAATTGACCGCGTGTTAAATGACTCCTTTCCTACTACATGTGATAACACTACCGGCGACATTTCTCAAATCACTCAGATGGAAGTGGGGCTCCGCTTTCTCCTCATCAATTGGTTGACTCATGAGTTCAAACAGCGGGTGCAATCAGCACTGACGCTTGTCCACATCACCCCGACCACGGTAGCCCACTTGTACCTCTTCTATCGCCAGTGTGATAATCTTCTGGTGTTCTTCAAGGAAGTTGTGCGATTCATTTTGAGGAACGATGCCGGTGTCATCATATGCTACATGGACTCGTTGTACTTGTTTGCGCGGATCTTGATGCAGCACATGCCTCTCGTCAAACACGTGACGCTGCTGGCGGTGGACCTGGTGCTGGTGGGGTACCCCTTGTTTGACTTGATGGTGCGCCTCTACCTCGACTTACTGCCGCGGGACTTTGACTGGTTCAACTTTGCCGCGGTGTGGCAGTTTATGGAGCAGAAGATCGACCGGCGCAGCTTGGCGCTGGCACTGGTGCTGCCGAAGCTGCCGCTGGTGTCGGTGGGGGCGCAGCTGCCAATGCCGTTGAAGACGCCCAATTTACCGTTTGAAGGGGTGGACTCGCCTATGAGACTCAACGACGACGTACTGGCAGCGATGGTGGTGCTGCAGCGGTTTTCGCTTCCTGAATTTGTCCTGTTGCTCACGCGAGCACAGGCGGCTCCCGAAGTGGATATCGACCCGGAAGAAGCGTCTGCGCTCCAGCAACTGCTGCAGATCCACTCGTTAGCTGAGGCGATCGAGGCACTAAAGCATCGGGAGGGGGAAGCGGCAGCGACGGTGGTCAAATTGGTGCGTCATTTTGGTCGCCATGGTCAGTACTTAGAAGTGCTCGAGGAGCTAGTGGTGGATTTACCCGTCTTACCCTTGGCCGAGCTGAAGCGGGCGGTGCTGACCATCGCCTGCTATGAACTTATCCCTTGGCCAAAACTTGTGGAAGCTATTCTGGGGTCTGATGACCTAGTATCGTGGCTTTTGATTGAGGATGACCCTCTGCGTACGACGGCACAAACGGTGCAATTTCAAGCCGTGCGCCACTGGTTCAGGTACCGAGTGCCTCACCGGTTCAGCGACGTGATGCTAGCGCGACTCCAGCGGGGTTTGGTCAATCAGGCGTGGTTGGTGGAGCTGATCGCCTCGCGCGACGTGCTGGTGATCAACTACGTGATGCTGTTGGAGCATGACCAAGCCTTACGACTTCTCAATGAGCAAGTAGGGGTATTCCCTCACGAGATTTCTGATTCGGCGCTGATTATCGCTCTAGCCGACGTTGTCGACGAGTTCAATCTCCCGTTCTTTCAACTTGCCCTCCGAGCGGTGGTGACTAAAGATCCATGCCTGCTTCCGGTGATTGTCGATCAGTTGCTCCTTCGCTTCCGGTACCGGTTTGCTGAAGTTAACCGCTTCTTTGGTGATGTGTTCGACCTACTACCAGACACAACCAAGACGGAAGTTGTCCTTCAATTGGAGCGGCTTTTTCTTGCCAAAACCCAGTTCACCGACACTACCGTGCTGCTAGTGCTCAACTCCGAAAATGACGCCGCTACTGCTGTTGATGTTCTCCCCATCCTTGCCGATGCCTTCCAGAAATTTACTAGCGGCGGCGGCACTATCGCCGACGACGTGGGGCTGTTCCTGAGCACCCACGGCCCCAGTGGCGCCATTGACCAGTTCACGCGCCACTTGGTGACCGTGGCCAACGCCAGCGACGCCGCAGGGCTGTCGGCGCTAGAAGATGCTATTCTGATCTACCTACGGATACTCATCATCTACCGGTCAGCCATCGCCACCGCGTTGGCGGGGGATGCCGACGGCACCACCCAGTTTGTCCATAATCTCGTCAGCTTGCTCCACCTGAGCTTTTTGGCCACCGCCCACGAAAAGCTCCGCATCGTCCTCTATGACTTACTCCTCTTGCTTCGCACTCAGGGCGAATGTGCTGGTAGCGCTGGCGGTGCCGAGGGTGCTGGTGCCGTTGACGGGGTCGCGGTGCGGGCGCCAGCATTATGGGCCCTCGACGACCCTACGGAGGCGGGGCGAGTGCCCTCGCCTTCAGCACCGCCGCCAATGGCGCTGCTGGTGACGCTGCTAGACGAAGACGAGCTCAACGGCGGCGACTACAACTACTTCAACCATCACGGCCTCGTGATGGAGCCGCTGGCTCGTGACCCGGGGCTGTTGGCCAATTTACTTGGCACCACCACCCCGAGGCGGCCACCACCGCGGCGCCCGTTTGCCGTGAAGGGGTTCGAGGTGTTCGAGGATACCCTGGCCGGTGTCAACGACGCCTGTGTCAACTTGCTGGTGTTTGACGCCTACACCACCAAGGAAAATCCTAGCTAGATGGGACGGACCCGGTGGGGTGATGTTTATCTTTTCCATCACCGTTGCCAGGCGGGGTGCGCGCGCCATCGACCCATAAGCGTACAAATTTGGCGCGGGGCTGCGTGCATATACCCCGATTGGTCAATAAATTTCACGCTAAGCCGCATCGGCCATTTCCCCAGCAAATGACCAGACCTACACCTTTACCTTAGACATCATAGACATCATTTACTAAACATCAGTATATTTTCTATTTCATCCGATAATACACCACCTGGTGCTGCCGCGCTACACCACCAGGCGGAGACCCCCGATATTTCCGAGATGGACTCGATAATGCTCGTGCCCTGCCATGCCCTGCATCGCGCACAAACCACATCGCCGATTCGGCTGCAAGTGCCCTAGCCACCACTGGCTAATTCCCACGCTCGAGCCAACCGCCGGATACACCACAAACGACAATGCCGAGAAATCGACCAACCGTTTTCTCGACGCATAACCAAATTTTACTCGACTATATATAGGTGGCGTTTGGCCTTGCCGGTCTGTCAAGTCCCTTATTGTCTCTCGCTGTAAATGGTCCGCTCGCTTATCGTCATTGCAGCCACCACCGCCGCTGTTGTCAGCGCCGCCGAAGGCTACGAAACCTACCCGTCGGTGGCCCACACCGCCACCTACAACGGGTTCGCTGACCCATTGATCCCCCGAGTGGGGCCGTGCGTCCAAGAATGTCTCAAGGCCAACCCGGGCACGGGGATGACCCCCTGCCCTTACTGGGACACGGGGTGTCTCTGTATCATGCCGATGTTTGGCAACATTGTCGCCGACTGTATCGCGGCGCTGTGTGTCGGCGACGAAGTGAAGCTGGCCACCGAGCAAGCGGTGGAGGTTTGTCTGGCTGCCGGGGTGTGGAGCCCTTACTGGTTCTACGGCGACTCCCAGAAGCAGGCGTTGCTGGCGGCGGCGGCGAAGACGGCCGAGCCGACGCTGTCGGAAGCCGCTCCGGAACCGACGCTGTCGTCGGCGGAAGCTCAACCCTCGGAGACTTCCACCACCACCGAACCCGAACCCACCGCTGAAGAAACCTCCGCCCCTCAACCCACCGAAGAAGTCACCACTGCCCCTGAACCCATCGAAGAAACCTCTGCCCCTCAACCCACTGAAGAAACTTCGGTGCCTGAGCCGACTTCGGAGAAAACTAGCACTGCTGAACCCACGCTGGCTTCGGGTGACGGCATCGTCGCTCCCGAATCTGGCTCGGAGTCGCCGTCGTCGTCGATTGAAGCTGAATCCACCGTCTCTGCTTCCGAATCGGCCACCGACTCTGCCTCCCAATCGGCTGAAGTGATTGACTCTTCCGCTTCCGCTTCCGCCTCCGCTTCGGCTGCTCCTGAAGTGGAATCGTCCTCGGAAATTGCTGAACCCTCGCCCTCGGCTTCGGTCTCGGCCTCGGCTTCGGTGTCCACCTCCCCCTTCACTAACGGCACCAAGACCGTGATTGAAGACAAGACCGTCACCGACATCGTGTTCTACTGTCCCGAAACCACCACCGTCACCATCACTAAGTGCGAAGAAACTTGTCTGGAAACCGTCACCGTGTGCCCTCCCGGTACCGTCACCATCTACGGCGAATGTGTCGTGCCTGAAGACTACACCCCCGGTCAAATCGGCGATAAGACCGTCACCGTGCCTCCCCCCGGCCCCGTCACCGTGTGTGAAGAATGCCAAAAGCCCAAGCCTACCGAAGCGGGCAAGCCCAAGCCTACCGAAGCGGGCAAGCCCACCACTCAAGCGGGCAAGCCTACCACTCAAGCGGGCAAGCCTACCACTCAAGCGGGTAAGCCCACTAATGTGGAAAACCAATCGTTGGCTGGTCCCCTGAGAACCGCTGAACCCTCGCAAGCTCCCACTGTTGAGATCGCCAACGCCGGCTCCAAGGCTGTTGCCGGGTCATTGGGAGCGTTAGCGTTCCTCGCCTTGCTCATGTAAGCGACGTTTCTATCCGTAAGTAGTATATGCTGAAGTTAGCCGTTTATCGACTTCTATTGTAAATGTTGTATCACCTAAGCACTTTTTACTTGTCTCTCTTCAATAAAGATAATTATAAAGCAATTTTTTCACTTATTCAAAATTTCGGAGGCTAACAATTCTTATAGAAATATTTTGATGATTTCACTTAGTGTAATCTTGAACATTTTGAAGCCAACGCCAAAAGTAAAGTCAGGAGTACTAAGTAGTCCCAGATATAGTTTTCCTGTTGTGCTTGACTTCGCTCTGTTTGAGCTGCTCCGGAGCGTTGAAGTTACACTTGTTGAGCCTCTATCGAAAAACCTTGCCTTGCCGTCTACCTTAGTGACCATCTTTGTTACGACAGCATCTCCTATTGCAGGAATTCACCCGCAGGTCAAAACTTTTGATGTCCATGTAATTTTATTGTCCTCAGATCCAAAATTACCAATAGCGATTTTAACTCGTGTACTGAATCAATAATCGATCATATCGATGCACTTATAGGTATCATGTCGCTAGCATTCGTTGCTTGTAGTTGCGTACGCTTTCTATGGTGATGTTGGTGCGGCTCATCGCACACACGCCATCACCAACATACCAGCCCGTCAATGTCAGATAGTGAGGATTCACGAGATAATGATGACTTCGTCATGCCTGCTATGGAGTTTGAAGAAGTGGTAGTCGAAGATTCACCCACTCCCGCCGAATCAAACCCCGAAGAATCCGCTCCTGCCGATGAATTCTTCTTCCCGTTGTTTTCACAAACAGAGACCGCTATTACCCTTACCGAGGAAGCGGAACCCGAAATCAATAACGAGCGACCGCATAGTTATTACTACGTTGACTATTCCGATGCCGATCGAGCCAGATTCCACGCAGTCGCGGTATCGGGGTCAGACGTCATTGCCGCAGCCAGGCAACCTGCCAGCACCCTCCTTGTGGCCTTCCAGCAGTCCCGAGTATTTGACATAACCGCCCACAATCGCAAAATTGATGCTGCACGGAAAAAGAAGAAACGGGCAGGCAAGAATAAGCGACTAGGCCTCAAAGCGTGTCGTGAGAGAAAGCAACAGCGAGAGAAGGAAATCAAGAAGATTCAGCGACAAGCAACCCACCTGCATCAATTTAAAAGAGCCCGGTCAGCAAATGCTAAACCGGTGGTCAACAAGAGACCCCGGTTTGCCACCGAGTAACGATTACGATTATAGACAACCCCCAAATTATTACAAAAGTAGCACATCTCAAACGTTCATACAACTTCTTTGTAAAAGTTTTTCATCTATAAAAGCTGAAATAAGGTCGATGATATCGTATATAGCAATAATCCTTTATACGCACCTTTCAAAATCTGGAGGGTGCAATGCTGGTGTCGATTACAGAAATTATTTTGTATTACCTGGATGTGTTTATTCAAACATTCAATTATTCTCTATCACCTTTTCTCTATGAGCTCACCCGTTGCTTCAACGACGTCAAGAAGTCGCGGTAGGTGGGGTCGGAGCCAATCTTGTCTTCGACCAATGTCGAGTAGGTCCACATTCTCAATGCCATCAACTCACGGTCTTGTGACAATTCCATGGGCTCATTGTTCAGGCCACCCAACACAATGTACAAGTTCTTCCACGTAATCGAGTCCTTCAGATCGCGAATCTTGCCCACGATTTGACGCACCCGGTAGTTGAATTCAGATTCTTCGTACGACAACTCCGGCAATTCTGCCTTGCCCCTGGCAATGGCGTACTTATTGTCGGTACCAAACAAGTCATTCACCAACGCCGGCACCGCGTCACCGCCGAGCCACAAGAACAACTCCAGCCCATTGTCGATAAGGTACAACCCGTGAGGATCCCACGACGTCTTCGAGTCGTTGATGGGTTCGGGCAACAAGATCAGAGTACCCACTTCGTCAGTTTCTTCTTCTTCACCAGTTTCCTCGTTAACGCGCACCACCTTTTCCGGCAACCCGCATTCATCAGGCATATCATGCAACGAGTACACAGTGGGGTAGATGTATTTGATCAATTGAGGGATGGGCATCGACCCCAAGTTGTTCAATGCCGCCGCCCGGTGATCCAGAGGCACGCGGTCGGCCCGGAACCCCAAGTGTTTGGAAAGGGCAAACAAAAGAAGCGGCAACATCCGCAAGTTCGTCGATAATTGAAGCGGCAGCGCTCCCAGCACGTTGCCCGCCACCAACTCCTTGCGGTACACCGTCAAGAGGTCAACCACAGTCTTGGTCAAGAAGTCGCGCGCATCTTGAAGCGTCGTCGCCAACGCCTTTTCGATCGCCTTGTGGGTGATGAAGGTGGTGATGGCCAATTGGTCCGCCAGCGCGTAAATGTCATCGAGCTTCGACAGCGTCGGCACCGCAAGGTTCATCACCCGGATCCGACGTTCACCAAAGCAGGTAGAATGAAGGACGGCAGCTTGGAAAAACACCACCGGCTTGGAAATGTTTTCTTCGAGACTCATCTCAATACAGTACAGTTGATCGCGGGGGAAGGTGGGGAACGAGCACAAATCCAGCGACCGATTAAAGAAGTTACCGTAGAAGCCCAGCATTCTGAATCCGGTAGACCCTCTGACTCTGAGCACAGCTTCAAGAGCAATGTCCATCGACAAGTGGTCCAGAATTTCCCGCGACAACTTGGCCACGTCTTCTTGCTTTTCCAGTGACCACGCAGGGTAGAAGTGGGTTTGCCCGGCAGTGAACCGAGGGAGGTTAGAGAGAGTAGCGACGTCTTGATACAGTTTCAGGGTCAAGAACAAGTCCACGGTGATCTGAGCCGAGTTACAAGTGACAGCAAACAGCTTGTAGAACGCGTCTTGAGGCGAAAGTAACGCCTTGGCTTCCTTGGCCTTGCCCAGCACCCCAGCTTCATCACGAATGGCCAACTTACCTTCACCAATGTTAGGCAAAGTGGCGGCAAAGCACACGAGCTTACCCCCGATGTTAGAGATGAGCTTGTGACCCAGCTTGAGCGCGGGACCCAAGGCGAACCCTTGGTTGGCGGTGCCTTCAAAGTAAGCGGGGAAGTCAATCAAAAGCTTTTCGATTGCCGACCGGTTTTCCAGTAAATTGACAAGCAACCCGTCGGGCGAGGGCAAGAACGGCTCGTCGATGTCCGACACGATCATTTGTTCAAACAAGTCAGCATCCTCATCATCGACGCCTACGGCGTTTTGGTTGAAGCGGAAGTAGTGGAGCAGCGATTCCACACCAATGAATGCCACCTTAGCGGTACCGTTGGGGTTAGGGATGCGATCCAACAGCTCAAGGATGGTGCGAGTAACAGTAGCAGTCAAGCCGAACTTGACGGCGTAGGTGCTGACGTCAATCAAGAATGTGTACACCACTGGTTGAGGGGTTCTCGCCATGTATTCCTTAGGGGCGATGAACTCGACCACGGCGTTGTTAAGCTCAACTCGATCCAAACGCGACTTGGGCTGACCCGAGATTTCGTCATAGTCAAACGCCAGGGGAACGTCGTTCAACAAGTTACAGAAGTTACATCTCCAGCGGCGGCCGTTTTCCGCCCACGTGACGAAAGGGTTGATGTAACCCCGGCACCGCCGACACCGCAGAATAATCGTGTCACCAGTGGTGGGGATATTTTCATCCTCGATCTTCAACGAGTTGTAAGGGTTAACAATCAACGCCAACGGCAACTTCAGCTTCTTCAAAAGACCCAGCAGCGTCGGGATCACATTGAGGGTCAGTCTGAAGTATTCGGGGGCGGCGTTGGCAGTTTCGCTATTAGTCAAGGTCAGACCGGGGGGCAACACGATCGGAGGGGGAGGCAACAGCAAGTCCGAGATGGGCGGAGGCAACTCGCGACTCAAATCACAAGGGTAGATTTGGTTGAGAGGAGTGGCGCTGCCCCCAGCCCCGGCAAAGTAGGCGGGTTGTTGTTGCTGCGGTTGTTGCGGCACCGCCCCTTGTTGGTAGTATTGATCGTAAGAAGGTTGTTGGCCGCCTTGGACCCCGTAAGGAGCATTCACAGCGGCATTGGGGGCATTGGGCGTCGGCGGTTGGGCCCCGTAGCCAGGAGCACCACCGGCACCAGCATAACCGGGCGCAGGAGGTTGACCGTAGGCCTGGGGCTGGCCAGGGGCCGGGGGTTGCCCGTAAGCTTGCGGTTGACCGGGAGCAAGAGGTTGACCCGGCTGCCCGTAGCCTTGAGGTTGGCCGTAGCCCTGGGGTTGGGGCGGCTGGCCGAACGCAGGCGGCTGTTGGCCCAAGTTCATCTGAGCCATTCCCTGTGCCGCCTGGTCCACACCAAAGGCAGCGGCGGGAGGAGCGCCAGCAGCCATGTTGCTGGCGTACGCAGGTTGGGGGTACGCTCTCCGCTTCGACATGGGTAGTGGTGGGTCAACAAATTTGATTTTCGCTGAATCGCGTCGGGCGCCGTGAGACTACGTGTCAATAGTACACGTAGCGCGAACATAAGGCGGAGAACACGAGGGAGCAAAGAGATAGCAATGAAGCTGAAATGAGAGATTGAGAATGGTAAGGAGTAGTAGAAGAGATACTCAGAGTCAATGCTGGATTGGTAGGGTATATTGTAGACAAGAGTTCGAGAGATAGGCCAAGTGCGATGATGGTATTGGCGAGAGGCGAGTGAGTGGCAAATGGAAGGTCACGGAAGCGGCGGTGAAAAATTCACAATTGACCAGGGAGAGATATTTGTTAGAGGTCAGGTGACAGTGTAGAGTGAACAATTCATGTAGGGCAGACAAAGTGGAATGTCAATGGGGCCAGAAGATAGGGGAGAGGCAAGCTTAAAGCGCGTATGAAAATCACAGACACGTTGGTTGAAATGTTATGATGGTGCGCCAGGGCTCATATATGTGGGGTAACCTACCGACGGTACTCTAAGAGGGGACAATCAAGAGGTACAACGATGACTAAATTTGCAGTTTGTAGGAGCAGGTGATGACGTAGAATTAGCCACATGGACTTGAAGGATAACAGTTGATTCACAAGTGCCAGATTAGTTAATCTCTGAAACTGGAGTCGAAACGAACTAGAATAATAGGAAGATATCACTTATCTAATCCAAGTAACTCATAAAGTTTTCATCTTGTCCAATTCATATCGATTTCTGATGTTTTTCACCTCTCTTGTTTCTCATGGTCAGCCCCCCATTATCAGTGCTCATCTCATCGCGAACATTTATCGACCATGGGTAAACGGGACAGAGAAGAGCTGGTCGACGACAAGCGCCTCAAGAAGGAAAAGAAAGAGAAGAAGGAGAAGAAGGAGAAGCTGAAGGACAAGAAGGAAAAGAAGGAAAAGAAGGACAAGTCCGACAAGAAGGATAAGAAAGACAAGAAAGACAAGAAGGATAAGTCCGAAAAGAAGGACAAACAGGATAAGTCGGAAAACAAGGACACCACACATGACCTGACCAATGTCACCGGCTACCACCAGCTGGAAGAGCTTTCCCAAGTGCCCCAGCTGGAAATCGACGAATTTATGACCACCAACGAAGTCACCGTCGAAGACACCCTGAAGAGCTTGCGTCCTCTCCTCAAGTTCTCTCAGGTGTCGTTGCACCCTGAAGTGGCCAAAGTGCTCACTAAATTTGACAAGCCCACGCCTATTCAAGCCGTGGCCTGGCCCTACCTTCTCAGCGGTGATGACGTCATCGGGGTCGCCGAAACCGGGCTGGGGAAGACGTTTGCCTTCGGGGTGCCTGCCATCAACAACATCTTAACCTCCAAAACTCCTGGTTTGCTGATGTTGGCGATCTCTCCCACGCGGGAGTTGGCCATGCAAATTTACGACAACCTTGTCGACCTCACCCGAGCCACTGGCCTCGAGTGTGTGTGTGTCTACGGTGGGGTATCCAAGGACGACCAGATCCGCAAATTGAAGCTGGCCAACGTGGTGGTGGCGACGCCCGGTCGCTTACTTGATTTGATCAATGATGGGGCCGTCCCCATGGACCAAATCAACTACCTTGTGTTGGATGAAGCTGACCGCATGCTTGAAAAGGGGTTTGAAGAAGACATCAAGCTGATCATCGGCCACACCAAGCCCGAGGGTCGTCAAACGCTCATGTTCACCGCCACCTGGCCCAAAGAGGTGAGAGAATTGGCGTCGACGTTCATGAAGAACCCCGTCAAGGTCAGCATCGGCGACCGCGACGAGTTGAGTGCCAACAAGCGCATCACTCAGATTGTCGAGGTGATTGACCCTCGCGACAAGGAACGTCGGTTCAACCAGCTTTTGAAGAAGTACGACAACGGTAAGGATAAAATTCTCGTGTTTGCGTTATACAAAAAGGAAGCCACCCGGGTGGAAAACAATATGCGTCGGTCCAACTATAACGTCGCTGCCATCCACGGGGATTTGAGTCAGCAACAACGGACGCTGGCGCTCGACGCGTTCAAAAAGGGGAAGCTGAACATCTTATTGGCCACCGACGTCGCTGCCCGAGGCCTCGACATCCCCAACGTGAAGGTGGTGATCAACTTGACCTTCCCGTTGACGGTGGAGGACTACGTGCACCGGATCGGGCGTACGGGTCGGGCGGGGCAGACCGGGATTGCCCACACGTTATTCACCGACCATGAGAAGCACCTTAGCGGGGCGTTGGTGAACATTTTGCGCGGGGCCAACCAGCCGGTGCCCGACGAGTTGCTCAAGTTTGGTGGCCACACCAAGAAGAAGGCGCACTCGGCTTACGGGGCGTTCTTTAAGGATGTCGACATGACCAAGACCGCGAAGAAGATTAAATTTGATTAGAGTTTATAGACACTGTACCATAGAAAAACGTGCTGGCAAGGAAATAATCACCTGGAACATAGGTCATAATCAAGCTCGACTCGACGTAATCATTGCCAAATACTAATTTCATCGCCGCTGGCAGAATTTTAGGTTTAACTCTAAAGTTCAGAATTGAGAGCTGCCTTCAATGACTTCAAGTTGGCACGTCATCGCGCTTAATGATCCAAGCACAAACCTTAAAAAACTCGGAATATTAGCCCCACACCAGCCAGAAAAAAAAAATAGACGGGATTTTGACTTTCGCTCATAGTGGTGTTCGCAGCCCCGAAATTGGGTTCGAATAAGACAGATCGCATCGTCGGGAAGTGTTAATCAACGTTGGTGATTTCAAGGTCGATTTAGGAGTTTCTGCAATTCACAAACATCACTAGTCTAGAGCTTTCCCTTAGTCCTACCACATTTATCAATTTTACTTTTTTTTTTTTTTTTTGAAATTTGCTGAGTATATTGCGGTTCCTCGCAAGAATTAAGGCTAGTAGGGGTGACTGAAAGTGTCAAAATTGGGTGACTGGGAGTTTTGCCTATAAAATTACGAACGATATGGAATAGATATTAACGTTCATACACTTTACGTGAATTTTAAAACATTCGACTAAGTGGAGCATATTTTGAGTCTGTTTTTTTCAATATCAGAACCATCGTGAATGATACTGAAACTCCATGTCCCGCATCCTTCGGCTCGTGAGTCCTCCATCTTCCGATAGTTCTGAGTCATCTCCGTAGTAATTTTATAAATCCACTTGATTGTAGCGATTTCGATAGCGGTTCATCACATTTTCTTCAAGGTCGTACCTGTGAGTATGGGTTGCCATTAACCCAGCAGGATAACGAAGACCCACATCCCGTACAGCCGCAATACGTTATGCTTTCCATCAACAGGGCGATGATTAAAAGCACCGACGATTTGTTGAGCAGTATAAAGCGTGCTTCCAATGAAGGAAGTCAAGCGCCATCGGGTAAAGAACGACAATGTAAAACTTCTTGATCTAACCATAAGTAACTCGGGTGGTATGCCTTTTTGCAGTGCTCATACAACACGGACGGCCATGTTTTCAACATCGACATAGCTGACACCCGTTATCTTTTTGTCGTTGCCAGCACGGCGTGGTCACCATAGTTATTTCTAAAATGTCCTCGACATGATTATTATGCTTGAGGTGTCGATTGTTGGTGATTCGGGTATTCTTCCTGTGGAAACGATGGACTTGTAAGGTTCAAGTAGCAGTCAGTTTTATGGAATAGAGGCCAGGCAAGGCATACCCAACTGTGAAATTCATCCCTGACGTATTGTCCGACATTGGAAGAATTTGGCATGGAATGAGCAAGGGTACTGTGAAAAGTTTAGAGCGAACAATAAAGCTGGAGGCAAACTTAGCAATTTAGTTAAGATGTGTATAGTTACTTGCAAGTTGCAGAAAACACGTTGTATTGTCTATGCTATTTACAACCGCGGTTTACTGGCGGTGGGGCCGCCAGCGGTAGCCAAGGGATTCAACTCGAGCAGGCCGGCGTCGTTCTCCTTGTCGTTGTTGCCGAAAAACACCACCGTCACTGTCAAGTCGTCGCGGTACCGTCTCAGTGAAGGGGCCGGAATCAGGATGAGCATCTGCGTCTGCTCCTTGGAGCCGCCATTGCTCAAGGCGTTGCGGATCAAGTGGGTCAGCACGTTGGCGTCCTCGAGCAAAAACAGCTGCGGCTTGTGGGTGCGGCGGAACGGTTTCTTCAGCAGCTTGTCGTTAGTGACGTCGACAACCTCGGGGAGCTTGTTTTCCAGCGAGCCGAACATGCTCCACAACAGCGTCTGGGGCTTCACCATCTTCTCCTTCTCCATCCACTTCACCACCAAGCCGACAATCTCCTCGTTGCTCAACATCTCGTACAACCCGTCCAGCGCCATCACCAAGAAGTCGTGGTTTTCGGGGTTTATCTTGGTGGTGGTGATCACGGGCTCGGCGGTGACGTACGGCGGCAGCTTAAGGAGTTGCGGGAGGGGGCGGCCGAAGAACTGCTTGTAGAGCCGCTCCTGGATCAGCGCCGGGAGTTTATAGCGGCAGTCGCCAAAAGCACGGGTAGGCTCGAGCGACCCCAACACCCGCCCGTTGCGGATCACCTTGGGCTCGTCGGGGTGTTCGGAGATGATGCGCGCCACCTCGGTGGGGTTCAGCCCCGTCTGGTCGATCAGAAGCTGCTTCACTGTCCACTTGTTATCCTGAAACAGCCCCACGATGGCGCGCGAGTCGCCGGTGACGGCGACCTTCAACATTCTCAGGTTGGTGTCATAAAATGACACCAAGGCGCACAGCCCCGAGAGTGCCGGCATCAAGAGCTCGGCGGCCTTGGCCTTGTTGTTGTCGTTGAGCAACCGCTCGATGTTCTTGTTGACGATCTCGTGGTCCAATTTGAGGAAACCGTTTTTGATCGCCTGGTCGATGGTGGCCAGATTCGGCACGAACCGGAGGTTTTCCTCGGGCGCCGGCTTGAAGATCGTGCCCAACTCGTGGATAATGTAGCCGATAAGCTGGTCGCGAAGCCGCAGCGACGTCGTCCACCCACCGTGGCCGTCGAATATGCCGAAAAACATCCAGTCGGTGGTGGTCTTGATGTTGTTGTCTTGCAAAATGGGGACCTGGACGATCTCCTCGGCGCGGTCGTCTTCGATGGGCGAGTTCAGCGCCAACTGGCACACGTCGTAGCGGGTGACGCCCTTGCCGCGGCGCACGTAGTACAGCTCCTCAAACTGGCGCAACTTATTGCTCACCTGGTCGTCGTTGAGGAGGAACACGCCTTCTTTCTGTTGCTGCTGGGAGATCAGCAGCGGCTGTGATAATGACAGCGTCAGCGTCAGGAAGTAACGCTCGCGCTGAGAGTTGGCGCCGTCGGCGGCGCCCAGGCCTTGCGGCGGGGCGGTGTCCAACGCATAGTACGACGACTGGTTGAAGCTGACGTAGCCGCCGACAAGGATGATGCCGCTGATGATGGCGACGCTGCGCTGGCGGTTGCGTTTGGTGGTGGCGACGGCGCGGGGCCGGTGGCTAAGCGCCCGGGTCGCCAGGCGCCCGGCTTGGCGGTGTGCCTGGCGCGGCGCCGCTACCCGAGTCAAGTGGTAGAGCCGGGGTCGGGCGTGGAATATAAACATCGGGGCGGTGTGGAGGGGGACCCAACGGACGTGCGTGAAACCGATACAAACGGTAAGTGTGGGGGGGCACAGCAAGTCTACCCAATTGGCGGCGAACGTCCCCCGAAACCGTGCGCGCATCACCTGGATATAGTCACGTGCCTATGGTTGTATAAACGAAGTGATGACGGTTTCACATGGTAGCGCGCGGCGGTGATAACGCAGTTGATCCTAGCGACAGCGGTGCCAGTGCCACCAACCGCATTTAATTGAATATCTTAAATTTTCAAGATAATTGCCTACCATATCAAAATTATGAGTATTACTATCGACTAATTTATTCCTCTCCCGTTATAAACAACCCTGGCGGCTAGATAATGCTGGAAATAAACCCCGAGGGTTTTATCAACGGTGAAATCATTAATGCCAGCCGCACCCGCGCCCACGACGACATCGACGGTATCACGTTCGCCCACACCACCACATGAGCGTTCTCAAGCAATTTCTCGCCCAGGCGAAGCGATCGCCCGTCAAAGGCATCGTGCTGGGGAACCAGCTGGCGGACATGGACCTGGCGATCAGCGCCTTGGCCTACGCGTTCTTTCTGACCCGCCACGCCGACCCCGTGGTCCCCATCATCAACGTCCCCCGCCACGACTTCCGCCTCCGGCGAGACATTGTCGAGTGGCTCGCCAAGTTTGGCGTCGCCGAGGATGACTTGTGGTTTGCCGACGACCTCGAGGCGCTCGTGGCGCCGTCGCCGCGGCTGGTGCCCCTCCACTTGGTCGACCACTGTAACCTCCAAGGCCCCGAGATCATCGCGTTGGTGGGCGCCCACAAGTTGCTGGTGGTGCTGATCATCGATCACCATGCCGACGAAAAAGTGTTTATCGACGCCAACCCCCGGGTCATCGGCGCCGCCGGGCTGTGTTCGCTGCGGGTATGGCACTACTGGCACTCGGTGTTGGGCGCCGAGGCGGAGGTGCCCGAAATCGTCGAGTTGTTGATGGCGCCGTTATTGATCGACACCGGCAACATGACGCAAAAAGTCGAGGATGTCGACCGCCAGGCGCTCGCCGAGTACGACGAGATCTTGGCGCGGCCGACGACGCGGCTGGTGGTGGACTCCGTCGCCGCCATCCGCAGCGACATCTACCCCAAGTTGAAGCTGGCGAAGAAGGATGTGTCGGGGTTTCTGTTTGAAGACATCCTCCGCAAGGACTACAAGCAGAATACGTTTGGTGATTATACTATTGGGTTCTCGTCAATCGGCAAGCTGTTTGAGTGGATCAGGAAGACGTTCAACGACGCCGACATCGTCGGCGATCTCGACGGCCTCGCCACCAAGTTAGGGTTGGACTACGTCATCATGACGTGTCTGTACTCCGACAAGACCACGGGGGAGCACCGCCGCGACTTTGGCGAGTACCACGCCGGCGGCAAGCCCCTCGACTGGACCCACGCCATCGACGTGCTCCGGTTGGCGCCGTACCCGGAGGTGTCGTTGCCCCGCGTCGACGTGTGGCACCAGCACGACGTCAACGCCACCCGCAAGACGGTGGTCCCCGTCGTCCACGACACCGTATTGAAGTATCAGAAGTAATTTAGACGTCGTTGGTGGTTGGTTTTTGGGCCATTGACAATAATAGTTGTGTAGTCACCAGCCGCCGGCGCTCGAGGTCAAGCACTTGTTTGAGCGTGAGCTGGTGGAGTTCGGGCGGGATCTCCAGAAGGTAGCGGCGGATGCGGGCGGCGATCCGCCGTTGTTCTTGCTCCCGTAGCCGCTGAGCGCGAGCCATAAACCGCACGTGCATCCGCTTATACTCTTCGATGAGGGCCCGCTTCTGTTGCCTCAGCACCATCTAACGGTTGTTGTCTTTAGCCATTAATCTTTTGGCGTACGCGCGCGTAGGCGAAGGGTGCGCGGGTGGCGCTGGCGTGGGGCCACCGCCGCCGCACTCGATTTTGCCATCCACGATACCAGGCACCTACCACCGTTCAAGCGCCCACTCCCCCGCCCACAATGCCGCTCGAAGCCGTGATGATTGCCATCGACAACTCCGAGTACATGCGGAACGGCGACTACGCCACCACCCGCTACGACGCCCAGCTCACCGCCACCGAGTTCATCTTCCAGAATAAGATCCACCTGAACCCGGAAAACACTGTCGGCTTGCTCGCCTACGGCGGCCAGGGCCCCCGGGTGCTTTCCACCCTCACCACCGACTATGGGCGCATCCTCCAAGGCGTCAATGACACCGAGATCCTGGGCGACAACCACTTCAGCTCCGGCCTCCAGGTGGCGGCGCTCGCTCTCAAACACCGGCAAAATAAAGTGCAACAGCAGCGCATCATCGTGTTTGTGGGGTCGCCGATACCCGAGCTGGAAAAAGAACTCGAGAAGTTGGCAAAAAAATTGAAGAAAAACAACGTCGCCGTCGACATCATCAACTTCGGCGAAGAACTGGTCAACACCACCAAGCTCGAGCGGTTTATCCTGGTGGTATCGTCGAACGACAACTCCCATTTGGTGACGATCCCCGCCGGGCCGCGATTGTTATACGAAGTGATCGCGTCGCTGGAAATCCTCGTCGAGGGCGGCGGCAACGGCGACCACGATATGGGTGGCGACTTTGGTTTTGGCGACTTGGATGCCGGGATGGACCCCGACTTGGCGTTGGCGTTGAGATTGTCGCTCGAAGAGGAGAAGGCCCGACAGGAGGCCGAGGCCAAGGCCAAGAGCCAGCCCCAGGAATAGTAATGATTTTTTAATGCATAGATCGGTAAACACCCATGGTAGTTATTTTGGTTACAAAATGTTTGGGATCGGGGTATCCGACCATTGTAGACGCCCTAGTCATAAGAGCGCACCTAGCCATCGCTCGCACCTCATGACCCCGGTGACACTATACTTTGGCAATGTCGATCCCCAGCTAGATGACAGCCTCATGTACCAGCTATTCCTCCAGTTTGCCCCCATCAAACTGCTACATATGCCCAAAGATCGCATCCTCCACACCCATCAAGGGTTTGGCTTCGTGGAGTTCTTCAGTAACGATGACGCCGAGTACGCGGAGAAAATCCTCAGAGGCATTCGATTATACGGCCGGCCGTTGAAATTGAATCGATCTGAAAGTGCCAAAGACGTCATCATCGGCGCCAAGTTGTTTATCAACAATCTCAACCCGTTGGTGGACGAGGAGTTTTTGACGGAGACGTTTTCCAAGTATGGCGAGTTCGCTAAACCTCCGGAAGTGGTTCGAGATGAAGACGGTAACCTGAAACGGCACGGATTCATCACCTACACCGATTTTGATGTGTCTGACCATGTGCTAAATACCATGGATGGTAAGCTTTTGATGGGCAATAAGTTGAAAATAGAATACGCCCGCAAAGAAGGGGGTGCCAATGGCCAGCACCATGGGGATGCGGCGGAACGGTTGTTGATTGAAAGTGGCAAGGCTCACGCCATAATCAAGGACAGCTCTAAGTCTCGCAAGCGGAGGCGAGGTTAGTCGGCTTACTTCCACGGCTCTGGGAGTCGAAATCTTAATTAATTATTTATACATCATCAATAATACGCAACTTAAGCATAACCTATGTTTTTGATATGACAGTCACATCTGTTAATCTCGTTCCTCCACCCTCATCAAACTCCGGCTACCCTCGCACATTATTGTCATCAAATCCTATGGACGCTGAGGAGTACGCCGCCCTCACCAAGGTGCTTCTGTCATACCTCAATTTTGGCAAATGGCAAACGGAAACGGTGATCACCCCGCGGCGACGCAAGTGGCAATTGCTTTCGCCCGAAGACCGGCGTTTGCTCCCGTGGTTTGAACGGCACTTGGAAGATATCCGCGAATGCATCGCCATCAACGAAAGCTTTACCAAGGACGTTGTTGAAGCCATAGCCGCCGAATGGGGTGTCAGCAGCCCGGAAGGATGGGCAGTCGCTACCACCAACGAGTACGACAAAGTCCGCCTGATACTTCTCCAGCTTGCGCGAGAATGGCTGGATCAAGGGGCAGAGGAAAGGAAAGTGGCTTTTGGCATGATACTTGATCAATTAGAGTCATTGTACCCCGATATATATCTGCGTCAAGACGTCAAAGTGTTGGTTCCAGGAGCTGGTCTTGGTCGGTTGGTATTTGAATTAGTGTCGAGGGGCTTTTGGACGCAAGGTAATGAATTCAGCTACCATATGTTGTTGATGCTGAATTACTTATTAAATCATTGTCCTTATCCCCATCTGGCTCTGATATTTCCATTCATTTCAAAAGGCTCGCATGTGGGCAAGAGACTCAATATGGTGAGACCTGTGCTGATCCCTGACGTCTCCCCTCTGGTATTGAGTGAATACTACCAGAAATACGAAGGAAAGATCCCTTTTGGCGATCTTATGAGTATGACAGCAGGGCTGTTTACCGACTTATATGGTCCCCCTTCATTGACGGGCTCTGATGGTGATGAAGTGGCTACAGAATTTCGTGAACAAAACCATCAAGCATACGATGTGGTGGTGACGTGTTTCTTTTTGGACACTGCTAGCAATGTTATCGACTACATTCGCACAATTAAGCATTGCTTGAAGCCCGATGGCAAATGGATTAATTTCGGTCCATTACTATGGCATTGGGAAGATGTGCCGGAATATCTGGGTTTGGAAATGCTGCGTGCTGATCTCCTTGAATTGTGCCAAGCGATGGGGTTTGAATTCGACGTACATAAAAGTGACATCGAAACGGTATATTCCACCGACCCGCGAGCGCTAGGTAAGTTTGTATATAATTGTGAGTTCTGGGTGGCATCAATGAGAAAGGAGGCTTAAACCTTGACCATCTTCCGTCTTGAATTTGACCATTTAATTTATATCAAGCCAAATATCATGGTCAATTGCAATGCGTGAGAACAGTTGACAAAAAACGGGTCTGTTTAATGAACTTTCAATAAGTCAATGGACTCTTGCTCAAATTCCAGAAATAATTTAGATCCTCTCTTGCTCAAAATTTAGCTCTTCGCTGCATTTAAGATTTCCAGCCACACTCGCGCACACGTCTTAATGACGCGCGCTAACCTACTGTCGACTCTCACACCTGACTACGTGACTGGACGAGTATGGAATCCTGGAGCGAGGTTGCTCGCATACCCCCGCGAGTGGCTGCTACAGATGGTACATCAATCACCCTGGTGCTATTTGATTCCACCACAAATCTTCTTTGGTGCGGGGACGCGGCGGGGTACCAAAGTCTGTTTTCACCATACCAAGGACCCCATTTTCATTTATATCCATACACCAAATTTCGAGCCGTGAGAGGGGCGGAGATCATCTCATCGCTTAGCCATCGTGACGGAATACTTCTGCTTGGGTCACTGAACGTCAACTTCAACAATCGTCGTGGTGTGTGCAAGGTATCGGTTAACCCCGATACATTGGCATCGAAAGATCAAAGCGATATGCTTCACAACTTGCGATCTTTCACATTCAATTGTTCTGCCATCAATGATGTTGTAGTTGGGGGTTCCCAAGGCCTTGCTAAGTTCGATCTACACAAACCTCATCATTTGGTAGCATTTGACTATAAGGGCAGTATTTCAAAGCTTCACCACACCGCGAAGTTTTTGGCAATTGGCGGTATGGAAGGGCTGATGGATCTTTTCGATCCAGTTTCAAACTCTGTGGTGAAGCAATTCGCCGGCCATAATGGTGGCCGTATCATCGACATCGATATCCAAGGAAGCTATATTGCCACGTGTGGCGAGAGTTGTCGACCATCCCCTCTGCGCAAACTTGCTGAATACTATACCGACCCCTTGGTCAATATATATGACGTCCGCATGATGAAGCCCTTAGCACCAATCTCGTTCCCTGCTGGCGCTTCAAGTGTGCGTTTCCACCCCAAGCTTCCCAATATCATCATAATGGCTCTGAAGTATGGCCAAATCCAATTTGTTGACATATACGACCAGCTTAATGTCTTCGTTTACCAGGTGGACCCGCTGGGACCCCCACCGGTAAAGGGCGCTCCGGCGAGATTCGCTCACTTGCAGATTTCTGATAATGGTGACTTCATGGCTTTCACCGATGGTGTCACTACAAATAATTTACATTTGTGGAGCTATTCCGCCTTGAACAAGGATTTCACTAGCTTTCCGGCTCTGCTTGATCAGCCTGACTTTGTCGCAGACATTTTGCCCCCACCTATGAGTGTTGAAGGTGATGTGCCCCTCAGTACCGTTGGATTGCCATATTATAAAGACTTGTTACTTTCAAATTATGCCAACGACTTAATTTTCACTAAGGAACTCGCGAAAGTTCCAGTGACGCCAACGTCAGATAAGCAAGGCTGGCACCCTTATGACAAACAAAAATTCGGCCAGCGAAATCAGATTCAACCGTATCAATCATTGACTGCATCTAAGAGCAGTCGAAAGTTTTTGAGCGAACAGAATTTGACACCCAATCCTAACGACAGTGGTGCTAATCATGTTTTCGACTACACTCTGGCGACCGGGGTGCCACCATGTTACGCTAAACATGAAATTCAATATTCTAAATTCGGCGTTCGCGATTTTGATTTCCGCTTCTATAACCGCTCAGAAGGTCAATTCTCTGGTTTGGAACTGCAGACCAACAACAGTTATATTAATCTGGTTTTACAATTGTATTCTTTCTGCTCGGGACTTTACAACCATGTCATCGATGCATTGGTCCCAGAGGATTTGCCCAATGATCCTGATACAATTATGAATGGCAACCCACAAGGAAGTTCTGTACTTCTTGAGACCGCATATCTTTTTGATATGATGCATAAAGCCCTGGGAACCAACGTCGTCATTGGTAACTTGAGCCAGATTCTCACATCCAACAAGGAGGCTCAAGCTCAAGGCTTGGTAGTGGATGACAATATACTTGCACAACTCACTGCCAGCGATCTTACCAGTCTACTTATCCGATTTAATCACTTTTTTCTTGATCAGTTGCAGCCACTTGAACTCATGAAGATACCATTTTCGGTAACGTACCAAGGTCAATGTGGGGAAACTCGAAGTCATCAAGGTCAACAATATGCTCTAGAGATTCTGACGCCGCCTACATTGTTCCTGTCAAATCGTTACCGCCGTCCCACGTCGTTGCTGATCATTCATTACATTGAGCACTCTTTGAGTCGCTCGGACGAAATACCCTGTAATCTCAGTCACAGAAACCACTCTACAGGGGAGCCGCCCGCCCACTTGATGGAAGTACTGATGGTCATCTCCCAGTTGCCTCCAGTTTTGCTGTTGGCACTTTGTCTTAATAGTGATGACTTTGCTGCTATATCCACTTCCAAAAAGTGGTTGGCACCATCGTTTTGGGTAGGCCGTCATCCAAATACAGGGAAACCTCAAATAAAGGCGTCTCAAAGCGAGGGTGCTTTCAGCTACAACTTATTGGGATACGTTTGTCAGGTATCCCACGCTCCCAACACACCTGACGCCCGTGGTGTGAACAATTTGGTAACATTTGTGAAACGCGATGATAAATGGTGGCTTTTCAATGATTTTTTGGTAATGGAGATTCCTGAAAGTGAAGTGTTTAACTTGAGTTATTCTTGGAAGCGGCCGATAATGGTATTGTACACTCGAGAGGATATTAAGAATGTCCCCTATAAGTACTTTGATGTTCCAACTTTTGCTAAGAGAAATGTTGATGATTCGATAATTTATCGTGACCATTTTGCAAGAGGTCTAAGAGAGGATGCTCAGCGTACGTACACGCTTTTGACTCGCGAGGAAGCGCCTCGACCCGGTACATTGATCGCCATTGACGCTGAATTCGTGACTTTGAAACCGGATTTGGTAGAGGTTTTCGCTAAAGGGTATCGACGTGTCTTGAGACCAAAGCAATACTCGCTCGCGCGTGTTTCCGTTTTACGTGGGGAAGGTTCAGCAATGGGTCTGGCTTTCATCGACGATTATATCGTACATACCCTGATCATTCATGATTACCTTACGAATTATTCAGGAATTGAGCCAGGTGATTTGGATTTGAATCAGAGTCTGAAAGGTTTGGTAACCTTACAAACTGCGTATCGTAAGCTTTGGTTACTCTTGAACATGGGTTGCATTTTCGTCGGTCATGGGTTATATAATGACTTCAGGTGCATTAATTTGCAAGTTCCGCAAGCTCAGATTTGTGATACAATTGAACTTTTTTACAAGCAAGATTTCAAGCGTCAATTGAGTCTTAAATTTTTGGCTTATGTCCTTCTCCAAACTGACGTTCAAACCGGAAATCACGATTCAATCGAAGATGCCTACACAGCATTGATGTTGTTTAACAAATACCGTCAATTGAAACGTGAGGGTACATTTGAGCAGGCTCTAAACAGAATCTATGCTGAAGGTCAACAATTACGCTTCAAGGTTCCTGAATTGGCAGAGCAAAATTAATGAAAATTTAATAAACATGAAAAGATGAGACTTGCGTACGAAGTAGATACTCTTGCTGAGCGAAGTTTGAAAAATTAACTAGAAGATTTTCATAATACACATGTAAAATTTGGTTGAAAAAATCTCCGGTACAGGGAATCGAACCCTGATTTGCTCGGTGAAAGCGAACCGTGATAGCCATTACACCATACCGGATTATTAAAAATTTATTCATTCATATAATTACAGATAGCATGGTATATATCTAATCCGCCAAACTTTCCCCTACCAACATGTGACAGACATGATGCCCCCCAACCGTCTTTCTTCGGACGCCTTGAATGAGTTAGCTCGTTATTTGCGGGCGACACTCCTCCTCTTCAAGGAAACACGACTATCGGAGTCGGCTCCTGTCATCCAGATAGGAGCTAGCTTACAATCGTGGATCCAGCGCAATCGCAACCGGAGATACATCATGACGGGTAAGGGACAACATAAATTCTGAACACAACCCCACATTACTGAATCGATAGATAGATACTAATGCAAGTTTATGGAAAAAAAAAAAAAGGAATGCTGAGATATCGCTCGCCCCGCGGGCGACTTATGGCTCTCTACTTCAACTCTTCGACCAGAGGGAGTATACCATCTAAGCAAGTGACGACGCCTATAACTATAGTATAGTTGGCTAGTACACTCTGAGAGGAGAGACCGTGGTTCAATTCCCCGTGGTTTGGGCCGTCGGTCACCTGTTTACTGAACAACTGCCTTCCCACATTCTCTCCATATACTGAGTTTTTCGCCGTTGTCGGCTTTCTCAGATCGCAGGGTATCGAGAACGAAGGCTTTACAAACACTTGAGATCCTCTAAGGAGTATGTAAGTTTTTAAGTAAGATATCAATGCAAAACTAAGGATAAAAAAAACTTGAATATACAACAAATAGAATCACTCTTTTCAACTGTATATCGTTCCACATTGGACTGGAGGATGTTGAAACCTGATACTAATGCAAGTTTATGAAAAACAAATACACTTTTTGAAGTTTTTTTAGTCGACTTTGATTAGAAGCTATAAATTATTTTTACAGCTATGGATAGATACTACAAGTTTATGAAACGAAATGCCGTACATCTGAGCGGTAACGTTGCCCAAATCCTTGTTCTTCCTTCCTAAACCCGCATATATCTTTATTTTATTTTTTTCACGTCGGTAGGCGGCTTTTGTAGAGTCTTCTAAAATCATTTTTTACCGGTAAATTTAAATAGATGAAAAGTCGGGAAGCATTTGAAGGTTTTTAATATAAATGATATTATTACACACTTCAAAAAAGATTGATTCGTAGTGCACTAGCAATTATGCTCTCATGGGGGTGAATCGAGGTTTAAATTTATGTGGAGAGGTGCTGCCGATTACACTTCAAATGAGTGAAAACCTAACGTTTGTAGTCAGCTTCTACGGGTCAGAGAAAGGCAATTCTTTGTTGGGTGCATGTTTGGCTATCGCAATCTGCGGGTTACCCATCTTGATGTGTGTTCTCATGTTGTCTAAGTAGAGATCTCTTTTTATGAAGCCACGAGTTTTTTTTATAGACTATAAGTTTTACCTCCATACTTCTTCATTGCGATGTTTGTATGAGCTGAGTATAGATAAATATCATCTTTTGTTTCGTTGCAGTTACAATCGGACGGTTTTGAATAATAAGATTTACAACAATCTGCAGGGCGTCAAATGCTACAAGGTTTGACGAATCTTGAATTCTGTAACATGAATGCTAGGAGTTTGAAGTCAACTGAGTGAAGCACTTTGTACTTTTCACAAATTTCACAAATTCCAAGAATTAGCACTTCCACACATTCTGCTTATGGGTATCAGTTTAAAATCAGGCTCTACATCCAACACAACTATTCAAGTATCTTGATTATACCACTCGCAATAGTTGCAACATTGAATTGGAGTCAAGATGAGATGCCAAAGAAAGACATGTTATCTGTGCTGCACCAAAAACGTCTACACATCATGTAAAAAGGAATATGAGGCAGACAGGATTTGAACCTGCAACCCTTCGATCTGGAGTCGAAAGCTCTACCGTTGAGCCACTGCCCCAATCCTGGATCTTTTGTCAAGTTAATTAAGCCAAGAAAATCATGTAGTATTAAAAGAGCGTTTCACCGCTACTTCACCCAATCGTTTTTTCTTTAACGAAGTGTGACAAATACGATTCTTATTAACAACTTTTCTCAAAACAAAGACCGTTTGAATGACGAGAACCAAGTATTTTTAGCTCACCTTAGGCACACGATATTGATGCACATTTATAGATAAAAAAAAAACAACTTGTAGAAAAATTGAAAACAATCCTGACAGAGACCAGGTTTAATTTTTGTGAATCGCACAATTCTTGATATCTTAGTCGGCCTTATGAGAAAATTATGTGAGGGCTATGCATCACTTTGAAAGGCGATAGACATCAGAAAATACAATTCAACTTTGTGTTTTTGTTTTCAATCAAGGTGCTCCCCAAATGACTGGTTCGAATCACCCATATTTATGATGTGATTGGCTCCCTTCAGGAAGCAAGCTCATTGCCATCGTACACCACTCAATAGCACGTCGAGCTCAGGTGAATTGTAGAGTTTATTTTGCAACAACATTTGGGCCCCGGGAGAAAAACATTGGGGTAGTTTCGCCCCAACGAGTCTAACAAATCGGCGAAACTGGATCCTCTTCATCGTCCCGATACTGCTCAAAATATGACGGATATTTGTGGCGACAGTATGAAATTTGAACTTTTATTGCTCGAAAGTTTCCTCCCGACTTGCCCCTACCCGCAGGCGTAGCAATGAGTTTGACGCCATATAGGGGAACTCTAATGCATGATCAGCAATTGAACACATTTGGGCAAATATCTCCGTACTACCATACACACTGGATGTTGCACTGAGATGTATAAATATGCTGTGTTGGAATGTGGCCATGTTTTTCCGTCTGTCGACCAATTAAATATTGCCTTCGAAGATGTCTCAATGGTTGCTGCCCTACTCCTTTTCAAGGAATTGGCACAACATTTAATGAAACCGCAACTTGTCACATCCTCACCATGGTGAACTATTGCCGTCTTCGTTGAACAATGATTACTGCTCACACCATTAATCTCGGAGCGCACAGGGATATTTCAAGCAAGTCTATTTTGACTTTCTGATTCCGCTGGAACCGATTCTGCTCGTTCTTAGCCATGTGTCTCCACTAAAACTCGCCTCACCATGCAAAGCAGACTTCAAATGATTAAGATGACAGAAGTGGAAGCAATTCCCGATAGCACATTGTTACTCACTGAGAAGTTTGAGTTGCCACGCGTTCAAAAACACACTAGCTGAGCATTTGACGGTTGGAATGGTGGGTACTCAATGAGTGCTGTTTAAATTTGATGTTAGCTCATGGGCTGGCATAGCCGGTGAGAACAAGACGCTTTACGAGATGATGGATTCTTCGAATTAAAAATATGAAAAAAGATCGACATGGATCGGAATTGCAGAAGGGCGACCATTGACAAGAGAGAAGATTGAGCCGAATCTGAAGAAAGCTATTACAGACGAGAATAATGCTTCAAAGGCTGAAGTGAAAGGAAGTCTTCACCATACACTAATTCAATGTTCAATCACACTCGGTATTGGTAGATCCATTGGAATCTCAATGCTATATGCAGTACACAAATATTATATGCAGCACGATAGTATATATACAGTACAAACATCAAAATAAAAATCGCCAATATGCAGTATTTTGCTCAAATAGAGCATATTTTAAGAGAATTCGAAAATGGTTGAGCAACACTTCAAACTACGCAAGAAGCACGTGATCCAACCTTTCATAAATATAATTGACGGCACTGCGTTTACACAAGTTCTGCAGAATTACACGCCAGTTTTTCTCTGAATTACCTATAATAGGAAATTATCGGAACGCAATCTGCTATTCTTGCCGTTTTCGCGCAAAAAAAATCTTTAGCACAAAAACTGCATATACTATACTTGCCCGATTTGTGAACAATTTTCAATAGCATTTTAACAGGGCTCATAATTACTCTAAATTTTTATCAATTTGCTATCGAGGCTCATAATTCTTTTGAACTCCATTTCATTCGATCAGGGCTCACAACCAGCATACTTATTGTTGGTTTGAATTAGCCGTAGCTCACTTTATGAATCACAGGATGAAAGGTATGTTTAAGGGAGATCCATGCTTTGAAACCTGTGTTCTTTCTTGTCGTCAACGGATTAAAAACACTCAATAATACCGGTTGAAAGTGCTAAATGTATGTTTTGTTGTCCTCGAATCTTGCATTGATTTCTTCTAGTTCAGATACCACAGCTCTGAAACACTTGCAGTAAGCCTTCAAATCAAACGTACCAGTGGTGATTTTAGTCTTCATCATCCACTTCCAAGTTACGCCATTACAACAAAGGGGGGTCCAACCACAGTTTTGTTGTGTCGTCAAAAAAAAATTAAACCCGATCTTGCCTCTTGCGCGAGCAATGTACTGCTGGTTGTTCCTGATTCATTACTGTAATGTGGCATCTCTGTCCAAGATCAAGATGAGCGGCCCCATAGAGCCTGGGTCAAACGTATGAACTAGTGCTTGTATATTTTTAATAACGAAAATCCTTGGTTTTTGATCGGCGGAGATTGAATTTGATACCGATGCTGGACAGACCATCACATGAAGAGCATGAATGAACATTTACACTTATACCTGACGGCCTTGGCTTATTCTCATGCTACTGCATACGTATACACATCTAGTTTACATCTATAAGTTGGCAATATTATGCACCTATCAGAGACGACCATGAAGGTTTATAAACAAAAGCCCACTGTCGCACGGAAAGCAATGTCAATCTTAACCGGGGACCAATAATCTTCCTTTATTGTTGTTGTTGTTTTTTTTCCTCCTGTAATCTTGCACTCATGCTTTTATAGTTTGTAAAAATACCTTATTGTTCTCAGATGCAGAAATGATGAGAGATAGAATGAAGCCTTGGAAGCGAGAACAAGTATCTGAGAGAAGTATTAATCAAAGTAGGGTGCTTAAGCAAGGGGTAATTGCATCTTATAACCACGGGGTACCGAACCTTATGCTAGCCAATTACACCATAGCCGGGCCAATCACTTCGGAGACACCTTGATTGAAAACAAAAGCACAAGACTGCCCAAAAAGAAGGGGCCTCATGTGATAGTCGTAACTCCTTGAAAAGGAGGAATACAGCTCGTAAGAAATGGGCTTGTTCTTTGAACGCAATCAGGTTAAGACGTCGCGGGGAAGCATATCAGAGTTCTGTAGGGGGTGGGTTGTTGGTTGACAAGCTGGTAGACGGCATTGTTGACGGGGCACTCGCAGTAGGTGTGTCGTTCGTTGCCACCGTTAGCACGTACGAGTTTCGTCTGAGCAGCAAAAAGAGGTTGCATTCGCCTCATTGAGAACAGCGGGGTCGATGCTATCTCTGGGGAACACGCCGGCTAGGCTAAGAGTGCAACCATATGTAAAGAGTGAAGCATATTGCGATTCATCGGCGGTGGCGTGGGCGGTCCATATCCACGCAGCTGCGTTATCGTGGTAGAACTCCCAAAGGGTCGACGGTTCCCAATGTTGCAGCAACGTGAATTTCAGTAGGTCTCCCCAGAAAAGCTTCCAGTCGGACGGGGATGGTAGGTTGCTTGACGTTAATTGCTTTCCGACCCACTTCGGGGTGTCAAGCCAGTCAAGCTTCGCTTTTGATTTCTCATGCAGACTGTGAAAGGCATTTCCGCCAGGTTGTCGCTAGAGTTCACAATTACGATCATAAAGTCGCCAATTGTGCTGAGGACCCGAACAACAGGCGTTTTCGCTAGAAGAAACCCGATCATCAACTTTGGCGGTCCCATACTTCACACAATGCTTGTGGTCTTCAGCCAGTGGAACCTGGTTGTTTGATTGTTTGAACATCAATCAGCGCTCATTAACCTTTTTTTAAGGCTGTATATGTTAAGGATTAATATGCAACTCACAGAAGTCACACCTGGTCCTGGCCAAAACGTTCGTTCCTCGACCCGTAGGGTGAATTAGAGGAACTTATATATATATATATTATTTTTTTTTTTTTTTTGGTCATTGTCAGTGTGGTTTAGACAAACTTACAAAAGCGCCTTAGAGAGAACTCAAGTGTACCGGACCGAAAACGTCAGTTTATATCCAGTGATATGAGTGGCAAATATATGCCGTCCTCTACGCTCAGTGGTGTAAGGATAAATCCGGCAAGTAGTTATTCAGCAAAAAAAGGTCACTTTCGTCCTCTCTCACAGGAAATCGAATCCTGATCTCCCCCGTAAAGGCATGTTAGCCATCACAGATCATAGTCGAGAGAAATTTTCTCTGGTCAGGTGATATACTTCTTAGTCAGAACGAAGGGGTTTTCTCTGACAGAATTCATTGGAGGCAGTTAGTAATGTCCTTGACCAGTAAAGATGAAATGGATCCGAGGCTTAAACAACTCTTTATCCTGAAATGAAGCGACGCGCCACTCGGGAGGGCATAGTCTGGTGCAGACAATTGCACGTGTATGCTCCACATCCAGTTCTGAGTGTAACCATAGTAGAATTGTCAGAGAATATCCTTTGTCCAGGGTTGGGCATCGTAAACCTCAGTAGGTTTGCCCAGCTCCGTTTTTTTATTTTTTTATCTATAATTGTGCGTTAATACTGTGGTTTGCATAATTTTCGGGAAATGCGGTCAGATTTATTACGTAGTCGGAAAATTTGAATTACGGTTCCTCGAATTTAACATTACCGGGTTTTTTCGCGTAGATTGTCAAAACTACAAGTACTTATTTCCGTGCGAGCGAACTGGCACTACGTGCTAAATTTCGCACACAGTGGCAAACAAATTGTACCGCGCTGAGGGAAATTTGTTGAATCGCGCGAGTTTGATTTCGCACCTGGCTCGTCAAAATTTCGTGAGTTATTGTCGGAACCTACACAATGGATTTCGTCACTGGTCTCAAACGATTGCGGCGTGTGTGTGATATCATTACATCCCCAGCGCAAATACTTTACGTATAGCGTTACATATGGATTGCGGGTCCTAAAAAACCAGAGGAGATCTTGTTAGTTCACATCTTGGAAGGCGAAGAGTACCCATGGTCGTTACCCCTCGATGCGGGAGAAGAGAGATATGTGAAGAAACTAACACATTACTACTTGAAAAAAGTCTCCGGCAATGAAATTGACTATACTACAGTCGTCAAACGGCCGACTTTACCCCTGCAAAGGCCTTCATTTCCTGGTGCAATACGAGCACTTGTTTGAAGTTTCATAATGACTTAGATAGTCCAGACGAATCAGATGATCCAGAGAATGCAGCTGATCTGGTCGAAGACTTGTCTGGAGCATTTGAGCTGGTTAAGCTTGAGCCAAAGAAATCTTGGAGTTCTTCGACCAGAATATCTGGGTGCCTGTCAAGCTCATCGACAAGAGCTTTTCTTGATTCATCACTCAATTCTATCGGAGACGAAGTCGTGCGAGCCCCCTTCTCAGGCACCACCATGGCATTCTGGCTCTTCTGCCACACTGATATGATCAACTGAGCCATTCTTGGACGGATTCCATGTAGCTTACCTGCGGCAGCAGCACTATCACCCTCTAAGTAGGCTATGATCATCTTCTTTCTTGACAGATCATCTGTTTTCAAAGTCTCAGTCTTCTTTCGGCGTTCTTCTCCGTTCGAGTCGATCTTCATGGAGGAAGTGGCATTTGCTACGCTGTCAACATTCATAGCGCTTTGTGAAGTCGGGAAAAAACTAGCGGGGCTTTAATTGGCATGGTGACATTCTTGTTGAGGACTATTCGTCCTGCGTAGGGACATTCGTCTTAAGCTGACAAGTTGCACAATAGATGTTCACACGCGAAGGAATGTCGCCAAGAGACGAAGTAATTCAAGATCGCGACGAAATGTTTTGAGGACATTTGAACAATCAATGGTGAGGCATAATGCAATCAATTCTCTGAGATCAAGAAATATTTTTTTCTAATAAGCGTAACTATCTACGAAATTCATATGGCAAATTATCGCGATCCTTTTGAGTGATGTGCGAAGTGTGGTCACGAAATGTGTTTTCCCAACACCTGTAATCCTTGTGCGAAATTTGTTACCTCCATGTGCGAAATCTTTTCTCGCTCGTTTCGAAATTGATTATGACCGCACCAGCAATCTGACTCACTTCCGGTGGTAATCTATTCATTTACGGGTGCGAAATATAAAAGTTCGGTTTTCCCGAACAATATGCAAACCACGGTATCAACCTGTGAAAAACGATTATGGAAGACTTTAGGATATCGGCGGGTTGAGGAAGCAATAACACATTGCAAACCTCTGAGAGGAGAAATGACTGAAGTTGGGTGCTCAAGTAAAAGGGGGAATGTAGCCGGTTTCTGGTGAGCCTGTTGACAATTCGGATGGGTACATTTCGGAATTTCCAACCAGTTCGTCTTCCGGACCATCTTCTTGTGAATGCTGTGGAAAGTAGTCTCTGATACAGGTGTGTCATTAGCGTCAAATCGCCCACATAGGAGGATCGGGGTAATTCCGAAACGTATATGATCGTGACATTGTCCGGGTGATCTGTTTTCAGCTTAGCAACCTAAGCCCATGCAGCGAGCCATGCCTTCTTTTTGGTTCAAGCTCTAATTGCTTATAAAAATGTCTACAATGTCCGCATATACTGTCTATTTTGTACTTTTAGTTTAATAAAAGTGTGAGTCAGTTTGTCCGAGTTGGTTAAGGAGTGTGATTAGAAATCACATGCTCTCTGAGCGCATAGGTTCGAATCCTGTAGCTGACGTCGTTTTTTAGTTAAACTTTGGGAGAGCTATTGTTGGGACTGGCGGGAAATCAGAATCTACTTCTCAAACCTAACAGCTGTGTTCAGTCTACCAGGTAATTGTGGCTAACGCCTCAGATAATCCTGTTGGGTCCTTTTCTCGTCTACAACTGACAAGTACCGCCATGGTGTATGTTGTAACCCACAATCTGGATTTAAACTTGATGGCTTTGAATCGCCTCTTGATGGAATCAGATTCTAATAATCATCGTAAACAAGCAGTCTGTCTCATAGTGATTTACACTTCGCTCGTGTGAAAGTGTTATAAAGTTCAGTCTCAAGCCGGCACGACCATCAGCTCACGTGATTTAATGTTGCTTAAGTTACCATGTAAATGATACTTCTACGTTTGTTTTTGTGCATCGTTCTGATTGGTGTAAACGAAGTTTATTTTATTTTCAAAGAATGACACCATTGTTGTCAGGCTCGGGATGTGAGGTTTTCATTCATTTTTGGTAGTAGAAGGAGTTTTTAGATGGGTGGATACACTATACAATGGCTAGATTGTGCTAGAAACTACATTGTCGTGCTTCAACAATTGTTTGAAGCAGCTTGATTAGTAGTTGTACGAGATGTAAGAAAATTTTGTGAAATTTTGCGATCAGACGGTTACAATTCGACCAAGCCGTAGGCTACCCAAATAAATGTATGCAACGTCGTAGAGATCATCTGAAGGAGCACAAGATTAAATGTGATCGACTTGAAAAACTTTCCAAAAGCATGGAAAATGGCCCTCTGGGGGAAAATGGCGAGTTCATTGGACTTCTCTACCTTTGATATGGTTTGTTTCATAAGGCCTGTATAATCTTAGACCAATAATTAAACCAGTGCATGATTTTTGTACACATAACAATGATTTCCATACAGTCGATTGTTTGTGTTCTCAAACAACATTTATTGATAGTAGCTGAGATCATCATTATCGGTGACCTCTGTAACCGTTTAAATAAGATTTAAACCGGCGGACACTTAAATTCCACATCTACAGTATGTACTTCTGTCTGGAATCGCAACATAACTACCCATATGTGTGAGACGTTTTGACGGAATCTGCATGGAATTAAATAATTCATTCAAGAATGACAAGTGTATTAGCCTTTTATCGTCGAGCATCGTGAGTTTGTTTCAAATTTATAAACTAGCATGATTCAGTGACCCTAGATTCTTGTGGCAAGCAGAGTCTGTCAAAATCGATCGATGTTCTACGTACATCTCAAAAAAAGGGGCGAGCTGGGAATCGAACCCAGGGCCACACCCACCCTAAGGGTGTATCATACCACTAGACCACACGCCCGTTTTTTATGTTATCATGAGCAACTATTAATAGATTATTACATGAATAGCCAATATTTATTTTTGATTTCTAGGGTCTTGTATATATTTATTAAGAAAGCCCAAGGTTTAATTTGTTCAAAGTTATTTGGAAACACTCGTTTTCCGTCTAATAACGTGCTTTTCAAGATGTTTTTACACCTCTGTATGCATGTATGCAAATAATGACATCTACTTACCCATCAAACCTGTGGATATTGTTGGCATGCTAGTGCATGGCCGTTTTCGGGTGTTTCCCTGCCACCCTTAGTCTATTGAGACCATTGCATTTGCCAACATATGTGTGGAACATCACTTGGCTCCCCCACCCACGGCCCCCTACCCACGGAGGTGAACTCTGACAATTAACTAGTGGATACTAACTTCCATAACTCCTGACCATGAAAAGCTCCTTATCGGCGGGGTCATCCGACCCTAGAGCCGATTTTGGCCATGAGATCCAAATACATCTTTAGAATATAAACGCAAAGGGTGGCAGATGCTTGATCACCGAAAGTGATATTCGAGAATGTTAGGCGGTCGCCCTAAAGTAGGGAACACTTGAATATGGTTAAGGCGTTTATGTAAATGTAGCACTTGGATATCCAATGAACAGTACACATCGAATAAAAAGATCTCTTCAAAGAATGTGCACAGCGGTATACCGTATACATGTATGCACCTTGAATAATGATGCACTAAAGTCCGACGATTTGCCTACGTGGAAATCTTTCCGAATAAATCATCGGGTAAAAATACTAAATGAAATTTATGGTAGTCATATTTATATTATGCATGAATCTATCTTGAACATCAACGGAAAGGATCACTTTTTTTTCTTCTCAAAAGCGGCAATATGAGCTTTGGATTGGTCCACTTGGGTGTGGTCATGGTTACTGCAGCTTTGAACATAATATCTAGGCTCACCAAACTCTGTGTTCTCTTCAACGGTACACATGGAAACCAGCAGGAGCCATGGATCCTTGAAGCAATCGTCAATAGATATACGGCAAGCTGGAGGGAGCTCAACCATACGGCCAATTAAAGGACGACACTCCTCGGGTAAAGCATTGAGTAAACGCCCAGCACCAGTTTCAGTCGAAGTATGCGCCTTTCCGTCAGTGCTCGTGGCGTTATCTAAATTAACAGTTGCAAGATTTTCTTGGACACTTTCGAGAGACGTTGGGGATTGGGGATAGTCAGCAGGAGTTTGCTTCAATACCTCCTGTAAGGGCATGGATTCATCTCGTGTGGCGAAAAGTTTAAAGGAGTTATCGGAAAGTTTTGGTACTTTCCACGGGAACTTTTTGAGCATCATGCAACAATAAATGATCGCTGCCAGCCACACGTCAACGGGCCGGGGGTCATACTTGTGGAACACACAAACCTCAGGTGCCAAGTACGGATCAGAGCCCACGATGCCCAGACTTTCAATTAAGGTTTTAGTGAACGGGTACGAAAACACCACGGCTGATCCGAAATCTATGATTTTGACAATACCTCGAGCATCAATAACACAGTTGTCCAACTTCAAATCTCTGTGAGCCAACCCCATGGCGTGTATGTATTGGATTCCGGACAACACCTGCTTGAAGCAGCAATTGATCTCTTCACGACTCATCTTATTCAGCATGACGATGGCGAACAAATCAAAATCACAGTACTCCATAACTTGCAAAATGCGTTCGTTTTCATAACAAATCTCTACCGTCTCGATGATATTAGGGTGTTTTAATGTCGACCCGATGCAATACTCGCCCGTGATCTTTTTCGCGTAATCACGTTTGGTCTCATTTTGATGCTTCGTCCGAAACTCTTTAATGGCGAATATTTTTTTGTCAGATAGTCTGGTGGCCAATTTCACTGCACCCCCGGCGCCTGCGCCCAAGTTGTCTCCCATCTTGGAGTATCTCTTCGAGAACGGTGCCTGCGGCGTCGATCCGGTGATGGATCCCCGACGCTCTTGTTGAGCCGTCAGCATCGAGTTCAGACGCATCATCAGCATGGTAGGTGATTGGGATACCAGTGAGTTCAGCCCAAATACCGATATATTATTCGAGTACAGAGATGGCTCGAAACCGTGAACCACATTACCAGACAGAGGTATTGCCACTCCTGGCGGCAGCCGCACCAGCGACAGAAGGTTAGATGGCAGCGATCCCGGTTGCGGCGTCAGGGGCTTTCGGAAAAATCTTTTCAAGTTAGCCATGGAGTTGTGCCTCGACAGCGGTGTGAACAGCTCACTCGATTCCACCAGCGACGGTGAGCACAGGATCGCGTTTTCCGAGTACAGATTATTGTAGAACAGTCCGAGATCCGTGGACAGCGACTCTCGACGCGACGGCCCAGTCTTGGGTTTGGAACCGAAGAAAAACGACAACCCACCCAGTTGGGATCGCTCCCTCTGATTAGTGCCGTACGATTGGGCTAGCCGCAGTTTCGACACGACGAATCGCTGATCAATCAGCAGCGACGTCACTTGCGGTGACGAGATGTGGATTGACGAGATTGGTTGTCCGTTGGGCAAATTCGGCACCACCAGTTCGCTAGTGTTAGCAGAGGACAACGATTGCGAGAGCTTTGACGGTTGGGTTGTGGTACCACCGGGTGCCAGATAAGGGATCAGTGTCAGCAACAGTTCGGTGCCCCCATAGAACAGGTGAGACACTGAGTTATTTTTGATGATCCGAGGCGACGCTGACGGCGCTGGGCGTTGAAAAACCAGGTTGTGCGACAGCACCAGGTTTGAATACGCCCGTGTCGACGGTACTTGGGGACTCATTGGGGCGTAATCCATGGCTGCCGCCGACGCTGCCACCGCGGCACCACCTCTGAATCCGCCGTCAACGGGCCCGAAATGGTCGGTGCCATCCCCCGCCGGTTCAAGACGACCATCAGGCATCAGGAACACCGGGTCGGGGCTGGGTTTGTCGGCTTCGGCGGAGTTCACCTTCAGTAACGGCGGCGACGACATATTCGACAGTGACTCATTGAGGAGGCGAGTCAACGACGATATCGGTTTGGAGTCCTTAGGAGCGCCGTTTACCGCCGCATCGGCCGCCGGAGGCGGCGGTGATCGGTGACTGCGAGAGGCAAGATCACTCATGTAGCGGTGAGTGGGTGACTGAATGTTTGCTAGATAGTCGATTGGGTGGGCGCATTGGTCGCACGTGACGTGGTGGAGTGTTATGCGGAAGTGCGGAATTTAACTGTGCGGGAATAGGGGTGCGGATCCCGGTGCCTCCCGAGCCGATGGCTGTCTCAGCGTGAAGCGAGCCATCCCCCCGGAGTCTCTAGGGGCCAGGGGTTGTAGCTGGAAATTTTACTGGTATAGTGCTTTTCGTCAAAAATTTTCGATCATGATTTGCCCGCAGACGATAAGCACGTCACTCTCGCTTTTGTGTTCCGCGGTCACCCCCACTATTCGCGTCAACACATCCGCACCATCGGTTATCGCAGATAATGTCAAGGCGGCGGGCCCATGACGTGACGGATTTACCGGTGAAAAAGCCGAAATTTCTCAATAAACGCCAACGGGAACAATTGAAGCTGTCCCTGGCTCAACCGTCAGCCCCAGTAAAGCCTCAGAAGCCGCATTCACTGACTCCTCATCGCTCCGTTACTCTCCCTGATGAAAAGCATGGTGCTGCATCTCCAGTTCGAGGAGATGGGAATGCCAAATTCAAGTTTGACTGGAACAACGATGAGGACACTTGGGGAGACGTGGAATTGATTGGTGTGCCCGAAACGGCGTCGAATTCCACTGCACCGAAAACTAACAACTGGCGAGATAAGCCATTATCGGAGATGACGCCGCGAGATTGGCGGATCATGAAAGAGGAGTTCCACATCACCACTAAGGGAGAGGTAAAGCAGCCTAAGCTCATCCGATATTGGTCAGAAACGGAATTGGACGCTCGACTATTGCATCGCATCTCTCAATTAGGATACACAAACCCTACACCTATTCAGCGAGTAGCGGTGCCGATTGCTATTGCCCATGATGACGTGCTTGGGGTAGCCGCAACGGGGTCGGGGAAAACACTTGCATTTCTGGTTCCCCTCATTCAATACCTTGTGACGATTGACAGCTCTTACTTACAAGTTGAGTACCAACGCCCAGAGGATAAAAAACAGGCACTCTCGGTAATTATTGCTCCAACTAGAGAGCTTGCGCTACAGATCAGTGAGAACATCACCGCGTTAGTCGATGGTCTTGGATTTAACGTGGTCACTTTGATTGGTGGTCACGGGTACGAGGGAAACCTCGAAGCGATCAAGAAAGGAGCTCACATTGTTGTCGCCACTCCAGGTCGCTTGGTTGATGCTTTAGAGCGTCAGCTCATCCGTCTTGATCATTGTTATTACCTCATCTTAGACGAGGCTGATAGAATGGTGGATATGGGATTTGAGCCAGCTATGACTAACATTGTTTCGCAATTACCACTGGAAAAACAGCTCCAACTGACGATTGATACCCGTATATTTAAAGTGACGAAAAGAACTACGTTGATGTTTACTGCTACGATGTCTCCTGCGATCGAAAGATTGACTCAAAAGTATTTGGTCAAGCCCACGATGATCACCGTCAGCGCTGAAACGTCAACTCCCAACATTGATCAACATTTCGAGTATGTTGATTCACTGGAAACTAACGAAGGTGACCTTGATACTCAACGAGTGAATCTACTAATTAAGATTCTTCGAAGAAATTCCTTGATTGTTCACAGTAATTTGGTGATTATCTTTTGCAATTTGAAATCCGTTTGCGACGAGGTCAGCGGCGCATTGACGGCGGCGAAAATCCCTAATACGGTGATTCACGGGCTGAAATCACAGGAGAGTCGTGAAGAGGCGCTTCGACAATTTACAAACCATGAGGTCAATGTACTCGTCGCCACCGATGTGGCGGCGCGAGGAATCGATATCCCTAACGTCACTGCGGTTGTCAACTTTCAGATGCCATCATCGTTTCCGGAGTATATTCACAGAATCGGTAGAACCGGTCGGGCAGGGAATACCGGGCTGGCGTGGTCGTTTGTTGACGAAAATGACAGTAAATTATTTGGAGATTTACGCAAGCATCTCAGGCAGCAGAATTGCAATATCCCCTCGTGGTTGTCTCAGGCCGACTCACAAATCGTCGACTAATCTTCATCACTACTGCTGTACTCGACCAATTTCTCAGAAGTATTTGCCGCTTGGCCAGCGGTAAGGTGAGAGAAGTCAAGCTTCCTCACTTTTCTTGGCCCGTCATACGACGGAGGTGACGCTGGTGGGAGCTCTTCACTTTGTACCACAGGCGCATCTTGTTGTTGCTCTTCCTCCACCTCCAACTCTTTCAATAAACGTTTCACCGTTTCGGTTGCCTCATTTTGCTTAGCTTCAATCTCTTCCTGCCGCGCCTTCTGACTTGGGTCAGCCGTAGCCCACCGCACCTGAATAACGTCGTTTTTACCAATGGACTGGTTTTGCATTGCTTCTTTGGCAAACTGAGCCAGCGCTTCAGAGGCGTAAGTAACGAAGCCACATCGTTTTTTAGGAAGCACTCGACATTTCACAACCTCGCCAAACTCAGAAAAAGCCTTGGATAACGTAGCCTCCAGCAGCTTTGGAGGAAGGTCAATTCCACCTACCCATAACGAGCAGTTTCGTTGGTTAATGACCCCAACACCATCGTGGTCATCGCGAGCCTGGGTTGTGCGGTCACGGCCAAAGCAGTCCGTGACTAACGAGGAGGCATCGTTTGCATCGGGTAAACGATGGAAATATTCACATTGCAGTCCCTTGTAGCAGCATCCTCGAGCAAAAAACAAACAAATAGCGGCTCCTATTCTGGCTTTAGTATAGCCTTGATCCTTTGCGATGTTGACGCGGAACTTTGACCGCTCGTGGACTTGGCGTGAAGATGAGTCGCCATGGGACCACTTGAGGTACCATATGTTAAATACCGTCCCCGTTTGTGGCGGTTTATCATCAGCCGTGATCGTGGCGGGGTCGACCTGCAATCTCGCCGGGCGGTCCATCGAGTGTCGCGACTAGAAGAATGTCATCACATAATGATAAGCTCAAGATGAATCAGAGGTAATTATCACCTGGACAAGAAAATTTTAATGTTAATAAATTTACACCCGGTGCTCTTTCATAGTGATAATAGTGCCTTTTTTTGGCATCCCGATCCCCACACTTTTCTACCGAACTGATTGCCTACACATACCTCACCGCGCGGTCGCTGACCACGATTTCGCACGCGTTGTTTGTTTGTGCAACGCATACATATACCATGGACCTATCTCCCCATGATGTCCTCGGCGAGGGGATCATGTGGGCGGAGAGAGAAATCCTGGACAGCTCTTCAGTGGGGAAACGGCTATCGCTCGAAGGATTCGAGCTGCCCAACAAGCGACACCTGCGAGGGGTGCCGATGCAGTTTTACCGCCGACTTTGGCACACGCTTGAAGGCAGACATGAATTCACTGACCAGACTCAAACCTACAAGGCTTCTGGGAGTACTGAGCTTACAAAGCGGTCACATCTTGGCTCTACCAATCATCCACGTTCGACCACACACGTGGTGCTTGGCGATATCACCGGATACCTGAAGCTAGACTTCTCCGTCAATATAAAGCGGTCAACCACGAGTGCTTCCCACCCTCTTTTGGACCGGTTTCTGCTCCAATCGGCTCCCATCCATCTGACGTACCAACAACCTGAACAAGAACCAGAACTGGAACCAGAACCAGAACCAGAACATCAACCGCAACCACAATCCAGAACGCCTCCTCAACTCCGAGCACCTCAGCCAACAACAAAACCGCTCATATCCACAGAACAATTACTATCCAATCGCCAACGTACATCGCATCGAGCCCTCACCAAATTCGATGAGTTGTCAAAGCATTACTCAACATCTATTTCCACAGGCACGTCGCCGTTGTCCCTCGGGCTGGTCTCCAAACGCCGCCACCTGTTAACATTATACTCTGAGTCCGATGGTGATGATACTTCGTTTCGATCCCGAGATACACCCAACTATACACAGAAGCATCGACCTCGGGACTACGCCATTGACTTAGTCGACTCATCCGCACGGTTGTCCCTGGAGGATAGCTTGAAGGATTATAAGATCAAGGAAGAATCGGTTGAATATGATCCACAGTTCAAGCGTGAATCGGTACTCCAAACGCAGTCCTTTTTTGACCAACCGGCCGACATTAACCGTAAGATTCTGGTAAAACTCGAGCCTGATGCCAGGATCAAGTCAGAAGACGCTCGTCAGGATGTAGATGATGACATTGAACTTACCGCAAAGGGTTTGCATGCCCCTCTTGAGCTTCTCAGACTGGACGATCAAATAACCTCGAAACAAACTATCTCCATCAATACGGCTGGACCTAATGACCGGAGCCCAATCGTTTCCCGCGAAATATCGAAACAACTAACATTCCCAGACATTTTCGAGCCGTCAACTCCTGATGATAACGACCCATTATTGAGACCACCGCCCTTCCAACCCTCAAAAATTCCCGATCTTGAACTGACGAGCTCATCCAACAGAAGTGACCAGAACATTTCATTTCAGAGCAATCTTGATCCGATTGTTGAGAATACGACTCCCCCAGACCTGGATGATTCTTCCGAACATGACGACGAAAGTATTCAAATTGATATGCCTGAAATCGATCAACAAATATCTGATGATCAACAACCCGATGATGGCATCCACATCGATATACCTGCCATTGAACCTCATGACGAACTACCTGGAGAGGTCTCCCCAACCACCTTCGAGAAAGAGTTGTCGAAACAACAAAGCATCGAACAAGGTGATTTATCAACTGCGAAGCCTGTATCGTCAATGCCAATCCTGAAGCTGACACTGGAAGAATCTGTACTGGATGACGATTTCGAGGAGGGTCCAAATGGTCTCACACTGCTATTCTCCGAATTGACACTTGGGAGAATCGAGAAACGTCGGGTTCAACCAGATGCTCAAGTCGCTATCGCTACAGCTATAAATAAGCGCTTGGTGCGCTATTCGCTTGGCAATAAACGGGCCAATACAGCATTCTATGAGGCGGTATCTCAAAAAGCTGACGAAATGTTGACACAAATGATGAAGGATCTTGAGGCGATTGTTATCCATCGTGGTGGTCGAGAGATTAATGTCTCGGATGCGAAGGTATTGTGTCTGCGATACAAAACTCATAGACCTTACGATCCCCCAAGGACGCAGATAAACGAGATTACTAATTACACTCGTGCTAAGCTTCCCTTAGAAACGGTGCATAAGTTCGAAGATGCGATGAGAGAAAATAACTGAGGAGGAATAAATAGGTCTATTGAATAAATAGAGACCCGCAAGGGGTCTAATAAATAACACATCATTAATCATCAGTCTTAGCGCGTGCTCGATGCCTAGCACGCTTCTTCATGGCTTCGCCAAAGCCAAGAGCAATCGGCCACACCGGTGCGTCGGCTAAGATGCGAATACCCAAGTATAACAGTTTAATGGATAACTCTACCAGCTTCACTTCGGCACAAATTTCCAGATTCAACTTTTGTGCCAACACTTCATCCGCAACTTCCTTGCGGCTAATAAGATTAGATATTTTGCGCACGCGATGGTCTCCCGAAATCAGGTTGAACACTCCCGAGTTGAGCAATTGCTCGGAGTACAACAGCTTGAAGATCGGTGTCAAAATTTTATCCACTCTAAGCAATACCAGCTCCATTTCAAACCAGTTGAGTAAGTCGTTATCGCTCATAACTTCAAGCAGTTCCAAGTACTCAAGATAAGTGGAAATCACAAGCATCGCCACCAGAAGGCAAACGACAAAAAACACGGGTGTGCGCAATGCAGTTTGTTTGATATCGTAGTTAATGAGCTCAATGTTGTGTACCCACAACAACACGATGTTGAGAGCGAATGGCACGGCGTTTCTGCAATTATCCTGGCGACTTTCCATCCCAATAAGAGTATCGATTTTACGATTCATTTTGTCCCACTGTTTGTGAAGAATGCACAGCATGATTTCATTGATGTTGATCTCGAGCCTGATTTGGAGATACAGGTGTAACGGCAAAATGAGTTTGAGCTCGTGATGGTTGGAAAGTAAGTGTTTGTTGTTACCATCAATCATCAACGGTAAACCGGAGGTGGCAAACCTTTGCTCCCATTGCTTGACAAGGGCCATCAAATGGGGCTTGTGGGTTAACTTCCAACTGAAGTAATTGAACCCATTAGGATTTTGTTTGTGAAGGTCATCCACCTCTTTCTGTAACTGCTCATTGATGTACACGAGCAACGCCAAGTAGTTGTTCAACAGCAACTGCGGGGTCGTTTGCGTTGCCCGCAACAGTTTCACCAAGTCATGCATCAGTCGGCCATTAGCCATATCGACGATCGACGCCATGCCAAATTCTCCATCCATTTGCGTCAATTGGTTGGCGGTTTGACACTGCCAGAGGGCTTCAGGACAGCAGTGAGTACCCAGAGCCAACATCGAGTGGGTGAGCAAAACCGGCTTCCCAGTGATGGCTGCTCGCAACGTCTGGATCATGTAGAACACGTGGAGAGTACGGATGCGCAGCTGAGCCATGATGAAATAGTCGAATTTGTTTTGCAAGTATTGTGCTGGCGACACACCCGCCATCAGCGGCGGGATGAGGAACTTCTCAAGGGGTTCGTTGAATCGCGTCAGTCTGATGAGACCAATCATCAGCTTGATTTGGCGACTGGTGATGTCGACCATGTTCGCTTCATTAAGGAAAAGTGAGATAAACACGTGGAGTACAAGACATTGGTGCGCCATAAGCGGTACTTTGTTAAACTTCAACTGGTTGTCGCCCATGATTTCCAGTTCAAAGAACCGTTGAATATGGAACTTCGACAAATTGAACAAAAGCGACGTGTGGGTCTCGGCAAACAGATAGAGCGCCCCGATCAGACACATAGCAAGTAACAAAGGAATGTTCTCGACGTTATCGACGCGGGGATTTTTGAGCAGCGGCAAATGGATGAAGGGGAAGTAACGGTTGAATTCCATCTCGTACAAGTTCATGTAGTGGTTCAACTCGTCGACGGAGGGGAATTGCGAGTCACTGCGAGAGATACTCAATAAAATGCGGTTACGCAATTCCACAGTGATAAACTGGTAAGGGGCGACATCCGAGGGAGCCTGAGCCCTTAAGTCGTGTTGACGGGTGCGGAACAACGATGAAAGCGGCAGCAGGGTGGTGGTGGTCGCTTCCAAAAGGTCTTGCTCTTGATTCATATGTTCGGCATCGACGCTGATGAGCTCCCGTAGCCATTCGTCGTCGGGATCTTCCAATGAGTCCACCTTCAATTTCTTGGCCGGCGGCGCAAGCAGGTCGAGCTCAGCGATAGAAATCAGCTGTTGTCGAGGGCGGGTGGTGCCTTGATGATGGTTTAATGCGGGAGGGGATCCTTGATATTGTTGCACGGGCGGCGTCAGCCCCGGTAAATGATGGGGGTGCAGAGTATCGGAGAACAGCATGGCACTGGTGGCATTATCGATGAACATTTGACTCAAATTTTTCAACGGAGCGGACTCGTTGAGCTTTTGGTCAGTATGCCAGCCGAAAGTTTCCATGTCCAATTCCAACCCCAGAAACAAGAAGTTTTTGTCGTTGAGACCTTCAGGGTCGAAGACACCAGCATACAGCGTTCCCAGAGCTGCCAGAAACGAGTTGTGACGCTGATGGTGATGAGCCTGAGCTCCTTGCAATAACTTATTTGTATGGTGGGCGGCGGTGGCGGTGGGGGTCAGCTTCAGCGACGTTTGGCCACCGTTAAGCGGCGAGTGCTTTTTCGGAGGCAGCTTCGATCCCATCCACGGCGGGGTATTTTGGGAAAGAGTGGTGGGGATGGGCAGCGGCAACTGTGCTTGGGCCAGTCCCACCAGCAACCGCGGTTTGTTGGGTGGGGAATAAGGGGAGTCCAAATCCTTGGGCAAGGGGGCGTTGGCGCTGGTGTTGTTGGATAACACGATAATATGTTCGTTGCCGGTGGCCTGTTGTTGGCTCGCCACCGACGCCAGCGGCGACAGCAGGGCGCTCACTTCCAGGCCACGCCGCAACAAGTTGGGCAAGTCCAGGTGGAGTTTCTGCTGATGGCGGAGCACCAAGTCGCGGCGGGCAAAGCAGCGGCCACAGGCGGCGCACTGGAACGGTTTTTCGTTGGTGTGGGACCGTTCATGGCGCTTTAAATGTTCAAGACGGGCAAAGGCTCGGGTACACACGGTACATATGTGGGGCCGGGGCTTGTCGGTTTTGATCTGCTGCGACTTTTTCGGGATCGGTTGTGTGGGCACCACCGGGGTAGTCATCGAACCGTAGCGACGGAGATGCCGGGGGGTTAGTTTGTGGGGTCAACTGGCTGGAGGGGCTCGGCGTTCGGGCTGATGCTCAACACTTTTATAAAGTTTTACGTGCGCGGGCGAAAAAAACCTAGCCTGGTTACGAGCGCTAGCCGCATGTAGCTCAGCAAAAAAAAAAAAAGTCAGCTCGGAGTTGGAGGCGACACCTGGAACCCTATGCATGGTAGCCGCCAGTGTCTGTTCCCGAGGTTAAAAAGCTCAAGCCTCACAGCAAACAATACGACGGGGTTTCGGAGTTCCGAGACCACATTTTAACATTACCCTAGCTAGTGTATACTTGATCAATGCTACCGCTATCATCGTTTCTTGCCCCCCCTATTCCGTGGGAATGACCTTCCGCCGCTCGTCGGCGGTTCGGGTTCCCCATAAAATTTTAGCCATCATGCATGCCAGGTTCGTGACCGGAAAGTTTTTTTTTTGAGCCGAGTCCCCGGGAAATACGCTAGGACACCGACGGTGAGGGAGTTTTTTTGTTATGGTAGCAATATATCAAGGGGTAGCGAAAGGGGATGGGTGTGGGGCCAGTTTTGGTCACGAATTTTTGGCGTTCGTAAAGGGGTTTCCTAGAAGAGGTGTATAAATGTTTAACAATAAATCAGGGCGTCGAACAAACGTAGGGATGTCGGTGGCGAGATCGGGGCGTATCGCAGGATTAGCGTTAACCGACAGCTCAACGAAGACTCATCTACATAATCGGTAGCCCCGTCCAGCCAATCACCGCTGCGGCGTTATGCGGTTGCGGTGCCGGAGTCGCAGCGCCATCGGAGAACCTGTACGAGGCTAACACGTAATAGGTAATAAAGCAGCAATAATAAAGCGAATACGCACCCCAGATGCCCAGCAAAACCAGCCTTATAAGCTGGTAAAGATTTAAAGTTATCAATCGAAACGTGGAGAGCCTTATCAAATTAAACAGTGGGGATGTGGTAATTTAGTGGTGACGGTGCCAGCCCCATGCCGTTCCCTTTAGTGGCCACGCCCCGTCCACACTACGTGTATACAATAGCATCGGGGGTGCCGGGGATCTCCGGAATTTCCCCAGAAATCAAACTTTAAAAAGAAAACTCCGTGGAGGAGAAGAAAAAAAAAAGTTTATTCGAGAAAAAATAAAAGAAAGTATATATAGTTTACGCTCGAGAAAGAGGGCAATGATACTGGCTACTGTCCTCCACCCCCCCTTGCTTTCCCCCACTTAACGTGCTCCTGCCTGAAGCTCGTAGGCCAACACCGACTCGATCAGCTGCGGTGGCGGCAATTGCTTATACTGAGTCCGAGCGGCTTGCACTAAGTGCAGCACCAGTAACTCCGTTACGTCGACCGCCTCACATACGCCTAATCCGGCAAAAGCAGTGGCGATCTCCTGTTGATGGTTATCCATGAGCTCGGAGTTGGGCACCACCACCACCGAATAGCCCAGGCGGACGGCGTCGAGGATGGACCCGGTGCCGGCGTGAGTCACCACCACGTCCGCCCCCTTGAGAAGGGCGGGGACGTCGTTAGTGAGCCCCACCAACGTCACCAGCGGCGGCATCTCTCCGAGCGTCAGCACGTACTGGGCGCTGACGTCGACGCCATTGCGGGTTTCCGCACCGTACTGGACGACGATATCGGTGAATCCGGCCAGTTCGAGCTCATCAAGGAACTGAGGGTCGAGCACCCGTGCTAGGAGACGCCGGAACGTCACCGTGGCTCCCGTGGTCACCACCAACTTCATGCTGGTGTTTTTTTTTCCTAGCGCGACGAGGCACTGTACCTACACTACCCCTTAGCTGGTTGCGTTCACAATGTGGGCTATTTAATTTACGTTTATCTCATCTCGTTAAATATTGCAGCGACTAACTCAAAATGCTACGGCCTCCATAATCGTGGTCTTTTCGTCATCAGACAATTGCGGGAACCAGTGTTCAAAGTTACCCAAGTTCTTCTGGGTGCACTCACGGAAGAACTGCTTCAAAAACTGAAGCAACGACCCGTCGGAGGTATCGTTGCCATGGTTGTCGTCGTCGCCATCGTCACCCTCTCCCACGTAGCTCTTAAGCTTTTCGTAGTTGGGCACCCCGACATCCTCCAAGTCTTCCCATCCATCGTTGCCATTGTCGTCTTGCTCGAGATTGTAGTCCTTCTCATCCGGCTGTTGCATTTGGAACTGGAGTTCGCCCACCAACAACTTGAGTATCTTCAACATCGCCAGGATTTGTGTGTACCGATCAGGCATCAGCTTCTTCATGCTGCGAGTGATGATCTTATCGCCATCATAGGGGATGATGTCCCCATTCACAAGGAGAGCAGTCACGTCGGCATCATTCAACGAGAACAACTTGCCGAGAGCCATCAGGTTTTTGGTGATCTTATCGTAGCCTCGAGTAACTTCATAACTTTCAAACCACACCGGAAGCACTGCCGCAAGCGATGGCCGTTCGGAGCCGTCAACTTGCACTTTAGTCGTTTTGAGGAAGGTTACCATGTCGTTAGGAGCCGAAAGGATTAAGTGGCAAAACACCAAAATCAAATTCTCTATCGTTACTGGGTGCTTGGCAATAACCAACCGTTGTACAGTAGCATCAAGGATCTTGACAAGGTAGTCAGTGTTGAGATACGACTGGAACTTCTCCACGAGCGACAAAATCACCAACCCGGTGTACATGGCTGCCAGGTCATCCAATTGGGGACTCAACAACCGAGCCAGAAGCTCAAGAATGATCTCCAAGCCCAGCTTACCATTGCTGTCTTGGTAACCGACAACATAATCACTGGCTCGTTCGATCAATTTGTTCAACACTTCAGCCCCGCTCTGAAGGATTTGGTTGTCATCCAGAGCCATGATCACTTTGCTTATTATCGGGAAAGTCTCTTCAAACACTTGTTTAGGGAAGTTTTGCGTCGCCGGGTAGTCACCAAACAACACCCCTAAAAGCTCCAACAGTATGTACAATTCTGGAGTGTACTCTTGAGTGGTATTAGCAATGGTACCAATGATAATGGGAAGAGCCGTTGACGCCACTTGCAAGTATGCTGATTGCGGTGTCAGTTGCAACAACTCTATGAGGGCGTCCTTGGCATCCAAAGATAACTGCACGTTAGCTGCATCCTTAAGCGTGATCTTGAAGATGAGTTCAGTGACGTTAGTAGCCAGAGATGGGTTAATTTTGGTAGCAGCAGTGATCGCTTCGAGGAGCGGGGGTAAACCATCCTCTTCAGAATCTTCAACTAGCAGATCCGCCACCTCAAAAATTGCCTGTTGCACCTCACGGCCCTCAGTGGCAGAGAATAACTTGCTCACATCCAAGAAGTTCACGTAGTAGGTGAAGGATACGAGGGCACTAATCTTCACGAGCAATGACGACAGTTGCTTAGCCACGCTCACCATCTCCACAATGGGCTTAGCCGCCAGTTGTACCCCCAAAACTTCTTCAAACTTTTCAAAAAACCGGGGGAATACGAGGAAAAGCCGACTATTGACAAGTTCATTAGTGCCAAAAATCCCCGAAAGCCGCTGAAGAATTTCCGCAGCGTGAGTCAGATCATACTCACCATCATCATTTACCAATAACTGTTCCATCATGAATAACGATGCTTCAAGGTCCAAGCCTTCGGTCAGAAACACTCTCCCTAAGGCAGGTTGCCAGAAACCACTGGCAAGAGCGCCGGGGGCGTCGGTGATGAACTCCGTGATCGATTCCCTTAAACTGGCACTGGTAGAGAGACCAGTCATATCGGTAACATAGTCATTAAAGTCGGCTTCGTAAGATTCCACCCGCTCCTGGGGCAACACACACCCTAGACGTAACACTTCAAATAAACCTTCTAAAGCACCTTCGGGGATAACCACAGAGTGTGATGCAAGACCAACGGTGTCAACAATATCCGACATCATATTTATCAAAGCTGTTGTAGGGTCGGTGCCGGCGTTGGTGCCATTGATCGATTCACCGTTCACTACGACTGAGCGGTAAATGCCAATATTGCTTTGGAGATCGGTCACTGCCAATTCCATAGCCTTTTGCTTCACCACCAAGTCTATCCGCTTATTGAAACTGCCGATAAATGCCGACACAACTTTGTACAAATACAGCCGGAGCAACCATTGGTCAACATCGTTAGCATTTGCCTGTTGAACTTCAGCGATAAGCTGTAAAATCAACGGGAGCATTACTGTGACTTGCAGAGCCACCATCTGTTTGCGTTGATCACTGGCAAACGCTTCCGGTGAGCGGAGAGATGCCAAGATGGCGTGTTCGTAAAACTTGACCCCAGCCATCTTGACGTCAGCTTTCGCTTGCGGAGACTGGAACAACGTTGCCAAGTTCTTTGTCACTTGGTTACACACGTCACCCTCCCAAAATTGGTCTTCAGTGATCAAATCATCGAACAATTCCCCAAATACGGTAAGTGCCCCAATCACGGCATAAGAGTTGTTGAAGTCGACCAGCATAGTATACAAGTCATCGAGAAGAGTGGGCCACTCATCGGGGTAGTCTGCCGCCGCAATTTGCACGATACAATAGGCAGCAGCGCCCCGGATCCGCGTATCCGGCAGGGATATGATTTGAAGAAGCTGAGACCGAATCAGCTGCTTTAAGGGCTGACTCAATGGAGGTCCGATGAAGTTAGGAAACCCCATTGACCAGTACTTTGGCACTAGTTGTTTCATATTGATGAGACACAACTGCTTGATGCCAACATTGGCCTCCGGCAGCGTGACGATTTCCATCAAACCAGTGGCCGTTTGTTCGGGATTCTGCTGAAGCAACTGCTCATATTTGGATTCGGCCTCTCCACGAACACGATTGTCGGGATTTTGAAGGTCGGCTATCACCTGGAGAAACGCCATGGTCAATGGTGAAGGCTGCCTGGAGATTCTTAATGCGCACAACGATGACAGGGTCTGAAGTGCGGCGGTATCGTGAGCAAAAAGGATATATGACTTACAAAAATCGAACTATGATCAAAAGTTTTCAGACGACTGAAGTAAATTGTTATTGTAGATTGAGTTGCAAAAAATAGGCAATATGAGCAAAAAGCAAGGGGCGAGCTGGGAATCGAACCCAGGGCCACACCCACCCTAAGGGTGTATCATACCACTAGACCACACGCCCGTTTTTGATTTGTGTGTATGTTCTGGCGTGAACAGTTAGGAAAGATAGGCAACTTCATCATTTATTTACAAAAGCGAGTACCTAATGACTAGAATACATCAAATCACTGATCAAGATTTAATGCTCAGCTGAGACTGCCGAAAACCCCTTTTTGTTGTTGAATTATTTCATTTACAAGTTTTTCCCCAGACCTCTGAGAGCAGAAATTGACATTTGTTTGCCCGTAATACTTGACTAAATTAACTGATGTATCAGCGTGGGGCACTTGCGTGTCTTCAAGACGATTATCCAAAGATTCACGGTTGTATTTCAGTTGCACGTTCGTGGAGTAAAGAAAATGCAGTAAAAAGAACTTCATGGGAGCAGGTAGGCCTGATATTATGGCCATTTTCAGTCTATACAAAGGTGCACATGAAAATATTTACAAGTAGAATAAGTTACGCTGGAATTTGCGGTAAACCAACACTTCAACTCTTTTGATCCCAATATTGCTACTATCAGAATCCTATGAATCCATCTACAATTACCACCCCCCATTCAGACGAAGCAATGTCTCTTTTTAATTGACATGATAAAAAAAATAGAGGCCACGAGACTGGTTCATTTTTTAATAATGTTCAAATCAAAAAATGAGATAATCTGAAAACTGTCACCTACTTCGAGTAAAAATCATAAGTAGTCAAAACCAAATTCTTAGCCAGATCTAGTAAAGTTTGGCTAAGCAGGCATTGATAGGATGCCGAAGGTTGGCGAAAAGAGGCAATGTAATCTACGGGATAGTTTGCAAAAGTTCAGAAGTCATATCAGATCGGGGAATGTAAATGGATTTTTGCCTCAATCAAAACACATTTCCTGAAAGAAAGCAGCAAATGCCTATCATCCGTGAATTTTCCAGATGTCGAGAGATGATCCAGCCTGGCAAATTTTGTAAAAATTATCATTCCGTGGACTCAGATACACGAAAGTCATCTGCTAGTTAATGTACTGATGAACTATGGCAACTACGTCAACACAAAAGATCAGGACCTATTTATCAGCTAATTTCTGTCTTTAGTAAATACAAAACGTTTGAAAGCAATCAAAATTGTCTTTCATGGGCATCTATTTTGTCCACCTGCAATTTTGGACTACATACCAATAATATATGTACAATTTGCAACGTGAGAGGCAGTTTCTCGACCGGAAAGAAGGCCATTGGTGCCATTTCGAGAGTACATGCGTACCCTTGATGGTGATACAACGGTTATGAACGTTGATTTTCCACATCGGGCGTGTGGTCTAGTGGTATGATACACCCTTAGGGTGGGTGTGGCCCTGGGTTCGATTCCCAGCTCGCCCCTTGCTTTTTGTGAGATCGACGTATTTTACGAAAGGTGATCAAGAATTTTTAGCCTAAATCATGTGAAGGATCAATCGAACTATACGACACAATGTCATTTGTTCAAAACATGGTAAATAATTACGCTATTAGCGACTCTTATGATTGACAAAATGTACTTGCAAAATTGAGATCAAGTTATCGGGACCTGTCGATCCTGAGAGCAGATTTGGTTGTGACGTAGGCCCTTTCTCGTATGGCCTGGGTCATTTCAAACGCAAGCTCAAGTGAAATATTAATGGGTGGAATTTTGATAAGTCGTCTGAGTGAATACGCGTCTGGGTAAACACGCGTCTGACATATGTGAGCACTCACTTGACCAGATTTGGTTTTGTGGTAATTTACTTACAACTTGTAGTGATGGGCGATCACTAGGCTCTACTTGGCAGTTGAGAGGAAACATCCACTTGTTGTATCAATATTGGTGAAAAGTGATGCTTAAATGGATAGTCTAGTTTCGTTTATATTAGGACCGGAAAACTCTAGACATTTCCGGTGGGGCTCGTAAACACATGATACAAAATTAATACAATCATTTCGACTCGGAGGAGTTTTTCGACTCCGACACCACGGTGTGGTGAACCTTGAGGGCGTCGTCGTCGCTGCCCTGTTTTTCGATGTCTTCGTCGTAGGTGTCGACGGAGTCGTGGTCACCCAATTGGCTGATGTCGTAGCCGTTGGCGGTCAAGTAGCTGATGAAGGCCTCGTCCTCTTTGTTGATCGAGTCCTGGCCGACGTAGGGCAAGAAAAACCACGCGAGGAGGGCGGCAAACAAGCAGAGGGCCAGCGACACGTAGAACGGCGCCTGGTTACCGGAGTCGGTCTTGGAACCACCGGCGTTTTTGATAATAACGGGGAACACCCAGGTACCGACGAAGGCACCGATCTTGCCGATGGCGGCGGCGATACCGTAGAACACCCCTCTAACAGCGGTGGCCGACAATTTCGACGAGATGAGCCCCATCGAGTTACCGGGGCCAAACTCACCGAAAGCAGTGAAAAAGCCAAACACCACCGTGAAACTAGCCACATGGTGCTTGAGCGTCGAGTAGCACCCGGCCATGGCGAAGCCAATCACCCCTTGGCACACTAAACCGGCGGTAAGCGTGATTCTCACCCCGAACCAATCGGCGAAGAATGCCCCCAAAAAGCAACCAGGCAAGTAAAAGACGTTGAACAACGTGTTCCACCCGAGCGTCTTGTACAAATCAGCATCGGGAACGATGTTGTTGATAATGGCTGACGAGTAAATCCCGAACGAGTACGACGAGAAGTCGTAGATGAACCACAAGATCGAGATGATAAACAACCGGTACCAGTAGAACTTGATGCACAACCATACTGGGTACTTGGCGTGCTTCATATTGTACTTTTTAAACGATTTCAGATCGACCATCTTCAACCGAAGGAAAAACAACACCAAGGGAGGGAACACCCCGAGGCCGAGAGTCAACCGCCACATCGCCGTCAAGTGACGGGGAGAGAAGATCCACAATAAGATCAAGGGGACAAACGCCGCGGCGACAAAGCCAAGGTCAATGGCACAGTTAGTGGCCATGGCGAACACCCGGTTACGGGTACCTGAAGGCAACTGGTTAGCGAATTCCGATGAAATCACTGAAGCAGTGGGGTATTCAGCGCCAATACCCACCCCCAAAAAGAATCTGAACGCCGTCAACGCCGCGAACATGCCGTAGATGGAGCCGTGGGCCCCCCACGTCGCCGCCGCACACAAGATGGTGAAGAGGATCAAGATGATGTTGGCGGCAAGCATCCCCTTTTTCCGATCGATACGGTCAGCAATGTAACCAAAGGATAACTGGCCGACGACGGTACCGACAAAGGCGATCGACGATACGTTATTGATGGCGTTGGACCCCTTATACTCGGTGGGGTACATAATCCCGAGAATGGTCAGCACGGCCCCGATCAGGGCGTTGACGTAACCATCAGAAAACAACCCAAACCCGGAGGCAAACGCTGGCCAGCAGCTCAGCCAGGTGAACTTGAACACTTTGTCGCCGTCGGGCTGGTAGTCTTCGTCGACTAACTGGGAACGCGACTTGTGGATGGTGACCTCGCTCATCACCGAGTCCTTCCACCCGAAAAGCAACTGGTTGACCAGTTTAGGGAGGTCTCTCGTGGCCATGGTGTGGTGATGACATCCCTATTCCCTGGCGAAGGCGACCTGGTTATATAGTGGTTGCCCTAGAATGAGGAGCCGTACAGCTACCGCATTGGGAAAGGCACATGGAAGATTCCATTTAATTTTGACGGCGCCAGCGACCGCGAAAAACCTAGGGGGGAGACGGCGTATAGGCTTTAGTGGGCGAGGGGAAAAGCGTCGATTTGCTGGTGATAAGCGGAGATGCCGCACGGCCTAGCTGAAAAGGGGGCGACCCACGGGCTCATTCAGACACAAATGAAGTCGAGTAGGGTGGGGGGGGGCCCCACGTGGATTGCAAAAAAACTTTAGATTACCGCACCCATACGGCTGAAGTCTGCTGCTGGAAATCCGCTGACATAGTTCCGCACAGGGCTCACAACAGCTAGCAATTTCGCTAGCTTGTGCCCATGCTAGTTTGCTACTAAAGCCACCCGCAATTCCGGCAAATTGTGCGGGTTTGACGTGCCAAGCACGGGTTCCCCTGGCACGGTGCGCCACTAGTGCAAGCCAATACGAGCCGTTACCCGGCGACGAAGGAAATTGTGGTTTTTGTTCAACATGCTAGGTTAGTGCTATAAAATTTGAGGCGGGCCTTATTGTCGGCGAGAACGATCGGCGGTCGGGCGTCAGAGCGGTGTCGAGAGGGTCGTGTCCGGCCCAAACACCATCCTNTCCTTTTTTTTTTTTTTTTTCCGCTAGCGTTATCTATCAGTCACATGAGTGTAGCTGCTGCTCCTGCTGCTAACGATTCCCCCCCCGCAGGGATATAACCGATCCCCTCACGTCGTAACCCCAGCCGTTTTTGCCAAGACCACCAACTAGGTCTACTAAATCAATCAGAAGTGAGGTTAGCGGCGAGCAGGCGGTAGATGTCCGCGGTGGTTTTCGCCTCGGTTTTCGCCAACAGTTTCGTCGCGGCCGCCTGGCGGCGTTTAGTGTCCAACTCGACGAGCACCCGCTGCCAGTACTCGGCCACGTGGACCAAATTAAGGGTTGCAGGAAGAATATGCAAGAGGTCTATCGGGTCGAACACCGAGCCGAACCCCATGAGAAAGTGGGGGATCGAGTACGTATGGGGCCGGAGGTGGAGATAATGGCGGAGAATCTGTTTTAGATCGTCGCGGTTGGGGTCGGCCACCGGGGGGTCTAATTGACTTGTGGCCCAGGGGTAATACGGGGTGGTGGGCGGCGCCACCGACCCGTAGACGGCGACGTGCTCAGCCTGCGGGTAGTCGCTGGCGGCAAGCAAGTCGGCGATGGCCCCCGTGGCCCGGAAGTAGGCAAACATCAGCAGCAGCGGTACCAGGGGCGGGTTGCCGTGGCGACGGAGGAAGACGTAGGCCTCGTACGCCTTGACGTACCACGTAAGCACCAGCGAGATTTTCAGCTGCGTCGCCTGGCCCCTGACAAAGTCGGGCCACGCCAGCTTGGGCCAGGGCTCGCTCACGGCGTTAGCGATGGCGTAGGTCTGCACCACCGTGTCAAACAAAAGCACGGTGTCGTCATCGAGGCACCGCCGATGGATAAGGGCCACGAGGTGGTTGAACAACTCGCGGGCATTATCCACCGTCGGGTGGTCTGATACCAGATCCTCCATGTACTCGAGGCGAAGCACAAGCAACTGGGTGTCGTCATCGTCGCCGTCGCCGTTATCGGTCAATGTAGTCAATATTTTGTGGTTGGTGTGTTTATGGTGGTGGCCACGGTTACTTCTGAGGAAGTTGTAGCCCCGTTGTTTATCAATTTTCACCACTTCCACCAAAACTTTCAGGTACAAGTCCTCATCGGTGACTTGAGGAAGCACGCCGAGCACGGCGTCGATGACGTGGGCGACGTCGTCGCTGTCGGTGGTCAGCGACAATACCGCTAGCGAAAGCTGACAATAGTCGGTGATGCGGTCGAGGCGCAAGTAGACGCGCAGAAGACTGGCGGTGTACTGCTTGGCGGCTAACTGGGCGAGGCAATACTCATCGGTGACGGCATCGTCGCCCCAGGTGTCAGTTTCGACCCAATCGACGTCATCTTTGGCTAAAAGAGCATAGATCAGGCAGCGAATATACAGCAAATTAGGGGTGATCTTGTACACTTCTTTCAAGTAAGATTCGACAAATTGCGGCGACGGTGGGAATGGCAGCAATTGGGCAAGCTGGCGGCGTATTCCTTTAGTCACCACCACCGCATCGGCATCAGCAATTATGGCAGTAAGGTCACTGTTTTCGTCGTGTTTGGATTGCTCGGAGGCTTGAGGGATGTGGCCTATGGCTGCGGCGATGATCACCATAAGTGGGGGGACAATGAGTTTTCCAGCTTTGATACGAGTGAGGTACGGCTTTACTTCTTCATATTGCTGTTGTTTCAATAATTGAAGCACCAAGTGTTGGAGTAAGTAGTCGTGGCGTTCACCGCTATGGCGGTCAAGGGCAGCGGTCACCTTAGCGATGTCGCCGTCAATTATGATGGAATCAAATTCATCAGGTTCATATACTGCCCAGAGGCGAGAACCCTGAAATGCGGCGATGTGGGCGTGGTTTTTCGTGATCGCCGACGGGATATCACTACCGGATACGAGCTCGACATGGGCTAAGCGGTCGTCAGCCACAAATGGGAGACTATCCACCAGCACCACTCCAGAAACAATTGGAGCAACAACTTCAGTCACTGACAGTGTCTCGTCGTGTGTTGGTTCGTCAGGTTGTTGTGTAGGCTCGGTAGTCTCGGCGTTTGCGTCATCTGCCTCAGTAGCCTCAGGTTGTTCACTCTCGGGTTCAGCATCCTTTGAGTCGTCTTTGTCGTTTGTGGTCTGCTCATCATCACTACCTTGAGGATCCTCTTCGTTGGCTGTACTTCCCACAGGATTCTCCTCTGTGGCTTCTTCGATATTCTCTTCAGTATTTTCAGTATTCTCAGTAGTCTCCGTAGGTTCCTTCGCAAAAATAGGTATTCGAGTAGTTTCAGCCAATTGCTCTAGTGAATACACCACCAATTGATCTTTCACCACCGTATAAATAAACGGCCAGTGTACGGCTACCGCCAGCGGATAGTGGTCCATAATAATCGTCCCCCTCGTAGCATCTCCCAACAGATCAACAAACATCGCCACTGCCAGCGTCCCCTCCGAGCGTATGGTCAACATATACTCATCTTTACCATCACCGTCAGCTCGGTACCCTTCGATAAACGGGGCAATCGCGGTGTCGCCGTTGCGGTAATCGCCCATGGGGATCTTGCGGGTCTTTTGTAGGTCGATAACGTCGTAGGTGGTCAGATTGGCCACAAGCACCAAGTTGCTATAGTTTTGGCTGAGTCCCACCACTGACACGCCTTTAATCAGCCCCAGATAGGCGATATCTTTTAGTGATTGGATATGGTCCTTAGTCACCGCCATTACCCGGATTTTCAGAGCTGTGAACGCAATGATCTTATCGTCATTAGCTGCCGTGGGCAGCGGACGCTGTCGCTGGTGGCGGAGGGTGGTGATATCGTTGATATGGGTGAGGGCCGCCAGCGGCCACGGAGTGAGTTCGGGGAGGCTGTAGCCGACCACTGCGCCTGAAGTGAGCACCACGAGAAGCCTATGTACTGTCGGAAGCACCATAAGCTTTTTCACTGCCGCCAGGGGGCTAGATAGGGCGGGGTGGTCGGTGGTGGCGGCGACCATGATGAGGATATAGTTCGGGGCATCGTCGAACTGGTGGAAGTGGCACACGTGGCCGGAGGAGGTGCCGACGTAGAGGTTGGTGCCGTTGTCGCCGCAGCATAGCGTGGTGATGGTGCCGCAGTCTGGGGGGATTTCGAGGGCAATCTCGGCCACCTCACTCATGCCCCATAGATTACGGTGGTGCGGCTCGTGGTAGGGTCAACAAAGTGTGGTCGGCAGAGAGTGGGAATTTAAGGAATGTGAGTGAAGTTTGGAATTGGGATTAAAGACGATTGAGGTGTTAGTTGAGTTTGATTAAGTCGGGCAAATTCAGGTGGGATTTACGTAGTGGCGGTGGCCGTGGTCGTGAGGTGTGAGGGCGACATATAATGAGGAACGAGAAGCTATCCGTCAATAATCCAGTGTTTGGATGAGGATTGATTTATTAAATGAGTTCGTTAACAGAAGGTGAGTATTGGTTAACTGCTGACAATTAGGTTGGAGTGGTTCAAGCCGGTGTAAAGTTGATGGAGAACGCGACCACACGAGGTGAAAAAAAAAAAGAAGAGGAAAGCATCTGCCCTACAATTGTCAAAATGGTCTTGCAAATAAAATCCACAGGAATATCTTGAGCTGTGTTTATAGATGCCAAATGCGTGGATTGGATGCCCAGTAAAGGTGGGTCCAAGTGTGTTTGGACTTCTCCTTTCACTTCATCTCTTCAGTTAGACTGATACTCCATGTTGGAGTAAATAATCAAGGTTCCTTTTTGATTCTTCTCAAAGTTCAACTCGGTTTATTCATTTGACAAACGTCTTGATCAATTTAGCGAATTTTATAATATATTATGGACAGGTCCCATCACGCTGCTGATTATAATCAAAACATCGCGGCAAGGCATGATGTACAGGTGCCCATCACTGATGCATTTAAATTAGGAGAAATCGGCGATTAGTAATGAGGCTTACGATTCCTACGCAAACGCTTGATTACCCCTACGCCTACACCTACACCACGCGGACACGGTTAAATGATTTAAAAAAGGTTAAATGAGGACCCAGGAGCGTGGGACCGCCATGCACTATTGAGTAATCGGGGGTTGGTCCCTTGAAAAAAACTTCCTCATCGAGCCAATACCAAAATACGTCAAAAACAAATAAGGCTAGGGAAAACGAAAAGATGATGACCAAAAACGATAGTTAAATCAGATGACGCCACCTCAGCGACGTACAAATTTACGAGAAACTGGTTGGGATCAAGGCAAATCTAGCTATCTAATTTATGCTGATCGAGTCGCGTGAAGGGATACACGGATGTGGTGCGGGTGCGGATGTGCAGGGGACTAACTATTGTTTAAAACGGTGTGTCATTACATCATAGCCTATCTAAATAACCAGATTTAGACGTTGTGTTTTTTTGAGGGCATCGCCACTCATGTCCTTGGAGGGAAGGGGGTTTCGGAGGGAAGGGGGAGTATCACAGCGTGGGTGCTGGCGGGAGGGTTTTTGTAGTCTTTGCCGGCGGCAGCGGCGGCAGCAGGGCAACTACTGTAGCTCCCAGCGAGTCGTGGTGGTCCTTATAAGGGATAGGCGGCGGCAGGCGTTCGTACTCCTTATAGTGGGGCTGCGGCGCCTGGCGGTAGTAGTCAGAGTAGAGCAGGCCCAGCTGGTCCTGGAACGGCGGGAACCCCGGGTCGGGGGCGAACGGGTTCGGGTTGACCATCGTCGTGCTTGAGTTGGGGCTCGGATTATTAATTTGCAGCGCGTGGCTCTGCTTTTCGAGGTCGGAGTCAAAACTGTGTCGGTAATAATTGTGGGTGGTGCCAAACTGCTGGTGGTGGCGTTTGAGCTTTTTCAGCCGGCGGTGGACGAGGTACCAAAAGGCCACCCCCACGGGGATGATGAGGAGGAGGAAGAGGAACCACCGCAGGTGTTCCCACAGCGAGTTGGTCGTCTCCAGGCCCGGCATCGAGTTGGGGACGGAGGTAGGCGTCGAGCGGTCCATTGGTATATTGGTGAATTGGGGATAAACTTTGGAGAGCACAGAGAGGCAGGCCGGGGGGTTTTATTTAGTCGCCGCAGGGTAAAGTAATAAAATGCCCCTGCGAAACATCTGTACTAACTAACCCCCAATGCGGGCGGATGTCGGGTCCGCGGTAAGGCAGCGGCAAGGGACCCGCGGTACAGGACCTGAGGTAGAATGACGGGGCTGCGTAACTAACAATGCTCCTCCAATTACGACGTTTAAAACACATCTTTGAACCACCCAGAGATTATGCTGAAGTGGTGGGGTGGCATCATGGTTAGAAGAGGCTAGTCTGAAACTTGCTATCGGAAAGGACGTGAATCTCTTTGGGAATTACTCGAAATTCTTCGCGTTGGTAAATACGCCACGCGCGTGCCGTGTGGCTACCAAACACACCCACACTTCTCGGCTACTGCGACACGAGGAGGCCCATACCCGAGGAGGCCCTCGTCGTCGCGACGGTAGAGAATGTAGGCTCGGTTTACGAGGACTGGGGGGGGGGGGGGGGGGGCCCCCG